AGGTAAGGACAGGCCAGGATAACATCAGGACAGGACAGGTCAGGTCAGGACAGGCCAGGACAGGCCAGGAAAACATCAGGACAAGTCAGGACAGGCCAGGAAAACATCAGGACAAGTCAGGACAGGTGAGGACAGGCCAGGACAACATCAGGATCGGCCAGGACAGGCCAGGACAGGCCAGGACAGGCAGGACAGGCCAGGACAGGTCAGGTCAGGACAGGTCAGGACAGGCCAGGAAAACATCAGGACAAGTCAGGACAGGTAAGGCCAGGCCAGGATAACATCAGGACAAGTCAGGACAGGTAAGGCCAGGCCAGGATAACATCAGGACAGGACAGGACAACATCAGGACAGGTGAGGACAGGCCAGGAAAACATCAGGACAAGTCAGGACAGGCCAGGAAAACATCAGGACAAGTCAGGACAGGTCAGGACAGGTCAGGACAAGTCAGGACAGGCCAGGAAAACATCAGGACAAGTCAGGACAAGTCAGGACAGGTGAGGACAGGCCAGGAAAACATCAGGACAAGTCAGGACAGGCCAGGACAGGCCAGGACAGGCCAGGACAATATCAGGATCGGCCAGGACAGGACAGGTCAGGACAGGTGAGGACAGGCCAGGAAAACATTAGGACAAGTCAGGACAGGCCAGGACAGGCCAGGAAAACATCAGGACAAGTCAGGACAGGCCAGGACAGGCCAGGACAAGTCAGGACAGGCCAGGACAGGCCAGGAAAACATCAGGACAAGTCAGGACAGGCCAGGAAAACATCAGGACAAGTCAGGACAAGTCAGGACAGGTGAGGACAGGCCAGGAAAACATCAGGACAAGTCAGGACAAGTCAGGACAGGTGAGGACAGGCCAGGAAAACATCAGGACAAGTCAGGACAGGTCAGGACAGGCCAGGACAATATCAGGATTGGCCAGGACAGGTAAGGACAGGCCAGGACAGGCCAGGACAATATCAGGACAAGTCAGGACAAGTCAGGACAGGTCAGGACAACATCAGGACAGGTCAGGACAGGACAGGACAGTAGCACACCCCCATTGTTGGAGAAGCAGAATATTAGGGTTGGTCATTAATTGACCCCATTTGCGCACATTTCTCAGATAACAGAAAATGTGCACAAATGAGGTTGCTACTGATGTGTGATTTCCACCAACCCTGTTTGCACACATTTTCCAATATGTGAGAAATGTGCACACACAGGGTTGGTGGAAACTATCACTTTATGAGCAACCTCATTTGTGCACATTTCTCAGATATTAGAAAGTGTAGTTTTCCACCAATCCTGTTTGTGCACATTTCTCACATATTGGAAAATGTGTGGAGATGAGGTTGGTGAAAAATACACTTCATTAGCAACCTCATTTGCGCACATTTCCCAGATATCGAAAAATGTGTGCACATGGGATTGGTGAAATTCACACTTTCTAATATCTGAGAAATGTGCACAAATGAGGTTGATCATAAAGTGATAGTTTTCACCAACCCTGTTTGTGCACATTTCTCACATATCAGAAAATGTGGGGAGATGAGGTTGGTGGAAATCCCACATCAGTAGCAACCTCATGTGTGCACATTTCTCAGATATCGGAAAATGTGCACAAACAGGGTTGGTGGAAATCACACTTCATGAGCAACCCCATTGTACACATTTCTCAGATATTAGAAAGTGTGATTTTCACCAATCCCATGTGCACACATTTTCCGATATCTGAGAAATGTGCACAAACAGGGTTGGTCGAAATCACACTTTATGAGCAACCCCATTTGCGCACATTTCTCACATATTGGAAAATTTGCAGAGATGGGTTTGGTGGAAATCACACTTCATTAGCAACCTCATTTGTGCACATTTTCCAATATGTGAGAAATGTGCGCAAATGGGGTTGCTCATAAAGTGTGATTTCCACCAACCCTGTTTGTGCACATTTTCCGATATCTGAGAAATGTGCACAAATGAGGTTGATCATAAAGTGATAGTTTTCACCAACCCTGTTTGTGCACATTTCTCACATATTGGAAAATGTGCACAAATGAGGTCCAAGATGTTGAAAATGTGCAGAATTGATGACTTGAGGTAGCCATAACCATGCCTTAACCCATACTGATTTGACAAAATGTCCTTAGAATTGTCAAAGTTCGCTTCGGTACCGCAGCCCATATCGTGTTTACGATATATGCGTTCATCTGCGTTCTTGTTGTATGCGGATCTCTCTTAGGTGAGATTGCCGCGTGTGTCGAGATGGTCACTGACGCGTGTTACAGTGGGAGGCGCCGCTACCGTGAATGCCCTCACCGGCATGAACATACTTGCTGCGTATTTTCTGTTGCCGATCGGCATCGCGGTCTATGTCGTATTCGGTGGATTGCGTGCCACCTTTATCTGTGATTGGACCCATACCATCATTCTATTCGCCATCATTTACACCTTCGTCTTCCGTACATAGTAGGTGAATCTCCCATGTCACAGAGATGTGCTACTGAGAATCTGTGCACATAAAGCGTGACATCACCGGAGATTGGTAGCTTGGCTCGAATGTATGAGTTGCTCACACAAGCTGCAATTGATGTGCCTGTCCCCGGTAACGCAAATGGAAGTTATATGACCATGAAGTCGAATCAGGTGGGCGGATGGCATTGGCCTATTTACTCTGTCACATCTTTCCGTGCTTATTCCTGTCAGGGTCTTGTCTTCGGAGCGTCAACATTGCTTTCAGGATTTGCCGGCGTGTTTTGTGATCAGGGTATGTTATATACCTACCTCATGTTTAGTCTTCTGACGTGGCGCGCGCAGGATACTGGCAAAGGGTAAATAACGTATACTTGCACTGTAATCGTAAACTGATGTGTCTATCAACCTCAAGGCAATTGCAAGTCACCCTAAAGGAACAACTAAAGCTTATGTATTTTCATCCCTTCATCCGCCGAATGATGCAACACTCACCACAATGTCACAGATGCTTGGTGGTCTCTCTTGGTTTGCCGTTCCTTGGGCTTTCGGATCATGCCTCGGCCTGAGTGCCCGAGCGCTTCAAAGCAGTGTAAGGTTTCGTGCCTCGCCTTCTCAGCGCCAAGTTAACGTCACCTTAGCCTTTGTTCCCGACATACCCGTCCCCTCTGTCACCGCAACAGACAAGTGCAGGACTCGCCGCACCGGCTGCGGCTGCGGTGCTGATGGGAAAAGGTGGAGCTGTGGCGCTATTGTTGGTGGTTTTGTGAGTCACAAAAAAAAAACTAAAAACCTTGGACGTGAACCGTGATCATATTTTCTGCAGCATGGCCGTGACGTCTGCTGCTAGCGCCGAGCTCATCGCGGTATCGAGCATTATGTAAGTTTGGCTCATGCACGATTTCTGCGCACGCGCTTACCCATTGTAAGATCGTATGAGTAAGACTCGAATACATTGACCGATGTCATGACTCATTTAAATGTAGCATTTATCGTACCTACTGGCATCCGCAGGCGACGGGTGCGGAGATTGTTCGTGTTTCACACTATGCAATTTGTGCATGGGCGATATGGATGGGGTGCTGGGCGACCATAGTAAATACTCTTCCGGTCCCTCAAGGGGAATGTATTGACTTGCGTCGCAGCTCCAGCAAGCGAACATCGATCTGGGTTGGGTGAGAACATTCCCTGACATTATTCCATCGAGACTGAACCGGGTTACCCCAGTTGTACTATGTTCAGTGCGTGGCCTATTTGATAAATTAACTCAACACGCTTACTCTTCATGGGGTGGCGCAGGGGAATAGTGCTTAGTCCCGCAGTCATCCCTATCATCCTCACGGTATGGTGGTCTAAGCTCACGCGCACCGGGCTTTTGTGCGGCTCCATTATCGGGGCTATCCTCGGGATGCTTGCATGGATGATCGGCTGCTGGAAGATCAATGGAGAGTATTTTCGGTTCCGTCTGCAAAGACCTTCGTGATGACAAGCTATCTCATATTACAGGCGCCATCACCATAGCTAACCTCGCATTGCCGATATCCGCTGTATGCAGTGGTCTTACTGGTTTTATGTTCTCGGGGCTCATTACTGTCTTCGTGTCTCTGTTGAGTAAGCGGCCAGTCGCAACGCGCCTGCATGCAACTGATGATGACCGTGTCAGAACCTGATAATTATGATTTCGAAGGGACTCGGGCTATTGCAATGCTGGACAATTCGGAAAATAACGACCCCAATTCAGATGTGGCATCTGCCGAGAAGCGCGAAAAAGTGCCGTCAGATTTCGAGCTAGGGCCTACGGATCCAGTTGCCCAAGAGGACCCCCTCTGTCATGACACCCTGCAGAGGGTGTTCAGGCGAGCGGCATGGTATTCATCAGCAATGTCTGTCATCGTCATTCTTATTGGTTGGTTCCACCGCTTGCGTTGCCATGCAGACTCTTACCTAGACCTTCCAGTCCCGTTGACCATGTTTTTCACGAACTACGTGTTCAGCGAGCGGTTTTACACATTTTGGGTGACATGCTCCATGTGAGTATCAATCAAACTAGATGCACGAACTTCAATTGATGATGACGGCGAAGCGTGTGGGTTTTCATGAGCGGGACGTTCAGCGTTATTCTTCCCTTGCTGGAGTCGCGGAAGGAGATGGTTGCGATCTTGAAGAGACTTGGGAGGCTTGTGTCTACGAAATTGTACATAAAATCGTGATCAAATTCGCGGGTAATCGTGACGCCCTTGCTGTAATTATGACTTTGTTGATGGGCTGCGAGGTTGTGGCTTGTCATCCTTTCGGAGGATGACTATACCAGACAAAGGCACAGAGCTTTGTCGTTGCTCATGAGACAACATTTGTACAAAGCCACGTATAAGACAAACGCAAGTAACAAGTTGTATCGTATTACAGGCGTGGTTGACGTACAACAATGCATGGGAAAGAAACAATAAAAGTATCGTGCAGATGGTGATTTAAATGACCGAGAATTAGGTAGGACAGCGGGGGAATGAAACGGATCAGGATCACAAAATAACGAACGAGCTTCAAACTAGACACCTATGTGAATAAATACGATCTGCTGTTCCAGCGGAATTTTATTGCGCAATTTCTTCACAGCCTTGTGCAACGCCATCGCAGCGCGCGTGCAGTCCAATATCCCAGAACCATTCACCAAGTTCCCGTAAAAAGCAGACACAACCTCCTGTGCAACCTTGTCGTCGACAGACCACATAGAACCAATCACACTGCGAAATCCGGAGAATTGCATAGCAGCAGCGAGATGGATAGACTCGTCGGGACTCTTTTCATCGCCCACGGTAGTGTGGCAAGCCGATAAGAATGCAAACTGAGGGTCCTGCCAGTTGGATCGGATGATGTCCTTGACCATCAACGGCCCATCACGCATTGCGAAGGAAGATTCAAATGGTTGTTGTCGATTCGGCATTCCGTGGCAGGCCAGGTGAAGCCACTGGTTATGGTTCAGTGCATCAAATGCACCCTCGACTGTTGCGTCGCTGTCCTCGAGCGACGTGAAGGACGACACGACGGGCGTGAGACTCTGGGCGACAACGGCTAGCTCGGGACCGACACATTTGAGTGGCTTCCCTTCATCCGGGTTTCCTTGACCAATGGCAACAAAATGTTGGGGGGACGCATCTCGAGAAACCTGCTGTCTCGCACGAACAAGTGTCGCCAAAGTGGGGGTGTACGAGGAGATGTAGATGTGAGACAAACTGTCTCTCTTCTTCTCATAGAGTCCTGCTGCATGCAGAGGAAGCAGCGTGAACTCAGCAGTGGGACACCACCAGATACGCGAGCCAGGGTGAACATTTGACACCCTAAGGGCTTGTACTACGGGGCCAACAATGACATGCCAAAGTTTCCGAAGGATGCTGATAAGCTGGTGTTGAGTATCAAAAGAACCAAATTCTTTTGAAAGGGACTGAAACTCGAAGGACAAATCAGAAACTTCGATCTGCGTGATATCAATTGGAACGTGGACAGGATCTCGGTTACTTAGGACAATCAAGGCGTCGCAGCTGTACTGACTAGCATTGACAATGGTGACAGGACCTTCTGCAGCCGCCTTCTGTAGGTCTGAGAAAAGAGGAGGCAGGAGGAACCGAGAAAAGTCGGGAAGCATGCGGATGCGTGAAACCATGTCATCCCATTTAATAGTGAGTTGGCGGATTTGGGGAGACTGGTCTTCAGTAGACTGATCGAACGCATTACGGAGGCGAAAGCTCAGCTGCTTGAACTCTTTCGCCAAGGCTGCACCGGTGTTACGAACCGTGGAAAGCTCATCAAGGGTTGTGCGGAAGCGTGCCAACTGGGTCCAGAATACTGCACGACCTTGCTCCACCAGTTCCACAGCAGTTGTCAGAGCGCCATGACGAACGCTGCAAGAGAAAGTGTCTACAGCAAGCGAAGCCGTTGCGATCCTCACGGCATCGAAATGACGCGACGAAGACGAAAAAAGAGTGACATGCTGATCTAGAAATTTCAATGCACTTTGATATGCAAGCAATGCAGAATCATGATTTGTCTCCTCGGCAGCGGCGGCCCATGACTTAGCAGCGGTAAGATCTGTACGAGAGGCCGCATGAGATATGTGGGGGAGTTGCGAGAACAAGCTAAATGTTTCATCAAGGTCAGATGAAATCCCCTGCTGAGTAAATCTCTCTCGAAAGCTGTTGGCAAGACTGCTGAGAGACGATGATCGAAGGGAGTGACCGGGGGCACAAAGGAGTAGTGCAGCCCGATGGAGCTCAATGCACTCATCAAGATCAGACGGGACGCCTCGCTGCGTGAATCTGTGTCGAAGGCTGAGGGCGAGATTGTTGAGAGACCACGATCGATCAGAATGACCGGCACGACGAAGGAGTAGTGCAGCCAGATGGAGCTCGATGGACTCATCAAGGTCAGACGGGAAGCTCCGCTGCGTGAATCTGTGTCGAAGGCTGCTGGCAAGACTGCTGAGAGAGTATGATCGATCAGAGTGACCAGGGAGACGAAGTAGTAGCGCAGCCCGATGGAGCTCGATGCACTCATCGAGGTCAGATGGGACGCTCCGCTGCGTGAATCTGTCTTCAAGGTTGGGGGCGAGACTGTTGAGAGAATATGATCGATCAGAATGACCAGGGGGACGAAGGAGTAGTGCAGCCCGATGGAGCTCGATGCACTCATCAAGGTCAGATGGAACGCCCCGCTGCGTGAATCTGTCGTCGAAGGCCATTGGGCAAGACTGCTGAGAGAATATGATCGATCAGAATGACCAGGGGGACGAAGGAGTAGTGCAGCCCGATGGAGCCCGATGCACTCATCAAGGTCAGATGGGACACCCCGCTGCGTGAATCTGTGTCGAAGGCTGTTGGCAAGACTGCTGAGAGAGTATGATCGATCAGAATGACCGGGGGGACGAAGGAGTAGTGCAGCCCGATGGAGCTCGATGGATTCATCAAGGTCAGATGGGACGCTCCGCTGCATGAATCTGTGTCGCAGACTGTTGGCAAGACTGCTGAGAGAGTATGATCGATCAGAATTACCAGGGGGGCGAAGGAGTAGTGCAGCCCGATAGAGCTCGATGCACTCATCAAGGTCAGATGGGACGCCCCGCTGCCTGAACCTGTCTAGAAGACTGTTGGCGAGATTGTTGAAAGAGTGTAATCTATCAGAATGACCAGGGGGACGAAGGAGTAGTGCAGCCCGATGGAGCTCGATGCACTCATCAAGGTCAGATGGGACGCCCCGCTGCTTGAACCTGTCCACAAGGCTGAGGGCGAGATTGTTGAGAGTGTATGATCGATCAGAATGACCAGGGGCACATCTCTTCAAGGCCGCTCGACACCGTTCCACATCATCTGTCATGCTATAATACCACAATCAAGTTACACAATGACTGTCAGGAACACAGGGAGGATGAAGCCGAAGAATGCAAGTGGGCGAAGAGAACAAGTACTGTCAGGTTGTCCGCCTTTCATCAGCACAAAACAAGTTTGAATCGCAATGCGCACGCACATTAATGGAAATCCGAGCAATGAAGTAGTCCCAGAGTAGGTCAAGTTGACGTTCAAGGTTGAAAACATCTATGCCTGCAGGCTGCAGCACCTGTGACATCATTAGCACTGTTACTAATTAGTAACGAACATGTGATGTGATGTTTCTCACTAACTAAAGTCTATGCTGCGGTACTTCAGTGAGTTGCACAGCACTCATAGGTGCACATGCATTTGTGGGTAAGAATATTAATGCTGATCTGGCATATATACAACTTCTGGCGAGACACAATTCGCGATGGACGTGATGTATATACTGGAAAATTGGAAACGACCACCCGCCTCATTTGTTGATGTAATTAATAGCCGAGTGTCCGAACTGCGTAAGGGCATTGAATGCACTCCCACTCATCATGCAGCACTGAAATCCAGTGCTCATGAAGAGCTTGGCCCTGGCAGGGTAGACAGACCATAGAAATTTCTCGACATAATTATATGGCCAGTCTGAATTGCCTTCCTGCGATAAGTAAATCATCTATACATCGTACAAGCGTTGTCCGACGATATATGGATCTGCTTATATTGGGATGAAGCTGTAAAAGTCTGAGAACCCAGTCTGGTCTGACTGTTTTCCTTCTGTCTGTCATCGGAGACGAGTGATGCGCTGCGAATCGGCGTGTGATCCAAGTCTTCGACTATTTGCGATGAGCGAAGGATCTTCATCGAGATCAACCGTTCCAAGTCGGTGAAAGCTTGGTATGTGGGCTCACATGTGGTACCATTTTTATCAGCACTAATGTTGCTACCCCTCATGCAACCAAGTTCGTCCAGAGCCGAGGAGAGTTCGTCGGTCTTTATGGAAATTTACGAAAGGGTCTGCGAAAAAAATTCTGTGCGTCGGAGTGGGGCTACCCCCTAGCAGGAGGGTTGTAGGAGCGGAGGTTTGCGGAGGTTTGGGAGTGTAGCGTTCATCACCAGGATAAAAGTATTAGGACGTTCTCAAGTACGTTGATGATGGGTAGCATGATCTCGTCCCATATTGTCCGCAAGAGTACTATTAAATCTGTCCTCAACTCCGCTGGGTTCATCCGAGACGTGCCGTATTGCCCTGGTGGAGTGATCCTTGAGATTCTGCATATCTGCGAGAGCGATAGACGGCAAAGGATCATGATGTAGCTCTCCTGACATTGGGACAGTGATGGCACTGCACAAGTATTGACTCGCAATGAGGACGATGACTGCGCCATGATGAGCTGTCGCTTGCATGTCTTCGTATGAAGGCGGGAGCAGGAATTGTGAGAACGCCCAAAGATTGTGGATTTCAGCCACTGCAGCTCCCCGGTACCTTGTAGGTCGCCTGTACTCTGTTGCTGCCCGATCAGCAGCACCTATGGTTGTGCTGGCTGCGGAACCCTGAGCATCAGATAGGTGTTTGCTAAGCTTTGAGACCTTGCGAGCTAGTTCGGGACTCGTGGACTCGAGATCTTCGAGTGGTATCCTGAGTCGCGAGGCCAGTGACCACTGGTAAAATGACGAAGATAGAAGATGGGCGGAGTGGTGGGCGGAATGGGTGGGAGGGGAAGACGGGGGTGTGGATATGAGGAATGTGGGATTCAGGACATGCTGCGCAGTGCGCGTGTATTTCTGAGGGCCGTTCGGCGCTGGTATGATTACACTGAGCGCTGAGAAGATAGCCGGCTACATATATAGTGTTAATGGGAGAGCATGTGTATAAAGAAGTAGACAATGTCATGATTCAGTCTTCAGCGAAAGTGGCCCGCCAAGGTTGAGGGGGACATACAAGCCTCACAGCGTCTGGCTATGGTTGCTGCTCCTGGACTTGTATCACGGAGTCGTACCACTCATTTAGCACATATAAAATTGAGTGTATTGCCTAACATAATGGATGCAGACAATGCAAACCGCCGAAAACGGCGCGCACAGAAAAGCCGGATGATTATATACGACTCGTTCGATTGAGCCAACAGTGCCATGTGTTATGGAAACACTAGAGACAGTTTGCAGTGAACACGACAAGTCGGCTTCGAGATGGCTGAATGCAGCGCACGATACGACGAGTGATGAAGAGCGTGACTGCGGCCTGGAACAAGAGTCATACTGCCTGCACAAGTGTCGCACAGTCCATTTGTTGGTATAAGTCCACTTTGGCGAGGATTGCAGCGAGACAAGCAGATGTCGAAAATCAAGGAGAAATAAGCCCAGCCACCCATTAGTTTGTGCTGGGCTACATTCAGTCCTTCATCGTGTCCAATGGTGATCAAACTCATCGGAGTTTCAATCCTGTCCGCGAGCAGCATGGTCCAATACTGTCCGATACCGTGACCCTTTAAAATATTATACAGAGACTTGCGATCCTAATGCTGCTTCTCAATCTCACCGTTTGTCGTCTTGATCGTAGCGCTGAAGTCTTAGATTACATTTTAGACTGTTCATCCTATTTGCTGATGTAATAGCAGCAGCATACAGTCAAGCCAGCATACCTGCAGATGAAAGGATCAGAGCAGGGAGAGAATTAGTACAGAGGGTCAAGCTTCAAGTCAAACCGTGCAAGCGCAAGCGCGGACAGCAACTAAAGATGTGTCTTGTTACTTTAGCTACCGCTGCTCACAGTGGAAGCTCGTTGTCTATCAATGTTACATAAAGAGATCAACTCGAAGTCCATCCAGATGCACCTCCCGTACACAACAGAAACTGTCTTAAGCGCATAGATCCAACAACTTACCAAGCTCACCTTGGCTAGTCACCTCATACAGTTCAAACACCATATAATGAACGTTGGAACAACGCTGACATCACGTCGGACTGCCCGCAAATGAGATGTCAGACAGGGGAACACACACGAGTGCGCTAGAGTCGTATGTGTGTGTATTTGTATGCCAGAGATGAAGGTGCATGCGCGTGGCGAGGATGGCGAGGACGATGAATTGGAAACTGTAGGTAGGTAGGTGTTTGGGGATGCTCTTAGTAAGAACTTGCAGCAGGATAAAAATGCGTACTCTTGGAACATTGCTTCGTATCCGTACTGTGGGCGCGGATGATAGATGACTCGGTGATAGATGGATTTGAGGGTTTACGCACTTGAAAGAGCTGCAAGGTGAGGATATTCACCGTTGAGAAAACTTTTGGGATGAGAATTGTTATTTGATGAGCACCGGAAATTGGCCTGAAAAGACGCGTATGTCTTGACTCACACAGACCGCATGCATAGTAGAATATGTTATGCTTCACCAGGACGGCGTACAGATTGCCGTTGGTCGACCGCCAGTTCTGGATAGCGCGTATGAGTGTGAGGCACATGAGACCTGGAGAGCGTCAGTCAGCGCATGTCTATGTAGATATATACACCCTATTCCTAGAGACACACCGAATTCAAGCCCAAGCAAAAGAATAAATGGTATGAAGAGCTGGACAACGGCCGAGCTCTGATAACAACCCGTGATACCTGGGATTGCACTGGTTCTCCCTGTGAAAGTGGAGTGTGAATAATGTACTAGAACATCGAGTCGAAGTTAGGTGCGCGTACACGGTGCGGTGGCAGTAGTGGCAAAGGCAAAGCTTATGGATGATATGACAATGGCCTGACTGATATGTCTCCGCAAGCTCGTGGTGCAGTGAGAATGTGGGACTCACAAGAAAGGTTGCCACCATAGTTGCGAGCACAATTTTGTTGTTGTTCCAGAGCGCATATGTCCTGATGACAAAAATGCCTGTATGAATGTGATCAAGATCACCTGGCTTTTGTAAGGAAGGGAGATATACATTCAGAACAAGTCACTGATATCAGACTGAAGCCTGTGAGAGAAAAGGGTCGGGCTCTGCAAAAATGTGCGTACATGTATGCACGACAGACGTACATGAGCAAATATTGTTCAACAACTGGCATTTCTGCGAGTCATGGAGTCAGCGTCGTTGATCCCACCACCTGTTCACATACATTAGAGTTCTCGTTCGAGATGAAGTTCACTGAAGCACAACATGTCAATTTATAATGACATGTGTAGGTGCTGAAACGCACTATACAGATGCCCGGTGAACAGGAGAAAAGGCACATATCGTGTGACAACATAAAGGCCTTTCACAATGGACCGGCGTGACCGAAGCAAGAACATCCACTATGAACAAATTATTATCGACAATATATCAAGTGAGGCTGAACGAGCACACTACCTCCTGATGAAGTGAACAAGCATAATCGTAGATCTGACAAACGGAGTTTAATGACCGACCGAAATACTTTGCGACAAGCCCACCCAGAATGTAGCCATTGATGCTGAGGTATGTTAGAACAAAGAAGAAGCAGCGTAGACGGTACACACTGTATATGTACTGGCGGCACATGGGTTCTCCATTATTATCAATGACTGTCGGATTCGACAATGAACGCACCGTGCTGGCTTGCAAACTCCTCGCCGCTGTGAGATCGTCCGCCGAATACTGCGCCTGCATTGGGTCGGGAAGCAGAATATGAGTTTGGTGGGCGAAAGAATGCACGTTGTATAGCTTCTTATTTCGTCTGAACGAGATGGGAAAATAGCAAGCCCCGGGCACAATGTGCCTATTATTTAGCATCATGAGGCAAGAAGAATCAAAGCTCTGCCGTTCAAGTTCTGAAAAAAAGTAAGCGATGTCAATCTAAATGCGAGGCATACATATACTGCAGCATTATGATGAGCCATTGTGCTCAGCGGTCCGGCAATAACGACTTGAAGCCCACCCCGAAAATCAAAGAGAAAACTAGGAGATAAAAAAAGAATCGTTGACCGATACTAGCATTAATTATAATCCAATGGTCTGTGTGCACATGACGGTGTGAGTAACGCCGCAAACACTAAAATAGGAAGACGACGGATAGTTCCGTTGTCCGATATCCATGACTATGTCATGGCGGGGATATTGCAATATCCCAGAACACAGTAGAACCAGAATAAGCAGGCAGGCAGAGGCGACGCGGGAATGAGTGCAGTAATAAGCCAGCATACTGAATTGATGGGCATCTCACTAGGCAAGGGGCCGCATCCACCTGTATGTATTGGTAATCACGACATCCATCGTTAAAATTGAGCTTGAAGTTTCCGCCTGCCGCTCTGATGAGCAAACAAAAGGAACCACAACATGCACACTGACCTGGCCTTGACACGATAGCATAAAGCCCAGCATTTTTGCGGCATTGTACCACTCATTCCATGACATATCCGTGTCATTTAACGCAATATACGAGAAGTTGATTAAACGAGACCTGGATTTCGGATATGACTTGGCGGGAAGGGTATCTTTTCCAAAATAACCCGTGCCAAGTTGTAGATTCGTGTTTGAATCCCACATTCGTGCATAGATGTGGTTGAAGGTAAGGGAGGATATTGACGATGGTAGAAAGTAGAAATTGGCTGGGCAACTAGAGAATTCGGTTAAACAGAGGCATTGTAGTTCTCAGTGGCGGTAACAAGAAGTGCAGAGGTCTTGAATGACAAGGGATAGCGATTGCAAAGATAGAAACGATGCTACTTTTAATATCTTCCAGTTTATGCTCAGGAGGGATGAGTTTAACTTACATGGCGCGCAATCCAATAGGAAAAAGAAGAGGAACTTTTGGTTGAACCACTTTCCGCATAAACCCGCTCTCGCTCTTGATTTCTCGTTGACCCGACTTTAACATATTTGTATCTTAGAAATTGTCATTCTAGACCAAGTGGAGGCACCGTAACCCTCTGTCTTGGCACCAGGAGGGGGAGGTGGGGCGAACTGATGGTAGCTGTGTATTCGTTAGCACAGTACGACATTTTAGCTCTTCAATGTGCATATCGGTCTGAGCTTCTCCAGAGGCCTCTTCTTGTTGTTCGCCTTTGACTGGTTCTGGGCGTCCGGTACTACATGACAGGTCGTCCCCCCGTCGACATATCATGGTTCGCCCGTAGTTGTCGATCAGCATAGAAGGAGGAATGGACGACCAGAGGGAGCGCGTTTGGGAGATTGTAAATGATTCAGGGCATAGAAGTCAAATTTCTGTCAGAAACGAATGACTAAATGGAAATGCTAACCAAGCCTCGAGGGGCGTCAGCACAGTATGTAAGTAGTATGCTATCCAACTCTTACTGCGGTTTGTCCGATGAATTGCGCATACACAAGGTGGGTGTGTTCTTCAATGCAGCGGTCACATCGAATATTATCGTCGGTGCTCCTTGAGCTTGAGCTTGAGGTGCTTTTCGAGTTCACCAGTACTAAAATGTAATCCAAAGTGTACTATTGAACTGGTGGCGGTACTGATGTACTATGATCTAGTGGCAGTGATCAGCTCGCTTCGCCCTCCTGCCAAGCTTCGTCGTGCATTGGCATGTTGTTTCGTCTCACCTTTAGGACTTGGCCGTCTTTCAGGCCCAGGAGTCAGGGTGCAAGATAAATCTAAAAGGAAACAAACGTCCACCAAAACGCAGGTTATACAAGATGTAATGACTAAGTACACGATCATCAATCTACACCAAAAGCACCTCTAGTCTCATTAGGTGCCATTTTACTTTCAACTGCCCGAGTCTCACAAACCTGGACCTCACGGTTCCATCAAAGCCTGAGCTGCCTTCCTTGCATTCGCTTTCAGGCCCTCGACCTGCAACTCCATGTTGCGGATCTTTTCCCGTGCTGCGCGGAGCTCACTGTTAAGCCGATCGACTTCAGCTTCTAATACAGTGGTCTTTCCCTAGATATAGCTTAAACGTCATAATTCAGGGTTGATACCAACAATACGTACTTCATCATCAGCTTGCGTTGGCGGAGTGAGGATGACCGGAGACTCTGAGACAGGCGAGGCGGGTCGAGGCACTGGTGCCGACTCAGATCTTGACATAACTGGAGTTTGTGGCACAGGTGTAGGCATGGTGACAGCTTTGGTGACAGGCGGAGGTGCACTGAACGCAGTGGGTGCGGGCGCGTGTGTCGGTGCAGGTGCAGGTGCAGGTGCAGGCGCAGGAGCTGAGGGTGTGAATGTCGATTGTGCACCATTGAACACAGCACCATCCTCAAGACTAACAAGCTTTAAGGCGGCAGTCTTTCCAGCAAAAAACTCGCTTGCCGAGAGAGAAGGCTCTGACGAGGCCGCAGCTGGGTAAATGTCGGATTGGAATGAGTCCGCCTGATGATTGCCGTCAGTGAGGCTATTGTAAGTGTTTCAAGAAATATTTACTTTGCGAGGCACAATAAAAGCGATGGGTTCCACGGATGAACCTGACACCTTGTACGCACGGGCAATCTCGCAATCCGACACGTTAAGGGCACGACGAGGGAGGAAACACATTCCCCGTTGGGGATCTGGAGATTTGTGCTCTGCCAGCGCGAATAGCGAGTCGCTCTCGTACTCATAATACCGGATGTTTCCATCGCTGTTGGATTTAAATTAACCAGGAAAAACAAATGCATCCGACTTCGCCTTACCCTTTGCCAGCTAGAAGCAATGATATGAGAAAAGACGAGTCCTAAGTACATGCGAGACGCTCACCCAGGAAAAGAATGCCATTGTCGCTCCAGAAAGGCATGATGACACCAGCAGACTGATCAATAGTCATCGTCTTTACATTTCCAAGACCCCCCGTTTCCCAGATGGAGACTTGACGGTCGCTCATCTTGCTAAAGCCAGTAGTCACGATCTTGTCAAGATCGCCCATCCACGCGACACGAGCGCCTTTAATACCGCCATGCGCCTCAGTGGTGCGAACAGCTTCGCCTCCTGCACGAGGATCGAATAGACGAAGTTTTTTGTCTCTACAGGTCGTCGCCATTAGTGTGCCGGTAGGATTGAAGGCGAGACACTGGATGGTATCGTTGTGTCCGGTGAGAACAGAGCGTGGGCGATCGGTATCAGCAAGATCCCAAAGCTTAACCGTGTGTTCGCTGGACGCACTAGCGAGGACGTTAGATGCGGTGGGGTGGAAGAGAACCTGGCCGATCTTGCGTGGTGATGCATCGATGCGGGCGACAGGGTCAAAGTCTTCTGGTACCCAATGATCCTGGCCCCAGCCTTCAAAGGCGGAAGACTCGACCTTCCATATCATGACCTTGCCATCTTCACCACCCGAGGCAACGATAGAGTCGTTATGTGGGGACCAATCAGTGTCGAGGACGGGGGCAGTGTGACTACGAGCGAGGGGAATAACATCAGGAAGCTTGTACGGGAAATTTGGGATAGCTGCAAAAGGGGAGGGAAGGGGAAGTATTGCGAATGCGCCACCTCCGGATGCATTCCAGTTAACGCTGATGTATCGCTGGGGGGGGAATATCAGCAAAGGACGGACGTGAAGAGGGAAAGTGGTCACCCCAGAGGCAGAAACGAGATTCGTGTCCCATGCGCTGCCAGAGACCTTCACATTGTCATATCCGTGTTCTTTCTTTGCTGTCTGTCCGAAGACATGGCTGTGGGAGACGCGATCAGTCTCTCGGCGCACTGCAATCTTGGGCATGTGCTCACCGATACTTAGATGCACGAACAAATCGAGACATCGTCCGCGATTATCTGCAAACGACGAATACTTGACAGACGAACAGAACGAAACCGTATCCTGTGCTGTTGCAACGCAGCAACTTATGCCCTGCGGCTCTCGCCAATTAAAGTGTTTCGCACAGATGCTAATAGAGACTCTTACATGTTCGGGAATCACCGAAGTGGGGTTTACAGCGTGTGAAAGTTACGCGGGAAGGGGGGTCGTACTCTGGGGCCCGAGTCTCAGACTCTCAGTCAACTCTTGAATATTGAAATTGGTTTTTGTGTGCAGTTTCCTCTATTACATACCCCCAGAATTGACTCACATCAGGTAATATGTCAAGTTTATCCGATCCGGCAAAATAATACCGTCATAGAATAATACCAGCGCTTCATCGAGTTCCTCAGTGACTCCAGTTCCACTTGGATGGACAACGACAAGCTCATCTATCATCATACGATGTACAAAAAATTATGCTTGCTCAATCTATTGGCCTGAGAGTGGACAAGATTGAACTTTCTGCAAGTTGTGGGTCGTGTCGTGCAATCATCAATGGTCGCTAGTGACATAGACTGGAATTCGGCAAGCCAAGAAGCATTCCCGGGCCATGTTGTTAATTCAAATTTTCAAAGGATCACGATTAAATAATTGTTCAACCAGATGGCAGAGAACGCTTTAGTGGAACTTGAGGAATTATAGGAGATGAGTAAGCCCTCTCGACCTTTCAATGATCACTCAATCGTCTGCCCGCCATCAAACTCTTGAGACAAGTGACCCAAGGTCTTACATCCTCTAGTCATTTGTTTCTCGCAAGTAGCTTCATAATTTTTCTGTCTTGTCCCATGCAACACCAGTCTCAACACTATACACGAAGATATGTAGCAACGGCTATCACAAAGCCAGTCCATTAATAGTAACAGTAAGTTTGAGGGGTATGATATCTACTGTAGATTCCAAGATCAAAATACCAAATGCGACAGTCCGGTATCCCAAACTTTATGCCTGTGGAATGAACTTGAGCATGACCCACACGATAAGAGCGCTTAGGCCCAGCATAAGCAACATTGCGCCAACGAGATAGGCAGCCAGCTCCCATGGGAACAAGTCCTGGGGCAAGGGTGCGTTCCTTGGATCAGCGACAAGACGCTGTGCCGCCCTCTTCTCTTCTGCTCTGAAGATGACTGTTCTCTTGTCTGCAGAGTCGTATATCGGCCCCTTTTCGCCGAGCATAACGAATGAAGGGAAATTTTGTTCACACCATTGCTCGATCTGAATAATGATGTTTAGTCATAGACGAACGATGTGAGGGCGCGCGTGAAGTACCTTGCAGCACATCACTGAAATTTTGAGGAAATTTGGATCATGCGGTTTGGCCTTGTGGTGGATCTTCCGTGCGTACTCCCGGAAGATCAAGGCGACTTCTCTGGTATTTGTTGACCGCATGATAAGCTGCGGTGTGTCAGCATACCTAAATAGATTATATGTGAATATGACGTACGTGAGCAGCCTCCGCTTTCCGTATCTTGATGTTACGCTGGAACATTTCTGGGTTCATAAAGCAAAGCGCCAATGTGGCCATTGCCATGGAGACGGGGACTGCGCAGAACACGAACACGCTCTGGTTTTTGAGTAGGCGCAGGTAGTCCAAAGAATCGCATGCATGTCGCAGAGCATCGAGGACCATGCCGCTTTGTATCCACGTGGCATGCTCAACGTCACCCTTCTCGTACATATCTTTCATTTCGTTGAAACCGTATTTAGCCCAAATTTCTCGAGGCCAAAAGAAGCGTTTCTCCTCGACGTCTTCCCTAAAATCACGGATGATATTAGTCTTTTGGAGGAGAAGGCCCATAGAGTTTGCTAGCTCGAGTTCATCGCAGAGAAAAGACGCTTCCTTGCCTGAAGCTGACCAAATGCGAGTGAGGCCTTCACCTACCAGACCTGCGACGTAGTGACAATAGAGGTCATAGTCCGCAATAGTCTCGAGGTAAACAGTGCCGTTGGTTGCGGCTTTATGTGCGTAATCCGCCATGCCGTTCTCCATTTTCTGACAGATGTCAAGAATGACAGTCTTGTATCTGTGGTAGGTATTAGATGGAAGAGCGTGAATGAAGATGTGAACGTACTGGGGTGGCAGTCTATTGACTTCATCCACGATAATGTGATATTCGAGGAGCAGGTTTCGATCTTTCTCATCAGGGCCGTTCTCTGTAAAGTTCCAGCCAGGGGTTATCGTTAAGTTATGGAATTGGCGGAGTATTGGCTGCTTCTTTTCGTCGGGGATAGTCATGTCGTCTTCAATTGTGTCCAGGCCGCGCAGAATGAGGTAGTACATGCAAATCTGGAAAGTCAAGGATCAATCATGAGGATGAGTTAGAATGGATGATTATTGGTTAAAACTGCAAACATGGGCAGAGACCTATGCAAAAAAGAAACACAAAAGAGGCAAAGTGCTTACCGTCCTTGCAAGGTCGCCGTCAAGCTCCTTGATGACAGCCGCAAAACTTCTGCTTGTCATATCAAGGAATTCCCAGCAACGGCGCATAGAGGCTCGATCCCAGCCTGACGTGGGGTGCTCTTGCTGAGCGGTAATGTCGCGTTTCGTCTCATGGTAAAGGTAGAAATGAACAAGAGTTCTGAACTCAAGAGGATGTGTCAAGAGAAGACCTAGCATTGAAGTCAATTTTCCCATGGTTGCAGACGTCGAGAATTAGTTGTAAAAGATGGTTTGGAGGCCGCAGTGGTGTTGAATAAAAAGAGAGCACTTGCCAGCTGTCGCTTCTCCACCTGAAGTGAAATGAATTGAACGCGGTCGAACCACAAAAACGTCGCCTGGCGCTAATGAATCAGGCCTGCACCGCCCGGAAATTCCCGGGCCGTGGGGTAAAAGGTCGGCTTGCCAACAACACTAGGATAGAGCACCTGCCTGTACCTGCTTGCCCTCACTATTAGCTAGTTGTCTAGTAGCACTGTGTATACAAACCAATAAAAACCTGATACGCTTTTCAAACTCCATCAATGCAGAGTGAGAGAAAATTGACAGAAGAACTTCAAGAAAGGAGTTTGAATATGGTTAAGGTCGCCATCACGGGAACGCCCTAGTAGTATACCAGTAGTACTGTTTCCTTACTTGAAAGGAAGGATCATCATCAACATAGCCCGGGCCTAAACCATCAGCGTTCATCGAACTCCAACCAACAAGTTGCAGAACATGGACGATATAGCCCATCCTCCAGTCCGTCTGCAAGCCGCCTCATCAGTCCCAATCTCATCCAAACACGCTCTTTCTCTCGTTAATAATTTCCTCGACGATTTTCAAGCTCGTAGCACACCCTCCAAGGGTAGTGATACTTCAATCACTGCCCAACTTCAGAAGCTGAGTAAAGCGCTTGAAGAGGAGTGCATCCGACAATCAAATTGACAATGTCACGAGGTGAGCACTGAGCTGATCTTACTCATGGTATGCTTATCATAACGCGGACTGACCCATACATGTAGATTTGGATAAATATATAGGAGACGGTCGAAAAATACCAGCCTTAGACCGTAGACTAAAAGAAAATGTTGAAGCACACCGCGAGACTATGGCTCAAATTCAGTTTTCCATGCGTATAGCATACACTCATGTCCCGCGCACGTCCGTACTAAGGCTGAGTGATGGCATTCGATAACCGAAATACTAAGAAATCTGGGAGATCTGACCTAGACTTGACCGTCGGACTAAAACCTTCCCTTGGCACTGTCACGAGCTCCCTTCTTGGCATAAACTACAGTACTTCGGTCCTTGATAAGATGCACCAGGATAGAACGACACGGGCATCCTTGAGATTTGTAAGTGTTCTCGCTGTTCCGCACTTGTCAATTGATAGCACATGTTCTCCAAAGAACAATGAATGTATCACACGAATGACTTTCGCTTATCTGTCTCGAATCTCGATATTCTTAGATGCTATGATAAAAATGAAAGCAAGCAGTATCTCCTGCAGTCTCACAGCTCCACTTGTTTCGTGTTTGTGACAATGTCTCAATACACAGATTTCAAGCCCATTCTTGGTGCGAAATCATCATTTTCTCGAGTTACTCATTCACTCACTCCATGGATCAGACCAGAGCGTTGGATACGGTGTGGTTATCGGTGCGTTATCAAAAATCCGATCGGCGTCAATCTCTAGATTCACTTCCAGGAGTCGGGTTTTTCTTTGCCCTCGTTATGTTATGTTTGACCGCGGTGCAATCTAACTTCTCTCGATATACTCCAAGTTCATCTGAAGAGTTCACGGTTCGTCGCATTATGCTCGTGCACGCCATATAATGGGACTGCTTCCAGAGTGCTTCCCGTAGCGTCAAAGTGCGTCAGTCTTCCTAGCCAAATAGGACTTTCGCTTATTTTCCCATGCTTAGCCCGGGTTAGTGTGCTGCGGGATGTAAGTCATCTTCGTCTGCACATCTAGACACCTGTGACGCATCATCGCAGTGTTAGCGCCTGGACATGGAGCGCGACTCTCCTTCAGTCTAGCACTGCAGCTTATACATTTGGTATGGATTATAACGCGAGCTCGGGCAATACACGCTGATCGTGCCTAGGTGTCAGCGGCCCTTGGTCAGCCAGTTCATGCCTCCTCAAGCTTTGACTGATCAAAATTCCTTAAGGTGGTACGGTGCGGGCGGTTCTATTCAAGTGGCGATGTTTGGAATGGTGGCTGCCAAAGTCAAGATGAACGCAAACGGCGCTCATACATTCTTGGAGGTATGTTACGTACACTACACGTGAGACTGGCCTGTCAACTTTTCTATAGATTGTCAAAGTTCGCTTCGGTACCGCAGCCCATATCGTGTTTACGATATATGCGTTCATCTGCGTTCTTGTTGTATGCGGATCTCTCTTAGGTGAGATTGCCGCGTGTGTCGAGATGGTCACTGACGCGTGTTTCAGTGGGAGGCGCCGCTACCGTGAATGCCCTCACCGGCATGAACATACTTGCTGCGTATTTTCTGTTGCCGATCGGCATCGCGGTCTATGTCGTATTCGGTGGATTGCGTGCCACCTTTATCTGTGATTGGACCCATACCATCATTCTATTCGCCATCATTTACACCTTCGTCTTCCGTGCATAGTAGGTGAAGTCCCCATGTCACAGGGATGTGCTACTGAGAATCTGCGCAAATACAGCGGGACATCACCGGAGATTGGTAGCTTAAGTCGAATGTATGAGTTGCTCACACAAGCTGCAATTGATGTGCCTGTCCCCGGTAACGCAAATGGAAGTTATATGACCATGAAGTCGAATCAGGTGGGCGGATGGCATTAGCTCATTTACTCTGTCACATCATTCGGTGCTCATTCCTGTCAGGGTCTTGTCTTCGGAGCGTCAGCATTGCTTTCGGGATTTGCCGGCGTATTTTGTGATCAGGGTATGTTATAGATTTACCTCATGTTTAGTCTTCTGACGTGGCGCGCGCAGGATACTGGCAAAGGGTAAATAACGTATATTTACACATCAGCTGTCAACTCATGTGTCAAGGCAATTGCAAGTCACCCTAAAGGAACAACTAAAGCTTATGTATTTTCATCCCTTCATTTACCGAATGATGCAACGCTTACCACAATGTCACAGATGCTTGGTGGTCTCTCTTGGTTTGCCGTTCCTTGGGCTTTCGGATCTTGCCTCGGTCTGAGTGCCCGAGCGCTTCAAAGCAGTGTAGTGTTTCGTGTGCCGCCTTCTCAGCGCCAAGTTAACGTCACCTTAGCCTTTGTTCCCGACATACCCGTCCCCTTTGTCACCGCAACAAACAAGTGCAGGACTTGCCGCACCGGCTGCGGCTGCGGTGCTGATGGGAAAGGGCGGAGCTGTGGCGCTGTTGCTAGTGGTTTTGTGAGTCACAAAAAACTAAAAACCTTAGACATTAACCGTAATTATATTTTCTGCAGCATGGCCGTAACATCTGCTGCTAGCGCTGAGCTCATCGCAGTATCGAGTATTGTGTAAGTTTGGCTCATGCACGATTTCTGCGCACGCGCTCACCCAATGTAAGGTCGTATGAGTAAGACTTGTATGCCACATTGGCCGTTGTCATGACTCATTTAAATGTAGTATCTATCGTACCTATTGGCATCCACAGGCGACGGGTGCAGAGATTGTTCGTGTTTCACACTACGTAATTTGTGCATGGGCGATATGGATGGGGTGCTGGGCGACCATAGTAAATACTTTTTCCAGTCACTCATGGGGAATGTATTGATTTGCGTCGTAGCTCTATCAAGCGAACATCGACCTGGGTTGGGTGAGAACATTCCCTGACATTATTCCACCGATACTGAACCGGGTTACCCCAGTTGTACTATGTTCAGTGCGTGGCCCATTTGACAAATCAACTTAACACGCTTACTCTTCATGGGGTGGCGCAGGGGAATAGTGCTTAGTCCCGCAGTCATCCCTATCATCCTCACGGTATGGTGGTCTAAGCTCACGCGCACCGGGCTTTTGTGCGGCTCCATTATCGGGGCTATCCTCGGAATGCTTGCATGGATGATCGGCTGCTGGAAGATCAACGGAGAGTATTTTCGGTTCCGTCTGCAAAGACCTTCGTGATGACAAGCTATCTCATATTGCAGGCGCCATCACCATAGCTAACCTCGCATTGCCGATATCCGCTGTATGCAGTGGTCTTACTGGTTTTATGTTCTCGGGGCTCATTACTGTCTTCGTGTCTCTGTTGAGTAAGCGGCCAGTCGCAACGCGCCTGCATGCAACTGATGATGACCGTGTCAGAACCTGATAATTATGATTTCGAAGGGACTCGGGCTATTGCAATGCTGGACAATTCGGAAAATAACGACCCCAATTCAGATGTGGCATCTGCCGAGAAGCGCGAAAAAGTGCCGTCAGATTTCGAGCTAGGGCCTACGGATCCAGTTGCCCAAGAGGACCCCCTCTGTCATGACACCCTGCAGAGGGTGTTCAGGCGAGCGGCATGGTATTCATCAGCAATGTCTGTCATCGTCATTCTTATTGGTTGGTTCCACCGCTTGCGTTGCCATGCAGACTCTTACCTAGACCTTCCAGTCCCGTTGACCATGTTTTTCACGAACTACGTGTTCAGCGAGCGGTTTTACACATTTTGGGTGACATGCTCCATGTGAGTATCAATCAAACTAGATGCACGAACTTCAATTGATGATGACGGCGAAGCGTGTGGGTTTTCATGAGCGGGACGTTCAGCGTTATTCTTCCCTTGCTGGAGTCGCGGAAGGAGATGGTTGCGATCTTGAAGAGACTCGGAAGGTTTGTGTCTACGAAATTGTACATAAAATCGTGATCAAATTCGCGGGTAATCGACTAATCGACCCTGTGTCGTTGCATAGAGGAATATTATTCAAACAATACCCTGATCACTGAGCCTGAGCCATTCAATGCTGTGAACACCGTTTTTGTTGCATGTCCTCGATCTGAGCCTATCTTTCTTCATAAACACATGCACAAAACAAAGTTCAAGTTCAACTGTTAGGCACGTTCATCCGCCGACTCGGGTAATCGTGGAACCCACATTGCGTACACTATATCTGCGGACGGACCGAAGCCTTTAAGGGGTAGAAACTAGTAGAAAGGGGGAATTATTTGTAAGCAGTTCGGAACGGCACCTCTTGGACTAATTCCAAAGCTACTACTTCGTTGATCGGCACTATCGCGTCGGCAGCCAGTGACTCAGGCTTATAGTTTGTGCCTTGACTTAGTTGACTCGGCGGACTGTGTCGGATAATAGATATTAGTTATTTGACTTCCAATTCAACGCGCGCACTTATGGCATGCTAGTACTCTTAGTCAGGGTCAGGGTGACCCTAGGTTCGTCGGGTCTGCTCACGAATACATATATGAGTCTTCACTATGTCAATTGCTCGATAATTAATTCCTCTGACCGTCCAACTTCGTAGTGGGGCAGTTTCGGACTTTCGTCTGTCACTTCTTTATTATTCCTTGTTCAACTTCAGTCGCTCCTTTACTTGGCATTGCCGGTTCCTGCTTGCGCCAGTGATGTCCGACCCCTCCGTCGATCCTATTGCACGCAACATTGCTATAATGACAAGTACGTTAGAATCGTTGTCTGAACATTCTTCCAGTTTGATTTAGACTCATCAGCGATATTCACTGGGCTCATGGTCTCTGAGTATATGTGGTCTCTATCCGATGAAACCAGGCTGGTCTGGCCGTGAGTACTTGTCCGCGTATTGATAAACGCTGTCGATGAGTATTTTATGATCAACAGGCGATTTTGGAAGACCATAGAAGCCAAGAATTTTGTGGTGATCAGGTATGCCGGTTTAACCGGACAAATGTGAGCGGTTCGACAACTCAAGGTCGTGTGCTCACTTCTGTCGCTCGCTAGCTTCAACATCTGGTTTGCGTTTAGGATGGCCTCGGGGGTTCCAAACAGTCCGTCCGCTTGCATAGCATGGTGCTTGTACCAGACTGTGACGACCCAGTGTCTGCTATTTTCAGTGCAGTTATTACTTATGCGGCGGGGTGCGTGGCTCTCGGTCTTACTTTGGGTGACTGTTGATTTACCCTCATTGCAGTGTACAAAATGTTCAACAAAAGCAAATCTATCTTTGCACTCTCGGTCATCTTCAGCGGCACGCAGTTGGCCGCTATGGCTGCCAGCGCTCGATTGTTTATAACTGGCACTGGCTATTCCCCCACTTGCGTCATAATCTCGTCTCATCACAGTCGGAACTTTGTCGGGTGAGAATTTTTGCACCTCTTGTATATCTGATCGCCGAGTCGAGAACCAGCGTCTCAATCATTGTGACCTTTATGTTCATCCTTGTTACAATGCTATGGCGGTTCTTCGGAACCACATCCAGCGGGTCGGAAGCTCTGCGTGCTTGGCTCAGGCTTGCAGTCCGCGACGGCAGCTGCACGATCTTTGCGATAATGGGTAGGTTTGCTGTACTTATTTGTTCATATACACTCATCACTCCAGTAATCATCATCTTTATGTTTCTCTGCAACATGCGCGTCATCGACACAAAGATGAGTGGAAACATCATCTTTTAGTAAGTATTGCGTGTACCGCAGGTTTCTTTGCTCACTGAATTTCGTTAGCGTACTAATTCTCTGCCTTTGGTTTGCTGTTGAGTGCGCGATCTTAGGCGGACATTCTCTTCCTCATTCACTTTTTCAGGCTGGACGTATAGTTCTTCACCAAGAGAAACTGCGTAAAATCCAAGAATCCCAGATGGGTGACGTTAATGATCCAAGTCGGTGGACTCAGTCGATCGAGGTGGACCTTGATGACATTGCCATTGCATCTTTTGATGACCCAGATGCATGTCCGCCGAGCCCCTCCAGCTTGGAGGTCGAGTCGACCGAAGTTTCCACCCCGCTCGACTTTATGTCAGACGCAGGAACGAGGGACATCGCTGACGAACACCTTTACGAGTGGGAGGAGGACAATGTGCCGCTGACGAGCTGTGCACCTACATTCGTGCTCATCGAAAGACGTATCGGTGGTGAGGGATCAGGTTCCACAGAGTAAAATAAATCCATTCGTTTTATGAGACAATCATGAGTTCCGTAGTACATGACATATTGCTAATAGTTTCAAATTGCCAGGCATGTAGTGCCACCTTTGAAGTGAGATGCACAGATAGTCACCCGGGTTCCGGAACGCAGCCTGCATGAGGCATGATACCTTTCAGTACTAAGGACTTAGTAGACCTTCCGGGTCAGCGAGTGCTTATGCTATTTTCACGAAGGCAGTAACAATCCACCTGTACCGCTGATTGCCGCGGTTTCGTACCCGTGCGCTCCGGCGAAACGTTGTCACACGCTAGATACTATGACACGCCACTGACTCTTTGATCAGACTGCTATGGAGGTCGGTGAGTGGAAAGTACTGTGTGAGGCTTCGAAATGTTTGATACTTGCGTAATCTGAAGTGCACATGTCACTGTCTTACGTGTCCCGTGCACCTCCCAGTAACTATTCTCCTTACAGGACCATGCACGGACTCATGCCAGACGCAATGTCATGTGCACCCCCAGAAGTCAGGAACTTTGGAGGATAGTCTATCCTCAAGGGGTGGGTCATTAATTTTTCACGCCTATAAAATTGACGACCGTCTTTAAAATAATTGTTACACAGTGCTCCAGTACGTGGTTCCTCATGCCGTTTTCAATCCTACCCAACCTCCACACAACCGCCTCATCCACTGCTTCAACTCTCTTCCAGATGAAGTTCCATATCCTCGGCTATCTTTCTCTCGTCCATACAGCTTCTCAACCCAAACCCCGCATCACGGACGAGTCAAAAGAACCTTGGCATAGTGGAATTGGCGATGTGCATAGGTCACTGACGTTTGTGTTTCAAGAACCTTGGAACCAGCGCGGCGGACCATCCTTCTGCAGTGCGTCCTTCAAAGCCTTATTTTTTTTCCTCTGGCGGCGCGCTGGTTGGTAAACCTTCGTAAGGACCCGTCGATGCGAAGGCAATGCACCAAAAGTCATTCCCCTGAAGAGTTTTCACATGACGGAGTTTGGTGTAGAGGTAGACGCCTGTCGCCATCCTAACATCCCTCGAAGCCAGGGAAATGATCTCCGTTGCATCTTCTCCCGTCTCAGGGGGCGGATGGCCCAAATCAGCCCCCCGTTGGTACAATCACTCGTTTCCCACCAAATATCCATAGAACCTTACCATGACTATCATGTAAGGAAGTATTAGAATACTGAGACAGTTCCAATCGTCGTGTGATTAGATACCACGGTGCTTATTTTCAGCAAATATTGTGGACAAAGACAACGCAATTGTGGTCACCGGTGGACCATGGTGTAGACTGGAGAAACGAGATGTTAGAACAACGCAGAGCGCTGAAGGGGAACAATTTGAAAAGATATTAATTATTACGTAATCTGAGTCACGAAAGGCTGTGACGCGACACTGTCACAGATCCTAGAGTATCCAAAAATATGTTCAAACCATCTCAACACCATCACACACCATCAAATGTGGAATTCATTTTGAGTGCTAACCTTTTCATAAGATTTGTCGCTCGAAATGAATTCCAAATACTTTGAATCTTCAATGATCAACATATGAATGTATAATGTCCATCTGCGTACAGACCCTGGAGTGCTGCATTCACCTCTCACCATATTTACAGTGCTTCTCCGCATTCGTACTACTAGTACTACTACTCGGGAATAATATAGTGTGCAACGTGCATCTTGTATTTCTTGTATTGCCTCTGATGATCTAATATTGATTTTCAGACGCAGTGTGAAGTTCTCACTAGTACCATCAGACTTCGAACCTTGTCAAGTCCGATGCAGCCTCTGTATTCTGTACTATTATGTTCAGGCTGGGTCAAGCCTGCACCACTCAAACATCATCGTAGCCTCCGTGCTAATGTCAACCTCCACACTTATCTATGCCGCGTCAATGCCTCATCAATGCTGCGTCAAACCTCATCCATGCCACATCAAACCCTACCCTGTGCGTCAGCACTTCAAATGTTCGCGTAACTAAGTTAGGTATATTTTCAATCTGCCATAGTAATCGATTTTCTAGTAACAGTTTCCCTTTCGTCCTAACAGAATTAGACGTTGCACACTGCTGGTGGTTCTGGTCAAGTCTCAAAATGGCTCAGTGGTATGCCTTTGGTGCATGCTTTCACTCTCGTTGTTGCTCATCGAAAGGCCGTTGATTTCAAAAAACGCGTCCAAGCTCGGAACTGGGAATGGAACAATAGCAAGCTATTGAAGATGGCTTGGGTTGATCACATGGTAAGCTATCCTGCCGACAGCTTTGTGGCCTTGAGTGTCCGACTACACTAGAAGCAAGGATATCCAAGAATTCTGAAGAAGCGGGACCTGCAGGCAACCAGCTGTGGGTTCCAAATCGCAATCTCTTCCTCCCCCTTTGATTTTGCTTCTTATGTATTGCGGTTCTCGATATTTCGCCGAAAAGCAGGATGAAAGACAGTCGTCAATGAGATCTGGTTGAATTGGGTATGTTTTCATTGGAAGGCAGCTCACTCCATCCTCATCTGTGCAGCAGACTACCTTCTCTGACGTAGCTGCTCAGTGCTGTCGTTCGAGAAGTTACTCATCATGCCATCGTTATGCTCTCTGCCAAGGTATGACAGTTTCAGGATGTAAAATCTGTCTCTAATAACGACCTGTACAGCTATCTGACTGCATACTTCCCTCGTCGCCTTGCCCGCCCTCAGAAGCCTCATCCGCATCAATGGTATATCCTTCCCGGACGTCTGGGTCCTTCACTACGATACCAAGCATAAGTTCTAGTTCCTGTGTTCGGCATGGACCACGATGATTATGTTGTGCACGATTTTTGTGCGGGCGTCAAGGCGTTGATGGCAACTGCAGACAGTTACATAAATTAACGCCAAGGTAGACCTCCGTTCTCATCTGATCTTCACATCATCTTAAGTTCATCCATCCTCGTAGATCTGATCGTCGTTTACTAGAACTTTGACTGTTCATTCAACTAATGAACCGACTGGTCTTACGAGAGAAAAGATCGACAACGTGCCGTGCGGTGTGGTGGCTTTGAAGGTTATGGGAGCGGTGACAGGGAATAGGGTGGATGGACGGTGCTGGTGTGCGTCGAGATAGAAGAAACGCGAGTGAAGACACCGGGTTCTGACTATGGGTGATGATTTCAGGGGAAGGTCTTAGTGCATGCGCGTCCTCATCGTTTGTAATGCTTCTTGATACGACCAAGTACAAACGGAGGTGCCAACGATATTGGCTCTGCAGCTACGCAGTTGGCAACTTGGTATGCGGTCCTCAGCGCTTGCTTCCCACGCCGTCAGCCTCATACGGTTTTGTTGGTGAAGCTTGCAGCTTGTCGTTCGACATCCAACAGCGAACATAAATTTCACATCCACGACTTTACTTAGCGTTTCTTCCAGTTTTGCGAGAATCGGCCCACGCCAACATGTCAACACTCAAATAAACCAGAAATTCGAGTTGGATGCACAAGTTATAGAAGCTGAGCGATTTCCTGCAACTGCATCCCAATCTTTTCCTTATCCGATCGTCATTCCCGCCAACCGATTATCGAAGACATACTCAAGAAGGATGAACCCATCGTCGCACTAGGTACGTCCGCACCCAGTATTCTCCTTAATGGTTGTCTCTCGTATTCTTATTGCTCTGCTCGTCCCAGGCTTTCCTCATTTCCATTTGTTCTTCAAATTTCACATGTTCCTGTAAGGAGTGCCACTCCGCTGACAATGGAATTCCCTTTGTACCGCTTTGATGAGCCATTTGCTTAGATATAAAAGCATGTCCTTACTTTCCGTATCTTTAGTGAATCAATTCCCATTCACTCATCACTCATGATCCATCAACCCACGTCGAACTCATTACCAGCCTTACTCCTCGATGCCTCACGTCTCGTATATCCTTGCACGCATCACTCTCATGGTGCTCTTGTTATCACCATACACATGTTGTACTGTGTGCAATAAACTACGTTCTTTCCCAGTGACCCAGTTCTCTCAACATTCTAACACTTAAACTGTTGGCCACCGAAGCCCCATAATGTTCAAACACGCTACCGCTGTTGCCGCAATCCTCTGTTCAATTCACTGTGGAAGGCGCCTTGCACACTCTTCTCTTCATTCGTCTCGCCCGAAAGGCATCTTTGATCACTTTATTCACCCTATAACCATTACGTGCTCTCAAAGACCTGTTACCCGATCAGTCTTCTAACAAGTCGTTCACTCGAGTAACTCCAAACTAAGACCCAAGGCTAGGTACACGATTACTAATTATGCCGTGGTTGATGCAAGGTTCTCAGACGTCTCCGCGACTCGAGTCAATTTACTGGAATCAGATCATCGTCATCAAGAGCTAGTAGTATTGAATTGATTAATGAGAAGAACGGAAAGGACTGGAGACTCACTCGTAGCAGCGCTGCCAATGTGTCCCATGTGCCATGCGGCTCAGATCAAGCTCAATACATCCTCTCCCAATCACTAATGCCGTTCGAGGATTATATCTAAATGTCTCTCGTGAAGCGGGTGGTACCCAGAATAAGAGCCGACGATTGGGTCCCATTATCCATCCATCGTCTCCCAGAAGAGCGAATGTCGAACTGCGGTCATCATGGGGAGTGCCTGCGAGTAGCTCAGCAGTGTCACGCAGTGCATATGTCGAGTTTGATGAGAAGGAGATGAAGTCATCAATCGCAGTGTTGGGTGTGGGGACGGCCACTGTTGGATGTGGGATGTAACCGCCATGCGGGGAGGATGCTGGACAGTCTTCTTCGGCGTAATCCTGCAACGACTTCCCAATCACTGCATACCAGATCCGGACAGTCCCATCCCATGAACAAGAAACGATACGAGTCCCATCCCGCGAGAAAGAGGCTGAGCTGACCGGCTCAGTATGCCCCCGCAAAGGCAAACCGACTGGCTGCCCCGTCGCTGTATCCCACAGCCGGACAGTCTCATCATTCGAACCAGAAACGATACGAGTCCCATCCTGCGAGAATGAGACTGACCTAACCCAATGGTTGTGCCCCCGGAAGGGCTCACCAACTGGTTGCCCCGTTCCTGCATCCCACAGCCGGACAGTCCTATCATCCGAACCAGTCACGATACAAGTTCCGTTCGGCGAGAACGAAACAGAGCTAACCTCACCAGTGTGCCCCATCAAGAGCTCACCGACTGGCTGCCCCGTTGCTGCATCCCACAATCGGATAGTCTTATCCCGAGATCCAGTCGCGATGCGAGTTCCGTTGGGCGAGAATGAGACTGACCTAACTCCATGATTGTGCCCCCGCAAGGGCTCACCAACTGGTTGCCCCGTTCCTGTATCCCACAGCCGGACAGTCTTATCGTCCGAACCAGTCACTATGCGAATTCCGTTCGGCGAGAATGAGATCGAGCTAACCTCATCGGTGTGTCCCATCAAGGGCTCACCGACTAGCTGCCCTGTTGCTGCATCCCACAGCCGGATGCTATGATCACGAGAACCAGTCGCCATGCGAGCCCCATCCGGAGAGAATGAGATTGAGGAGACCGCATGAATGTGCCCCTGGAGGAGCTCACCAACTGGCTGCCCCGTCACTGTATCTAACAGCCGAACGGTGCCATCCGAAGAACCAGTCGCGAAGCGGGTCCCATCCGGCGATAGCGAGACTGAGGTAATTGAATTGGTGAGCCCTTGAAAGGGCTCACCGAGTGGCTGCCCTGTAGCTGGATCCCATAGTCGAACAGTCTTATCCGCAGACCCAGTCGCGATGCGAGTTCCATCCGGAGAGAACGAGACTGAGAGAACCTGCCAAGTGTGCCCCAGCAAGGGCTCACCGACTGGCTGCCCTGTTGCTGCAACCCACAGCCGAACAGTCCCATCGTGTGAACCTGTTACAATGCGGCTTCCGTCCGGCGAGAACGAAACTGACCCAACCCAATCGGTGTGCCCCTCCAAGGGCTCACAGATAGGCTTCCCTGTCGCTGCATCCCATAGCCGGACAGTCTTATCTGCAGATCCAGTCGCGATGCGAGTCCCATCCGGAGAGAACGAGACTGACTTAACCTCATCAGTGTGCCCCAGTAATGGCTCACCGGCTGGCTGCCCCATTGCTGCTTCCCACAACCGGACAGTCATATCGCTTGAACCAGAAATGACGCGAGTCCCATCCGGTGAGAACGACACTGAGTTAACCCCATCAGTGTGCCCCCGTAAGGGTGCACCAATTGGCTGCCGCGTTGCTGCATCCCACAGCCGGACAGTCTTATCGTCCGAACCTGTCACGATGCGAGTACCATTCGGCGAGAACGAGACTGAGTAAACTGTTTCCGTGTGCCCCCATAAGGGTTCACCAATAGGCTGCCATGTTGCTACATCCCACAGCCGGACAGTGTTATCGGCCGAGCCAGACACCATGCGGGTCCCATCCGGCGAGAATGAGACTGAGGTAACTGAAGAAGTGTGCCCCCGCAAAGGCTCGCCTACTGGCTTCCCCGTCGCTGCATCCCATAGCCGCACGGTGCAATCATCCGATCCGGTCACAATGCGAGTCCCATCTGGCGAGAACGAGACCGAGTAAACATAACTAGTGTGTCCGCTGATCACAGTTTGAACAGCCGTCCAGTTCTTATCACGTCCAGATGCCAGACGAAGAGTATTCAGAAATTTGGTAGTGCATTTTTGGGATATCATAGAGTTGAGGGGAGAGAACGATAGTGCTGACACATAAAGATGCGGGGTGCTGTGCAAGATCATGCCGCCGAAGACTTGGACAAACCTCTGCACATCCATTGCAGCAAACGAGGCATCTTCGTATCCAGACTGGCCCTGTAATTAAGTGTCAGCGCTTCATCTGACATTCATTAATCATGTGCTCACCTTGAGCCACTGGGAAATGCGCGGAAGGGCGGGGACTGCGCCGCTGAGTGCCTTGATAATGCCAAGGACTTCGATCCAGAAAAGCAGTCGCTGATGGTCGAAGAATAATTTGACTTCATGCGCGAGCTCCGTTTCGAAGACTGTCGTCTGTACATGGACAGGCCAAAATCGACAGGCGTAGGATAGGTGTGGGGGGATGCACTTTTCAACTCGTTCTCGCAACCCGGGATCTTCGGAATTAGGAAGATACGAAGATTTTAAATCGCAGACATTGAACGAAAGCCCATGTTCCATCACTTGAAGTGATGCGAAAGCAAGGTCGCGTTGTACTTTCGACATGTCGACGAAAAAATCCCCACTGTATGATTGGTTCGTCAGGAAATCGCGGAAGGATGCATGGAGGGGTCGGATGGGGGTAGATGAGTTGGTGGTACCGCTGAGGAGGGATCCCATGTGTTCTATTATGACTTGCACTTCGTAATGCTCGCCTGTGTCTGGAAAATGGCTCCGCATAACATTCAGGGACTCCAAAGAGAGAGGTTCAGCTGCGCCAAGGATTTGTCCCATCACAGAACGAAACCTTGCTAGTTGTTTGTGCTGAGACGGGGTGTGCGTAGGCCTATCCTTTCGTATGATCTCTGTCAAAATGAACTGATACATATCAAATAATAAATTTTCCCGCTCGGCAAGATCACGGGACGTGACAAGACCGAAGGCCTCGATTGGAGATAAACCAGGAGGGGGCGCTTTGATGTATCTGCAGGCGAGACGCGCCCACTCGAAAAGCCCATCAGCTTTTTCAGCGAGAGTTGTGAATTCTCTATCCCCAAAATTCGAGAGCCCTTCCAGCTCCTTCGATACGTAAGTGCGGATATCGCGCTCTGCGGTGGCTGATGAGATGTCGTCCATGGACATCCGTCGAATATGCTGAGCACCTGCAAGCTCAGCTTCGATGTCACGAAGGGGACGAGAAGTGACGATAATCCGGAAGTTGGCTGGGAGTTTGGAGATTCGTTGAAAACCTAGTTTGCCTGCAAGAATTTGGAGGAGGGGGAGCCGTGTCTCAACTCCGCCGCTCTCGTCCAGTGCATCTATCACAATGACGACGGGTCTTACAATCGACGCTGAGGGTTTCCTCAATGGTTTCATGAGAAGCTTGTCCCACTGCTGGACGATATCCACTGTAGTCTTGAGCGAACTCGCATCTTTAACTGCCTCCGCCAATGCTCGCCTCATCTCCGGATCACGGTCGGCCAGGTCGCGCGCAATGGTAGAAAAAATCTTTTCATGGCGACGGTCGGCATCTCGCTGGTGATCAAAGCAGTAACATGAACCGAGCCCTCCCACATCATTGAACCAATTAGCAATCGTATGGACGATAGCCGACTTGCCCTTGCCTGCAGGGCCAGATAGCCAGAGCACACGCTGAACATCGTCACCGGTGCTGTTGACCCAGTCTGTGATCTCGGAGATGATTTCCGTGCGCGTCCCTGGTAGGCATTGTTTCCCGGTATCTCGTCCTGCACCATCCGCATACGTCATACCGCTGAGATCTAGTGTTTCGCCTGGAGACGTATAAATAGATGTTGGAGAAGCAGGTACAAACCCTTACCTGTACGATGGACATAAATGGCTACATCGCGAGTAACTTGTTTCTGGAAGTTGTCCATGAGCTTATCTAACATTCCGCCGTACCCTCGAACTGCATCATCTGTTTCCCAGCCTATGTTCTTTCCGGCTCTACTCCCTATGATAATAGTAGAAGATTGAGACTGTGAAAAGTGCAATTACTTGCTAAAGACTCACAAAAGTTTTTGGTCTCCGAATAATCTCTAATAAAATAGGCACATTCAAGGATCTGCTGAGAAATCTGTCCAAGGATAGTGTGCATCGACGAAATCTGGTGAAGCCTCTTGTCTTCTGTAATGAAGCCATAAACATCACCCAACTTCTGGAGAAGGTCGAGTATTGCTGTATCGCGATCCGCTTGAGTAAGAATTATCTGCACGCATAACAACTGAGAAAGAGACACGAATGAGAACAAAACCAAACATACCTTTGCGGCCCAAGACAATACGCTCAGTGCCAACTTGGCATATGGATGTACCTATGGAACGGAATTGGTTCGGTTGCGATCGAGAGAGATGATCCATACCTCCGCAAGCGTCCCGATAATACTGTCGAATATCCTGAGGGGTTGAAGATATCTGTCCTGAAAATTAGATGCACCTTCGAGATCCGCCGGTACATTTTTGGCGGCAGATTTTCCAGATGTCACATGTACCGAAAGTGGCTTCATGAGTTTTACAGCTTCTTTGGCGTCCTGAAGTGCTGATTGGGGATCGGCACCTTGTTCCACACCAGAAGGAGCATCCCGAACCTGCACGATCACCAGAATTATATATATATAGAGAGAGAGAGAAGGAAAAACAAAAAAAGTGACTGACCTCGATATTCGCAGTCGATGAAGCACCTTCACGATCGACATTCGGGAGAACAGGGTCGCGGCCGCGGGAATCCTTCGGGGAGTGCTTTTGTACGATCACATACGATCACATGAGCCTTGATCCAGGAAAATCAAGATCCTTGTCGACTCACAGAAATCTTTTGAGTCGCATTCTTAACCTTCCCTAGAAACCGACGAATTTTGCCACGGCGTCTGCCCTTAGTGCCCTGGAGGAAGGATGTATCACAGTCAATGTTTCGAGTGAAATGAAAAGTGGTCCGCATCAGCGACATACCGAGCTTTCACCACCAGTTGCTTCACTGGATGTGCGGGTTTCGGGAGGAGGATTTTGATTCGAATTCCTTGACTGATTGTGCTCACTCATTGTTTGAAATATGCAATGTTGGCCGCCCTAAGGATCAGTCTGAGCGAAGTAGGGTGCGATAAGTAGTTAGAGGAAGGGTGGGTCCCGCTTCGTTTAGCTAGATAACAACAGGTCATGTTCTTGATCGTTGCGCCTCGAGGCAATGTTTATTTGCTGTTGTGTTGACTTCAAGCGCTAAGCATTATAGAAAGTGTAAAAGAATTTACGCACGCTTCAAAACGAAAGACGCTCGAAGTCGTCCACGTGATTCATTGATGCGAAGTGCGCAGTCACTGTGCGAATACACCTTTTCCATTTTCTTTCATTATCTTACCTTGGGCTCAGGCTCCACCCTTTGTGTTGACCATTCATTTCTCCTTCACCTTATGCTCCTTATGCTCATTCTGGCCTAGTCAAGTGTTCGAAAACGTATATATACAGCCCATGTACACTCATACCTAGCAGCAGGAACAGCAGAATCTCATGCGCTGATTCCCCGCTCACAAGCATGTCCGAAAGCTACAACGAAAGTCTCCGCCTCTCAACGTCTCGTCTTGTTATCATTGCGCTATATAACTATACTTTTTGCAACTACGTCGATCTGTTCGCAATTCCCTTCGAACTCATACACAGCCTTACAAAAGCGATCAGCGCTAGCGCACAGCTTCGGCTAAGCTTCCAATATAGTATTTGTTTGGTCAACGTTAACCCCCGACCACTGATTGATAGAGAGTTAGTCCAACCTGTCACCACCCTTGACAGCACCCTCCCAAGCCACCCTCATCCATTCTCATTGGAGGGTAGCCCCCACCGGCCCTAATCCAAGAGCCCCCAGCATATTATAGAGGTTTCTCCCGCCGTTGTCGGTATCCTCTCCCTGAACTCCTTCAGGGGTACAACATCATCCTCGCAAGCTACCTCACGGACTCATCCGTTATCGTTGGGACTCGGAGGGTAGGCCCGCCGGTCTTAGGGTCTCGCTAGCCCCCAGCACGTTATACCAAGCTCCACCCTAACCGTCGGTTTAGTGACTTATCGTATCCCCCAATCATTTGTGTGACTACTTATTTTATGTTATTCAATCATTTGATACTTATTTTTGAGCAGATCCCCATAGATTCGAGTTTTCTGATGCAAGAAAACATATCAGAGTCTGACAGCGTGATCATATATATTCCTGCGCAAGATTCTTAGTATTCTGGAGGATGTTCTGAACGAGACAAAAGCAGGCTACGCAGCCGCTATACTGGTATTGATATCAAATTACAACATAGTAACTACTAAACAAGGCTGTATCAGCTTGGGTATGAACGTTTCCACTCACTGTGACGAAAGTGACCAAGTAAATCCGATGCAGGAGAGCTATCCCGAGTGTTGAAATTACTCTGCGCGAACCTCACTGGATCCGTAAATATCAGGAAGTGGGAAACCACCAGGTAGCAGGAATGACGGGAATCGCACTGGTACGAGGCATCGCGGGGGGTGGAGAGAGTCGCGGTCAAAATTTTAAATTACTTCACGCTGTTTCAGGATCTCGCGATGACGCACATGGTAACGGTGGTCGTGTGGGTGCAGAGGGTCGCGAGAATTACCACGGGAAGGATGACGAGGGTCATGCTAAACATCATCCTAAGGGTCGCGTCGGACAGGCTCATCACGCAAGGTCGTGGAGAGGCTCGCGAGGGTTGTGTACAGATGGATGATGCCGTTCGAGCTCGATGGTGGATTAAACCACTCAGTCTGTCAATAGATCAGCAATGATTTTGGTCAGGTGTGAGGTTGTCAGATAATGAATGCACAGGCTCACGCCCTGACAATAAAACAGCGATTCCTCCGGTGAGCAAGGTGGGAGGTCGATAGAGGATGAATACACTCACAAGCTGTTCGGTGCTGTGCCACCAAGGTGATTAATGGCTAGGAATGGCGGGGGTACTAGCCAAACAAATATCATTTTTGTCGAGGCCTGATCACTCCCAGGGGCTTTTCATGAAGCATCGGGCGGGCGCCCAGGCCACATTATGACGGAACTCCGGGAAAGCCAGGAAGTCGAAGGACTATTTTCATTCGTCAATCGAAAACGCTGTGCTGATCGCAGACATGCAGGTAAGTGATTGGTATGCACCCCAAGACTTGCCAGTGGCAACTTGAAGTACACGACATTGGGACACTCGCCCCATCAGAGATCTAGCATCATAAGATACCGTCAGAGATATCAAGTTGCCGTGGGTCGGAAAAAAGGCGTGTGGTTTATCACTGGCTTCGAATTCAAAGACTTGCAAGGAAGTCGAGACTCGAGAAACGACTCACTTGCGTGACTTACTCAAGGATATGACACGTCACGCCTATATATAGCATCTGATCTTTTGATTGGCATAACCCATAGCCACACCCCGCACTGATTTGCATGACAGTCATGAAATGTTGCACACAATCGTGATTTCCAACACAGGAGTTACATCGCGCAAATGATACTTTCGAATAAAGAGTGGAGGTGTCTACAGTATCATTTAACACAGAAGAGTTGAGTAACATCTACATACAAAACAAAATTATACATCGCACAACATCGATAAAATGGGGAATGTGAAAGACTATGTACACTTCAGGTCAGTAGATAACATCGAGAGCCATAAAACCCAGCTAAACGGTACACCGAGAATAGTCAATGTAGTACACAAAGAATATTTCCAGAGAAGGTATGTAGTATGTTTGGGTCTTGCATATGTTCCATGTATCGTTATTTTTTACGTTTAGGAGCTACGAAAAGGCGTCAGGGATCAGCAGTCCACAGAAAGATCAATGGGATGCTTACCGCCTTCTTTCGAAGAAGAAGTTGCCTTCCTCTTTGTGCCCCCCTTGGTGTCTGGCGACGATTTGGTGCCCTTTTTTCCGGACGATTTGGAGTCGTGACCTGAAAGGGCACCCAGCTCACCGACGCATTTAGGACAGAACCATTCACCTTCTGGGATGGCCTCCAGAGGAGGATCAAGGCAGCCCAGGTGGTATGGATGGTCGCACTACCGATCCAACCTCGTGAGCACTGTCATCGAAAGTTAAGACGACTATAACCAACCTTGTCACATTCCAAGGCAGGATCGTCATCCCCGTTATCCTTGTCGCAGACTATACAGAGTTCAGGGGCGTCGACTTCAAAGGGATGACGTGGAAGATCAGAGAACTTGGCGTTTGGTTTTGCCAAGAACAAGGTGGTATGTTGACCGGCTGCCACGCTGGACGGGATCAAATAAACATTGTTCCAACCTGCGAGCAGAATATGTTTCACCTTATAACCTCGAATCCCAGCAAGAGGCTGGTTGCGAGTGGGTTTTGTGGCACTTTTTGGTTCATCAGGCCCCAGGCCGAGTTCACCTTGCAGTCATCGTTCAGGCTGGGTCAGTCATGAGGATTCTTCTTTTACTTACCGTAGGACGCATTTTGCCCCCAAGCAACTGTCATGACACCACCGTCGTCATCAGTCGTGAGAGCGAAATGGGTCACTCCACCGCAGCTGCCACCAGATATTTTGCAACCCCTGATAAAAAAAGTGCCATATTCGTGAATCAACAAGCAAAGTAAGAAGCAGAGATCCTACATCAGATCTTGGATAAACCTAAATGAGGAGTATGGCGAGCCAGAGGATCCTACCCAGATTAGATAAGTGAATGCATAAACAAACCGAGCCGATAGTTGATGCACACCTTCTCCGCTATTCTTCCACTGCAAAAGGGTCAGAAATGACACACGACTGTCTGACGTTTACGGACCTTTCCGGCCATCCAATACAATCTTTGCCTGTCCAGAACCACGGTATTCGAAGGGCCGGCGATAATATGAGCGCCCATTGTTATTTCATTCGGTCCGGCAAACTAAGTTAAGTTATTTCAGCGCTAGTTCGCGAGGGACAATCAAACCAACACGTACATGCGGGACTACTTTAGGGATGAGGACGTCCTGTTGGTTGCCCAGACCAAGCCGACAGTAGCCGTTGTAGCCCCACACGTACACGAGGCTAAGAGCACTTGAGTGACGTATCACTGAGCTTAGATGGTACATACCCTTGGGAATCTAGGGCTACGCTGTGCTGCGGCCCACATGCGATGTCTATGATAGTCTTATCGTCAAGTCCTTTCACGGGTACTTTTACGAACGGATCAGCTAGTGATGTTGCCAAATGAATGTGGAAGCTCACTAGGTTCCGTCTCAATGTCAAACGCCGTCTTGTTTCCGGTAATAATATGTTCTCCCGTCCTACCATTTCCCAACTGCCCCTTCTCGCCACTGCCAAAAGAAAAGACTGAGAGACGTCAGCTAGCAGAGGAACGGAATACGTCATGGGGTACGTACCTTTGCCATCATCGGTGAGTATAATGGAAAACGTTATGCCCACTGCTGCCTTGACGACGTGCAGCCTTTCGCCCTCAAGAAAAGGCCCTTCAATCGCTTCGAAAGCGGGTATCTGCGCGACGACCGGATGTCCGCACTGACATACCCCAGCCGGTCAACCTACACAACAAATTTTGCAAGCTGAAAGCACGACTCACCTGACCCAAGTTATTCGCGCCCGCAGACCAGACCTGTCCATCATCGCCAACTAACAAGGAATGACTACGTCCACATGCTGCATGCACAAATTTAGTGCCTTCTTCTGCACCCAAGTCCGTCGGAAGCACGCGTCGCGGAGTGTCTTCAGATATCGCGTCCTCTCCTGACACGCCAAGTGCAGAAGATGCATTCCGCCCGAACATCCATGCTGCGCCGTCCACGTCAAGAAGGATGAAGTGACACCCGCAACATGACGCGTGTATGGAAGCAATTTTGATATTGCTGAGAGAACGGAGGATATGGGGCTCGAGGAGGTCTGGTCTGGGACATAGAAAACTATTTTTGAGCTGATGTAGCTATGCTGGCTGGCAAACGACGTACGCATCAGGATTGCCTTCACCTTTTCCACCACGTTCTTTCCTCCCCAGTTTCGGCCTGTGAAAAGCGCACAACATCCATTCATAAATACCCGAGCTCAAATGACTGGTTCGTCGCTCTGGACTCGCTCACCAGTCCGTCCCACCGCAAATTAGTACTGTGCGCAAAAGTTCAGCTTCTATTCACAGAGATGCGACGTAGCATTTACCTCTTCCCCAGTTTGGGTTTTGTCCATCTGTAGATGTGGATGTTTTAGCCATAATTCTTGGAGGTTGGTTGCTGTGAAGAATCACGCTCAGCAGGCGCCAGCCAGTTCGAGTGTGTGTTTGGGAGATTTGATTGCTGCTTTCGGATTCGCTCTAGCGCTCTAACTACGATGCACGACGAGGACCCCCTCTCTTGTTATAAACGACCCGAGAACAAGCAACTATCGCATAATGACAATATTTAATATGTGGTTAACCTCAGATCTGAAACTTCCAAGACGACCACCGACCGATCCGTGCCGATCACTCATAAGACCCAATGAGAACTAGCCAAGCCATGTCATTTAAGTTAGAAACCAAAAGCTTCCAATTCAAAATACTCACGAATCGTAGTTCCGCTGCGCTTGATTTGGTACTAACGTACTTAGATCAGCAGTAATACATTAAAACACGGTCGCGTGATGCCCTCACCTCAAAGTCATCTCCCTCGAGAATGATAGCATCACCATGAACTAGGGTCACGGAAAGTTCCAAGGGCGCTTGCTTACTCTTTTTGCCACCAGTACCCTTCCGTTTTCCGGCTGGCTTGCCATCCCCCACATTATTTGATGACGGTCCAGATGCCTCCCCCAAAGCAAGGCTCGCTGGGTCAGGTTGATCTGCGGCGTTAAGGTCACCACCAGTTTGGCGGCAGTCGTCTGACACAATTACTGCTGCCGACGCAAGAGGTTCCGAACAACCATTATCCACCAGCTGTAACGCACTTAAGATCCGCTCGCCATCAATCTCCATGCGGTCCTCCGCATTTTCAATGGGGATCTCCGTGAAACCACGTTTGGGTACTAAATTCATGACGACTTCGGCACCCAGACAGATGATGGTGACAACGTGGCTCTTTGCGTTGAAAACGGCGCCCTAATCGCTTTTAGGAAAAAAACACAGCATCGAGTGCCTTTCTGGCTTACCCGTCTCGAGCCCGGAGTAGCCCATGCCTGAATCATGATATGGTTGATGTTGGCATTGTTGATTTCACCATACGCCTGCATATAATGAAGCAGGATATCCTGGATGTCGGAGACAAATCTAGGTATTTCAGGCTGTCCTGCTGGATCCCCAGAACAGATATGTTCGTGATTAAGTTTCGTGGACCAGGTAAAATAAGGACCTGGGATTAAATGTTCGCACGTTTAAGAAGCAAAGAAACAAGGATACATACTGTGTAGGTCACTGCGGGAAAGGATAACATCTTTCTGTACGTCGAGGAGTAGTTTTGTCGCATCCTGTTGCAATATCTCTTGGTTACCGGTGAAGACATGTTGTACTCTCACACCACTGTTGACTTGATACGTCAAATTCCGCATCATGTCGTCCCACGTGGAATCCATTTTGCCAACTGACGAAGGTGCATAATCGAGAGGATCCCGTATGGGCAAACGGTGATGCGGTCCTCGAAGTGCTTGTAGCGGATCAGTGTGGCAAATCAAGGCACTATCATTGGTCGTTACTTTTCCCTGCTGCCATAATCAGTAAGGCTCGACAACGCTAGTTACGGACAAAAAATCACTTTGCATCTGGAACTCTGGCAGATCTGGTGTCGAAAACACCTCTGCGCATTAAGCATCCCACAGTCTCTGCAGTACCAGCCTCTTGGAAAATACTCGCTAGGTTTGAAGCCTGCCAGGAGGTCCAAAGGCAGAAAGCTGAAATAGAGGGCACTTAGGTCTCTGGGTGTCTTCACTGAGTCAGCATCCTTTTCAACAGGATCAATCCACCATGGGTGCGACTTCTCATTCGATGTTTTCCAACAACCCCTCTTCACCTCCCGGTACCCATTCCAAGGTAAGGCGCCATCGTACGCGTTCGCACTTCTGAGTTTTAGAAATAGTTATGACTGTGTTGTCTATATCTGCCTGCAGGGAGATCAACAAACGTGACCAGTAAAATGAGCAAAGAACTGACGTTCAGGTCAGATATGACAAATAATCCCAAGCAACAGCATGCGTATTCGGGAGGGAGCTGCAGTGGTAAGAGCCCGCTTTCTCGAGATATGAAAACAAGTAAGGGGGTTTTGTCCATGCGACACTGATCCAATGTCTCGATCTCAGATGGCCTTTGTTCAGGTATCTGGGGTTGGATTTGAGGAGTTGCTGAGGAAGACACTGCCGGCGTATCCGGTTCTGGAACTATAGATGGAGACAAGACCGTCGGCGATGGTGAATTTAGTACCGGTACTGGAGCTGGCGTGGATAACTGTGACACAGCCATGGCATCGGATTCCAACACTTCTCGTAATTTAAGTGACGGAATAGAAAGAATTCGAACGAGCCCACCTTCGGATCCCACAGCCAGAGGTGCAGTGAACGATGAGAAATTGAACTGCAGATGGTCGCTTTTGATGGGGATGAAGGAGGGCGCGGAATCCTTGACAGACCCGCATTCTTCCACCTAAATTCGAGATCAGGACGCAAGCCTCACAAATATGCTGAGTTCTAACCCGTGCTGCCAGATCACCGTTATCAGAGGGCCTCTCGTCGTGTGTTATGTTATGCGAATCGCCACGTACAAGTACTTCGGGTCCGTATCGATAACTCCACTCCCTATATTTGACGCCGCTCAATCAGTGAACAAGGGTTAAAAACAAAAAGAACTCACAAAACGACTTCCAAAGTATTTTTGTCTCTCCAAGAATGCTCAGGGTTCGGATACTCTAGGAACAATGCGGGCATTTGAAACTGTCGCCATAAGATACCCGTAAGAGATTTCGTGAGTTCAGGAAATATCGAAGCAAATTCTGCGCGAGACTGGGTATCTAGTTAAACTCGATTCGCATTCATTATTTCGAGGTACTTCACATTTGCCCAGACGCGAGGTGTGCAGGGTGTGCAAAGAAGGGTATCGACTGTGGGAACAGCACAGCTGTCAATCGCACACTTGGTCTTTGGAGGCCTAACAAAAGTCCAAACCGGCGCTGTGGAGACTGCGGTATCTATTCGTGACGCGTTATGTGCATGAATAGGAAAATCTGATGATGTACCAACCGCTCCTAGTTTCCGGGTTGACTGGTTGTTTGAGTGGTATGCTCTGAAGGGGGTTACCATCGACCTTATTCTTATTCCCCTTGCATTTAGAAGTTTTCTTGGGAGTACTTGAAGAGTTCGGATGGGTCAATTTCGGTTTCTTGGGTGACCGAGAGTTTGAGGAAGTTGTTATGGGTTGGCTAGATCTTGAAGCTACTATCATCTTGGAGGGTGGCGCCAGAGGGGTCTGGGACATTCCGGATATTGGTGGGGATACAGAGGTTGGTGCACGTTTTTTAAGTTTGGTAATTTTGGGCGGGGGAAGCTTCTGATAGCCTGGTTGACTGGCATTACAAGGCCGCTCAGTCTTGGTGCACCGATCGCAGGGCAAGAGACGCGAACAAGATTGCTTTAACAAGCGACAATGGGTGCAGGAATAGGGAACAACGGATACATATTCGCCGGAGGGAGTTTCACGAAGTTCAAAAATAGCACGAGGATGAATAGCTTCGTGGTAGATCGTCGGATCGATGGGAATGATGGGTCGACGAACCTGATGGATGCCAGGCTCGTACGAAATCTGGTACATCATGATCCGTGTCGATGTCGACGTCCATCTCCGAGCATGAAGAGAGTCGGAACTTGGGTGACTAAATAGTACTTGCTTCAAACTTGGTACTCTCTGGAAGTCGATGGGGCGTCTATCATAACTCCGCGAATCACAAAATGAACGTGTCAGTGTCGTTTGTAACGTTCACATCGAGCTCGCAATGGGCAAGAAACCAAATCTCACCGGCTTATCTCGTTTTCTGCCACAAGACTTTCTTAATCCAAACGCTACTAGCCTCTCAGAAAAATCACAAAATGAGAGCAGACCTGCAAAGAAACACAGAACGGATACCCATGGTCCTGTTCGCACAAGATACGATGCCACCGCCCTTGTTCCTCACTACACCACCGCTCACGAGGTTCCAGAAAACCTTCAGAAATGTCCGTCGTAACACAACTTAACATTTCAAGGGCCCTATGATTCAATCCCAGCTGTCTCTCAGATTTTTCGCAACGAAAACGTTACTTTTCTTTATACGACCAAGGATGTCTATTAGATGAAGAAGGCTGGTATAGCGTGACACCTGAAGACATTGCCGTCCAAATTGCAGATCGCTGCAGATGCGATACAATCCTCGATCCTTTCTGTGGCGTCGGAGGAAATGCGATTGCTTTTGCAAAAACCTGCGAGCATGGTGAGAGGCTTGTTCTATCGCTCACCATAATCTTGCTAATTTTATCAGTCATTGCTCTGGACATCTCCCCAACACGACTCGCTTTGGCTCGTCATAATGCTGCTATCTACGGTGTTGCAGACCGTATTGAGTTTATCCTTGCAGACTATATCTCATTTGCGAACGCATATCTTTCACTATCCCACCCAACGCGCAGAATTGACGTCGTCTTCTTGAGTCCCCCTTGGGGTGGCCCAGGATATATATCTCCCTCCGAAAACCATGTCTCTCCCTACAACAACACAGACTTCCAGGATGACCTAGAGACGCACTCACAGTATAGCCTCTCGAGGATACAACCGGTACACGGAGCTGATCTATTTCGCCTGACGAAGCGGATCTCAGATAATATCGCTTACTTCCTTCCCAGAAACACGGACTTGAATGAAATATCCGCCTTGGGACTGCTCGAAAAAGACGAGAGTGTCACTCCTGATGACAAGTCTCGAATGATTGAAGTGGAGGAAGAGTGGATGGGGTCGAAGTTGAAAGCTTTGACTTGTTATTTTGGTGGTCTGGTTGGTGGTCAAGAACACGTATTCTGACTTCACACTGCCAGAACTGGTGTAACGCAAACACATTTTTCGGACTACTCTTGGCTGCGAATTCTTGTCAATGTACCAGGGTTGGTCGTACGAAGTGAAGTGTATTACAGTTTGAGGTTTTAATTTAAATCTTGTAGCCCACGAGCTGCAGTAATTTGTGTGGCTCCTCATTTTTGGGCACCCACAGGCACCTATTTGTACCCACAACCCTCTCTTATGCTCACAAGATCTTTGACAGATCGATAATCGAATTCTGTTAGACGTCGAGCCGCCACGCCAGAGCTCAGCTGTCCATGGTATTGTTCGCGTCTCGATTTATGAATTCTATCAGTCTTTTTATTCCCCGGCGATACATAGTTTGCGCTTGACAACTCAAGGCAAGTACGTCGAGAAGGTATGATCACTAGTTCAAATACATCAACCTCCAACCTCGCTTAAACATCAGCTGACTCACGTGTACGCGAAGCCAACGCGGTGGTCATCAGCATCGAAGACAACATAATACCTCTCCATGAACTTCTGACCGATGGCGAAATCTAAGCCCCTCCCGCTGTCAGCGCCCCGAGTAGCAATGACGCCGTATTGTAAACCAGTCTCGCCGCCAAACATGGCGTTCTGGTCCAATGGGATCAGTTGTGCAGCTGTATCCATGCTGAACACACAACCGCCGATCGTGAAGTTGAGGGGTTGTATGTCCGCGACAGAGGAAGAGAGGATGACAATGAAGCCAGTATTGTTAGCGCCGAGATAGGCTCCGGGGGTAGCGTCTAAGTACATGGCAAAGAAATCGTCCGCAAGCAGGACCGCTGCGATAATGTGGAGTTGGATGGTGCGAGTGATAACGAGTCAAATAATACGTACCAGTTGTACCCGTGTCGACAATGCCGGCGGTTGACTGAGGAATAAAGGTGTGTGTGCCATATGTCAAGCAAGTCACGTTGATACCCCAGAACTGTGCTGCTGGGAGAATCTTGGTAACCGGAGTGTAGGTTATTTCACCGGTGTACTGACGGGTATATCAGGAGTTGCAATAACGATAAGTATGGTATTGTACGCACAAGAGCATGATCAATGCCACCATATGTAAGTACTCCATCTGTTCAATCAATGGCCAGATGGGTTGCATGAAAGTCAGATACAATGAATGCGTACTAGTGTCATTATAAGTCGTTGCCGGTGCGAATAAAACACCGAGAGTCTGCTTTTTGATCAAACCCTGCTTCAAAGCGTTGTTCATGACGGTCGGAATTAAGGCGTTAGCGTCGGGAGACAGAGTGCCCTGAGTGAGATCAACTGGACCGACGCCAATAATGCCATCGACGCCGCCAAAGTCTGCGTATTGGAGTGCATCGCCGATAGATTGGTTCGTGATGACGAAGTCAGCTGCGAGAGTCACTGTGTCATAGTCTAATGGGTTAGGCCATGTCAATTTATATATGCCGGAGCTAAGTGCTGAAGAAGACAGACATTCGGAACCACTGAAAAAGCCAGTCCAATAGCTGACATTGACATCCTGTCCAGTAGGGACACTAGTTGATGTACGGACATACTTCCTTGCCCGTTCTGCATGGCATCATCAATCATTCAAGTCGCAAGAGAAAAAGTACTGACCCGACAAAGGTTTTGGAACTCCCCGTGTCAACAACTAAATTGTAGTAGGCGGCTGGACTGCCGACACCAACGCTCGTAGTGTACTGTGTGTATGCCAGGTTTGAGGCCGGGATGGTCCTTGGGCCACTGGTTGGTCGGCCCTTCAAGGATGACGCTCGGTCACGATCAGCATGTAGAGACCCTTGAAAGTACGACCCAGTACGCTCAAGCTTTGTCAATGGGATGTTGACCAAGGCCCACGAGGTAGACCTGCCGGCTGCGATTAGAATTGCAAACAGAAGCGTGGAGAGCGACCGCATGACTATGGGAGAAGGTTTCTGACTGCTCGCATGGATGATGGGGTTGACAACCCATTTATACTCAAAGTATGTGCCCATGAATGTACACATGGGCACCGATAGGACGTGCCACGAATGCAAGACTCATATAGCCTTTCAAGGATATAAGCGACAGCACTAACAGCAGCAATACCGCGTGAACCTGCTGCTGCAGCACATGGGCATAACAGAGAATCCGACACTGCGGCATAGCCCCCACTAGGACCTATCGCCAGACTTATAGAACAGAGAGTGGTTTGAACGGCCTGCTAGACGCGAACACCACAAGGAGCACGTGGTGACTAGCCAAGCCGTATACTAGAAAAACAATAATCGTTCCAATTTCAAGGTACGGCATGAGCATTTCGCAAGTGCTGACAGGGCACCTGCGCTCTCCCGCAGTTTCCTACGCTTCGACATCTTGTTCCGTTGGCGAGGTTACGTGGGCACTGGGAACCACAATGTTGAAATTTGTCGTAGGCTGCGATGAAGTAAGATTAATAATCACACTTATGTAAGCGAGGCAGCTGATTCGGTTCAACGTTAGTAACGTTCATCTTTGGTTGTTAACATCCAGTGGTCACTCATCTTGTCTACGATTCTAGTGGTTTGATGTTTACAAACCATGATGCATGATGGGCCCACCGCGATCATCTTCCATCAAGGCCATCCACCTGACTCCAACTATGTCAAGATTCAATATACTATGAAGCTGGGCATCTAACTGGAGTGATCGATCCTGCACATGCGAGAATTTCACGTATTTTTCCCCTACTAGAAAAAAGAAAATTATGGTGCTCGCTAGGATCTGCACGGTCCTAGCCAGGGGATGCTGCGGCGTCGTTGGCGGTGTGCATTTGCTGGTTTCACGGATGAGAGAACGGAAGTGCGCGGCGCTCGAGGTGAACCCACTGTCCTTGATTTGCTATAAGAACATTCATTTCACGCTAATATATATCCCGGATCGAGTATATTCAATGATCAGGATCTGTGTTAGATGTTTGTATGAAACGTTACTGATGGTTCGTGCTAGCTAGAGTATTGAGTAGCTTCTATCAACTTCATGAAAGTCATTCTTGCACCGTCACGGTAATTTTCTCGTTGTTCGAGTCTGCTTCTGGCATCTGCACGCCCATGCACACATTCAGCTAAATGAATCTTTGCATTCCAAACGTAAACGGTACATGTACATTGTTTCAAGGACTTGTATAAAATGGTACATGCTCGCAAGTGTACAATTTTATATAGAAGGAATGACTGTCTTCCTTCCATTATGGTAGGGGAGAGTAGTACTGGTACTATCACACACAACAGCAAAAGTTAGAAACGTTCTAAGCAAGGAAGACGAAACATGATGCGGTTAAAAATGTAGCTTCACACATAGCAAGATATAGATAATGACGTAGCCTTCTATGATGACAGTCATCGCAATGAGAATCGTACAATGCAGGAAAAAAGTGAAAACAATTCACATAGAGGAATAGCTGTGGATTTCACAAGGGACGCTTGGGAATCAGCTTGACGGTTCTGTCCTGCTTGACAATATTGACATCCTTCCCGAAATAGCGGGCGGTCACGAAGGACCATTGCAGCGGACCAGTAATCCAGTTCTGCAGTCCCTGGACGTAGAGAGCCACCTGCTTGTCGACTTCTTCTCCCCACGAGGGGATGATAGCACGGTTTTCTTCAAAGCGTTGGAGGGAGATATTGCATAGCCGGGCGCAGTAGTCAACAGCATCTTGCAGGTTGAGACCTTGATCAAGCATGAGCACAGCAACTAAATTATGTGTGCTATGGTGAGATTGCTCCATGTTATAGGAGAAAATATCCTGTCAGCAGCGATGTCAGTAGTGCCCCAGGTTCGATGACAGAATGAGGTATTACGTTTGACCAAGAAACAAAGTCATTGGTAGCCTCCTCCAGGGCCATGATGACCGGATGCGAGACTACTTCGTCGGGAAGATCAATCCGATTGACGAATTCGATAAGGGCAAAGCAAGACTTGCAGCCGCTCAAGTCGCGTCTCAATTCAATGTAAGATTCAACGTCATCGACATGTCCCTTGGCGCGGTTGTCCACCTCCTTTGCCGCAGAGATGAACCACAAGTCCATTGCGTGGATAAAGCGCTCTGTGCAGCCAGGGCCGCCAGTCTCCTTAAAGCGAGCGAAGTATCTAGAAACCGTAAGATGGTTAGAATGTGTGCGTGACGGAAAAAGTTAGACGCACGATTTGCACATCTTTGCACTATATCTTTCCGTCTGGTAGTTGACGGGATCGCGGTACGCAGACAGGCAGCAGTCACGTACTCCCCACGCATCATTGACATCGGACCTCTCGATCTCGAGCCAGTCGTCTAATTTGAACGACCAGCCCAGAAAGTCCGCGCAGACTTTGAGATGGAAAGCATCCGCATCAGGGTAACAAGATGAAGCGAAGTAACCTGCGAGCAAGCTCGTATATTTGGTCCTCTCGGGCTCTACTAGATGGGCTTCGCTACAAAGCCATTGTTCAGAAGCGCGAGATACCAGATCACAGTGAGGGTTTAGTTGCATGGGGTAGCGGCAATCGCTGACAAAGTCAGGTATAATGAACTCTGTGGGCTCGGAGTCAGAACAAGTGACTGCGCAGGTTGCAGTAGAAGCCATGGAGGTTGTTGGAGTCGTGTCGTGAACGTCGAGATGAGTGAACGGAGAAATTAGAGACCCGTGTTGTGAGACAAGGGTTCTGAACATGCCAGTCTTTATACTTGTCAAGCTTTGCTAGCGGGTGTATCGTGTTGGCTCGGACCATCGTGTGCTTTTGGAAAGGAGGGTCCACTAGTCAGGTTGAAAGAAAGCAGGGTGTAGACTCACCTGTCCCATGTGTCACCTACTCGAATAACAGCAAGGTTTGTATGGCGCTTCCATAAACAGGGTGAAACATTAATGCGCTAGGCCATATAGTCTCCTAAGTTTCCGTGGCTTCGATGTCACTAACAAAAATGTGAGACTCAGATTCAATGCGCTATTCCATAGGCAGGATGTGCAAACGACGAGAACTTTCTCGCTACAGTGTGTTGTTTTGTAATTGTTTCGTATCAGTAGATCTCTTCTGTGAACATGACAAACCGCTCACCTCAAGCTTTTCCCCTCTGTATTCCCTTTCTGGAAGTCAGTCGTGCGATGAGCAGTAGAGATAGTCAGGGTTAAGATGATCAGATGTCAAAATACGAGGACGATGAATCTCGTACATTTGATCATTGACGGCGATTCACCTGTATGTAAAACGGGATTGACGGACCTATCTAAGATCTGTTCGTTGACTTGTGTGGGCGTCATGATTCATGATACTATATGTGGAGTACCAGAAGTGTGCGAGAGACATAGTATATGTCAACGGGTTTCAGTGCCGAATATAGATTTGTGGGTAGATCAGTCGACGAATTCTGTTCCGCTGCAGTTCGGAGACTAACGCTCAGTCAAAATGCTAGGCATCCATCGTGTCAATCGCAGTATCTGTCATAGCAACACAGTGGCGATGAAACACGGAGCTGCAGTGGCTGTCGCCCGAATCTGTCTCGTGCGACAAGCCACTCTCGATATTAGTTCCGAGACTCCTTGTATGTCACGATGAGTGATCTGATCCAATTTGCGCTCTGTCGCTCAACTAATAGATGTGTTAGTCCCATCAACGTTGAAAAATACGTGGTAAGAATCACATTACTCATCATGATAGACATTCCTTATCAAACCACAAGTCGGGAAACAAAGTATTCTGGAAGTATGACATATCGGCGTAATTTCCGAATTTTAGTGCATCTAATTGGTGAGTGTCACGTACCGCACTACGTAGCCTAAACTTGTTATATCATTGTGAGTACACTGATTGAGGTGATTAGAAAATCTCACTTATATAAATTAGCAGGTTTCTGAGTATCGTTTGATGATAAGGCTATCCGCGTCAGGAGCGTATGCACACTCACACTATACTCTCGTACATCGATGTAGGTCCATGCCCGCGTCGGGTTCTTAACAAGTTAACGTTCAAACGTTTACGGAAAGTGTTTTGGACCACGTGAGACGCGTCATTTGCAACCGCGATTGTGCATCCCAGATTCCCAGTCCTAGTCACTAGTCTAGTCACCAGCGGCCCACGACCAAAAAACGTGGTGGTCAAATGCTCAGAAAAATGGCATAGATACTAGAGCAGCATACAAAACATGGACGGAATGTCGAGAACGAGCAAAACCATTTCTAAAGAGCAAAAGTAGTAACGAGAAAGCTTGAAAGATGCAGAGACTGAAGGACATAGAGATACGGTGTAACACTGGATGGCTATGAGTGGGACATTGGTAACAAATGCAGCAGGGAATTAATATAGAACAGTAAATAGCTAACGGGGATATTGATGCACGAGAGTAAGTACGCAACCAGGCGCAGTGTCCAAACAAGCAGCGCTGATCGAAGCGCGTTCAGTTTTCCTTTCATCTCTTCATCGATAGTGCTTCCAAAATAACACTTGTGAGCCGGGCTGGAGGAGATACCAGGCGACATATTGGATGAGAACTGCATCACAGAATCAGGACTGAGTAGTCCAGAAGTGTTAGGACTGGACACAAAATAATTCATGAGGGGCTGGCGAGGAATAGGTATAACGAGCGCAGGAGGCGCGAGAGTACGCGTGTATTTCGCAGATGGAGATGGCGGTGGGAGTGCAGGGAGAGGGGGCAGTGGGGGGCGGAGCGAGTGGGATAGTTCGCTTGACGGCACGACGCAGGCTGCACGGGGTTTCAGAAGACGTCTAATTATAGGCATAGAGCCGCTTACCGTAGTGGAGCGACTGCGTTCAGACTGCCACTTCTTAGTCTTCCAAAAAGACTGTTAGTTTCTGAAGCGTTCTCTGCGATGCTGCCTGCACGACTCCGGGTGGGAGACATGACGCCGGCGCGTTGAAACGCGCTACCCGCATTCCGCGTCGGTGACTTAATAAGAGCCATCGGGTTCACACCAATATTCATGCTACTGCGACGCCTGCGCATGCGAGGACGGTCAGCATTCGCAGTGGGTACTGCAACAACATTATTCGAGTTGCCACCGGGTGTGGGTGTCACGCTCAGATCGCGATCGACAGGGTGCATAGGACTGGATTGCATCGGCATCGGCGAGGAAGGTGGTGCAGGAGTTGTTGCTCTTGGATGGTAAGGCGCGAGAAGGCCAGAAGAAAAGAAAGCAGAATAGGTGACCATCGTTGAAATCGACAAGGCCTTTCTGAAGAATTGAAGATGAACTTGGTCAAAGAACAAGTTGAACCAAACCAAATTTGGACTTCTTGATAAGGATACAAGGCACGTCGATTGCTAGAGCACTGCCACATTGTCCAGCGAAAAGTGAGATCTACACAATATAATTTAATATTCATTGACATCAACAGCACAATGAATCAAAACCTATCCGGCATCGCAAGCTTGCACTAGCAGCTAAGTACTAGCTAGAGATTGAACGAATAGAAACATTGACTCACAGTAATCCAACGCGAGTTCATAAATTTATGTCATGGTTACGGCCTACGTAACCTACGAACAATAATTACATAATAATTCTTAGCAACCAAAAGGGTTCACCCTCTTCAAAATCTTTGTCACCCCACCGAACAAGGCCGACTAGCTCAGTTGGTTAGAGCGTCGTGCTAATACGATTCGTTCGTAAGAATGTGTTTAGCAGCTTCACACTCTTACCGACGGTTTCGATACGCGAAGGTCTTGGGTTCGATCCCCACGTTGGCCAATATTTTTGCACATCAATTGTTAATATTATTATTAATATTATTGTTGCTCTCAGCAACATTGGGGTTGCAACTCGATTCTATGCGTCCGTAGATACTTGAAGGCTATCAAACCACAGGGGCAACCCGAATCGCACGTCACAGAGACGGCAGACCTACGCACAATGTCCATCTCAACAGGAGTAACACTGTGGACGCCCAGTGACGGGCAGAGGCTGCTACCACTAGTACTATGCGGACTCGGACACTTGAACTCCACCTCTCTCCTTCAAGCATCGATGTCAGACTTATCATGATGAGCAATGACTGACCCTAACAGTCTTCCACAACCAGGTACTCATACTTCTACCATCACCCTACGGCCAAATACTTGAATCCGAGGACTCCCAACGCCCCTGCTCGATAACACGTCTGGTGCGAACACTGCTGATTCTATCTAAATTTGTTTTGACACAGTGGCAAAATTCAGTTGCGCCACCGTGGAGGCTCTACAGTTAGAACACGGTGACCGTATCCACCGAGCCTCGTGATGTTCGTACAGCGGACTTGTTTCACAGCTATTTATTTAAAAGTGCAGGAGAAACGGATATCATGACACCGTTTTCATCTGTTTGAAGTCTGACGACATCAAGAAAGGTCACGTTCAGATGAACAAGGTTGCCCGGAATAACTTGCGCGTCACACTCGGTGGCCAGTGTCCGAGTCGATCATTGTTATGATATGATTCAACTGGATACATATCTACCCCAAAGGTATGCACTCACCCAATAATTTCCGTCAATATGCTTATCTGGCCCTGTAGCATACCAGCCGGTCCGCAAGGGCAACACATCCCTTGTTCATGGCAGCATGCGGGCAGTGGAGTTCGAGTCATTAGGACTGATCCCGAATATGGCATAGTGAGCGAACACATCATCGTTCGTCCCCCGGCGTGTCCGCACAATCCACTCTCGGACCAGACCTGTCCCTAGCGGACTTCTACGCTGCGTTTGAACTGTCTCCAGAAATATAGGGAAAGTTGGTTGACATTAATGGATATACTGGAGCGTGAACTATCAGGTATATTGTCGTATCTGAGCTGAAAGAGATTGGTTTCAATGATGGCGAGATCGCGGCGATGAAGGATGCCGTCGCACAATGGACTGTCGCTATTGATAAATCCACCTGCCAACCGAAGCTGGGAGTCTTCGGGAGATAGATGCAGGGGGGGGGGGGGGGGGGCGTAGTCCCCCTCCGGAAGGAGGTCTTCACAAAAAAGTGAGGTCTTTCGCTTTTTTGCTGCAGGCTTACCCTGCGAGCCCGGATGTGCATCGCACTAGGTCCGTTTTCTACTTTATTCCGTCGTGCGCTGTTTACGACGATGATTTCACCCAATACCTGTGGTAAATTTATTTATAGTAAGCTTCTTGAACTCCCAGTGTTACGGTCGTCTGGCGTGATTATTTGTTTAAAACCAAATTGGCGCGTCATGAGTGAAGTGAGCACGAGTAAGTGCTTATTATGGCCAGACCGTGGTAGTACCCTACTTGCAATGCTAGTAGGTCTCGAGTAGCAATGTTCGCATCAACATTGAATCCAAAATATCCTGGTTCCCAGAGTCATATCACAAAGTTCATACTGCAACAGCAACTTGTCGTCCACTACGCTGATAGCGGCTGTATTACGTCATCTACCGCAAGGGGAGGAACAACTTACGCTTTGTGATGATTGCCCGTGTGTTAACCGAGCCAACATGTTCTTCATTGTGAGTACCTCTCTCCGAGAGCTCTATCACCATTCAATCCGTCATAACCAAACTTCAATGTTCAGAAAGAATTGACGCACACGATTCTCCTCCATCCGTCATACTTTGGCCCTCGGATGCTCCAGTTCCTCGAGTCAAAACTCTACTCAGACGTAGAGGGAACATGTTCAGGCGCATTCGGGTACATCATTGCTGTCGTCTCAATCCTGGATATTGGAAAAGGCATGGTGCTGAGCGGAAGTGGCCAGGCCGAATTCATTACCCGCTATCGTGCAATAGTCTTTAAGCCATTCAAAGGAGAAGTAGTCGATGGGGTTGTAAATAACGTTAACAAGGTACGCCATACCCTGTTATGTCTCATTACTCTGTACTGAATAGTGTGTAGATGGGCTTCTTTGCTGATGTCGGGCCGTTAACAGTTTTCGTATCTCACCAAGTGAGTTTGAATACTGTCCCGTTCTGCCTCGCTCAACATCTCGCCCCATTCCTAGCTGATACATCCTGACATGAAATTTGATCCGACCTCGAATCCGCCATCTTTTGCATCAGAGGACCAGGTATCGTCCATTTATGTGTTGTCCCCTTAGTATCCCTACCTTGTCTCGAACAGATCATCGAGAAGAACACTCGTGTACGACTAAAAATTGTTGGAACGCGCGTTGACGCTACCGAAATCGTGAGTCTTTTAATTTTAGTACGACTACAACTGTTAACACAAGCTCAGTTTGCCATCGGAACGATCAAGGAAGATCATCTTGGTGTTATAGACTAGTCAAAAGATCGAATTTGGACGATCGCCCTACGTATACCTGCTTTCACTGTATTCGCTGTGTTATTTACTGCAAAGCACTAATGCCATCTTCTCAGTCCAATTCATGCGCTCAAATAAATATCATTAGATGAATCCATCCCACGACAGAATGCCTAGCGAAAAAATAGAAACAGTGTACATAGGACAGCAATTGGCTATAACTACCTACAAGGACAGTATGAACTATTAATATATAGTCGAGACAGTCTCGTCTAAGTATCACCTCTACCCCGCTTATTCCTCATCCTCGAAATGCAGGACCTGCGCATCCTCGTCTACAGGTACATCCCTATATCCGCGCCTCGCGCGGTAGTTCATCGATACAGACTCCAGGCTTGATGCTATATATTCGAACGCGATACCCGAAAGCCCAAGAAGGAACCATGGTACAGATGCCAGCGTATCCATCACACCAGACCTCGACCCATGCGAATATTCGCCTCCGGGTAAACGGATCGTCCTGTGTCAACGATAAGCATACAATGCGCACACATCAAGTGGATGTTACTTACCCTCTCGCCATTCCGCTCTTGCTGTACCACCACCATGCGACAAGCGCTGTGATCGCAAAGGGGAACAAAATCACCATCATCCAGAACATCGCGCTGTGGCCGTTAATGCCAGGGCATAGGTGTTGCGTGCCTCGGTCTATGCGGTCGCCGCCCTCACAAGTGGAGTAGTCCACCTTGCGATACGCCGTGCGTTCATACCAATAGTCTTCTCCGTTGCGACATGAATCATCTGACGGTAGTGGTTTCGTCCCGGGCACAAGAACGCATTCGTCCCCGTTGCGAACATGGTTGAATTCGCTGTTTTTCGTGCCCAGATTTAAGTTACCTCTGAGCGAGCGGTATCACACCCGTGACTCACCATTCAAAGTCCTCCTCCGTACATGTGCAGTTCTGTACAATGTTGTCTAGTGCCTTGGGCGTGTCTCCAACAACACAGTTCACATCCCGTTTGCGGCGATGGTAGAGCGTCTGTATATGATATGGGCGACAAAGGAAAAACTCAAGTCCAGATGACCCACCTGTCGTCCGAACAGGCAAAGTGAGGCTCTTTCCTCGCTGGGGCTCCACAGCTCAAAGTCATCATGTCCAGGATCTTCCACATCCACGAGGCCTGGAAGAATGAGTTCAACATCAATCACCAAGCACAAGAGCACCCGACTCACATTTTTTATGCGTGAGAGATGAGAAGTCTAAGTGCACGATCACCAAGCCAGCCGTTGTGGAATAACGGCCCAGGAGCATAAACTTCCGGCTTGTATCCTCCTGTACCGTCATAATATCCCTCACTCTGATCTTCTCAGTCGTAAACTTGAATTCTCGCCAAGTGAGACCCTCATCTGTAGTAAACAGGACATGGTCCGTCGGTTCCTCATCGTTCACGATCACGATGATAGACCCTGAGTCGCCGAATTCCCAGAGATGGGCGTCCTTGTGTACTTCTTCCCATGTGAACCCACCATTCCGGGACAGGAAGGTATCGCTCTCAGTGTAGGTGGCGAGCGAATCACCCACATTCCCGACTGCCATCACCACGCCTACGACGGACGGGCTGCTATATGTTGCCCGGGCGTCGAAGCGCTCTGTATACCCATGAACGTGGAGCGCACAGCCCTAAACACGACAAAATAAGTCAATTGAACAGCGATGCGCAAAAAAGCACAAAATACCACTGATGTACAAGGGTACTTCACACCCAGCGAATCTACTGAAGGGGGTGCAAGAGGCTTCCAAGTGCCACCTGACGCAACAAGTAACAGTCAACGAGAGGCAGAAGGTACCGATGAAACAAAGCATACCATCATTATGCGTGATCCTCGTCTGCAGAGTCTTATGTCCCGTGAGCGCAGCCTCTGCAGGATTGGCCACTATGTTAGCCATCGCAATGCCATCCAACCCTACAAATTTCTCAAAGTCGACGAAGCCGCCGACATTCCTGTTCACGTTCTCGAGGGATAGCCCAAAGTAAGTTCCGTTAGAGTTGGATTTGAGGATGTTGCCCCATGGCGCTGGCCCTTCGTTCATGGTCATGTGTAGGAAGATGGATCTAGTGCTTGACTCGAGGATAGTGTATGCCTAGATAACATCATGAGCAATTTTAGCATCTGTAGAGTTAGAGCGATGCTGCCTACGTGAGAATCTGGATGCATGCCGGGAGGGAAGCTCCCAGAAGCAAACGTCCGTCCATCAAGTGAGACCTGGATGTTAAGCGTGCCCCTCATCGGGAGGTACTGCGAGTTCACAACCAGTCAATCAACAGCGCACGCACAAGACAACTGAAAAAAAACTCACCTCAGCCACGATCAAAAACTCTGAAAACTTGGTGAACCCCACGACATGGTCAAATAGCTTATTCTTCGTCGCATAATAGTCCGTCCCTGACACAAGTTGCAACGCATTATTACTCCCGAAAAACATTTGCGAGCCCTGTTTGTTCGCATACGACTCGCATAGGATCTGAGATGAATCAATCCGCAGCTCCTCGTCGCGTGCCCAGTCACAGTTGACAACGTAGTCCTCTACCCACCGCCAATCCTGCCCGTTGTTCCATGTGTACTGGGCTTGCGCGTGACAGTTGTCAAACCCCGATTGGCAGTCCACATTACCAATCCAGATGACATACTCTGTCCTGGGCTGGAAGCGGAGCACTTGGGCCCCGAAGGTGTTGGGAGGCGAAGGCGCTTCGGAGGAGAGCCAGTTGCGGCCTGTATCTGTTGTGTGGTAGAACTTCTTGGAGTCGGTGAGAAGGTATGCGCGCTCGTTGCTGTATGTGTGCATATAGAACGCTACGAAACGCTCCTCTGGGAACTTTTGTTCCCACGTGTAACCCTCGTTGCTAGATTGCCATATTGTGAGGTCGGTAAGACGGACGAGGACGGTCTATGGAGGTAGACGTGAGCTGAGGTATTGATATGGTACTATATATAGGACGCTCACCTTCGAGTCCTTGAAATACTCGCTCTGCACAATATCACCAGTGAACGAATGCTACAATATCGTAAGTTTCCATACTGGAAAGAAAAGCGAGAACAGAAACTTACAATCTTGTGAACGACCGCTCCTTCGACAGGTTCAGCTGCAAATGACACATGAGACACAGACCCTCCATAGCTGCTAAAGCACTCACCTTCGGAACAATCTTTAGACACGGGCTCGTCCATGCGATAGCCACCTTCACACTGGTTCCCGGGGATCTTGCGATATCCCGATGAACCCATATATTTTTCGTTAGGCGTCCCAAGGATACATTGGGTGCTGGGTATACGCTCTGGACCCGAAGGTACACATTTACCATCGCTCCGCACGTAGTTGTAGTCACTGGAACAACGTATGAGCGGTCGTAATGGACAGAATAACGAGGAACGACGTACCACTCATAATCATGTTCCTCGCATGGGCACTTATCATCATGAACTTCCGGATCATGGAACTTCTCACCCATGTAGCAATCTGCGTCAGCCTTGCGCCTCGTGTACCATTGCTTCGAAGTATATCAGCAAGACCATTCTCATGGCAAGGTTTACATCAGTAACAGACCTTGGCACCCATGATGCACTCTGATTTGGAATTGGCTCTTGCATACCATGACTCCTTGTCGTTGGAACCACACTTTGGACGCCCAAGGGCGGCGAAGTCGAGGTAGATGGCAGCGTTGCGGCCTTCATCGGGTTGTTGTGACTGCCGCATGACCTGGCCGAGGAGAAGGAATTTCTGAGACGTCGAATCTGATACCGTCGTCAGACCCCTGGCAAGGAATTGGATCCCGACATCGTACGTGTTCCTATAGGGCGGGGCGTTTCAGTGAGGTCTCATACATGCACACGCAGTGAGCGGCAAGGCGTAAAGACGTACCAGTTCTTGCCCATGTCCGTGGAATACATGATGGAGTTGGTAGGTTGCTCGTTGTCGACGATGACGATGATACTTCCAGAATCGCCAAATTCATATTGACATGCACCTTCGCGGACCATGGACCATGTCAGACCGGCGTTGGTGCTCATGTAGGTGTTGCTCTCCTCATATGGCGCGAGCGCCTTTCCAACGGAACCCACGCCCATAACGAAGCCAGGGGCGGGGGACGAAAAAACGGGGCCATAGTTGTGCATGTTTGTTACTGAATGCAAGTGCAGCGAACATGGTTCGGAGGAGCAGGTACCGCTAGGAGCGACAAGAGGATCCCATGAGCTGCCTGCGAAAATGTAAGATCAGTTCGAAAGAAAACAAGAAACGCCATTCCCCACCGTCATTGAATGTGATGACCGACCGTAATTGCTTGGCTACCATCTTCCTCTCAACGTCTTGCGCATTAGCGACGACATTGGCGATACCAACACCCTCAACGCCATATATGGTCTCGTAGTCAACGTACCCTACCATGTTCCTGTTCGTGTCCGTCAAGCTCTCTACAAAGTAGGTGCCGTTGGAGTTGCTGACGAATAGGGTACCGACGGTTGTTGTGTCGTGCAAGACGACATCGACTGCTAGAGAGTGGACTGTAGACTCGACGATGGTATATGCGTTCTCCCGCAAGCGCGCCTGGGAGGCATGTGGGAACTGTGCCTTGGCCCATTCCTTGGTGTTCACAGTAACATATAACAGCATATCGCCCTCGCTGCCGGGCGTCAAATCCTTGAGCGCAACTACGGCGAACTTGGACACGATCGCAAATGCCACGACACCCTTGGCATTCTTGCCAATGCCAAGGTCTTCGTTCTGCTTGGTGGCAAAAAAGTCTGTGCTGGAGTACAGACGACTACTTGCGATGCTGTGTGAGCCAGTCATGGCGGAAGAGTCATAGGCGACGCAGTAGACGAGGTCTTCGTGAGCGTCATGTTTGAAGTCCTTGCTACTGTGAGCGAATTGGCAACGGGAGACGTCCTCTAGGAGTAGTTGTGGTGATGAAACGAATCCATCTTTGGTGTAGTATGTCTACATAGAAATTTGGATGCAAGTAATATATACATATAAAATAAGTGCGCACCACGTCTCGACATCGTTGTCCCCAGGGAATTGGGTCACACCTGGTAGCCTGGAAGAGGGTATACTCCCACTTGTTGGGATCTGAGTGGAATGAGAGTGGATTTTGGACGTAGGCTAGTAGCTCGGGGACGTCGAACGTGCGCCATGTCTTTCCGCGGTCGTCTGTGCGGTAATGCGTGTAGGAATTCGTCAATACGAATGCCTAGATAGAATTCGGTCAGGTCGAAAGCCACGTTGGTGTGTTCAGGCAGATAAATAAAGTATGGACAGTAACGCACCACGCGATTGTCGAATGGGTGCTCAATAAACATTGCAGCCTCGCCAGGCGGTATGTCATCTGCGCGTTTCCAGGTCTTGCCTTCGTCCTGAGAAACATGTATTTCCCCGAAGATGGCATCGTGGTATATCACACTCTAGGGAATAAAGTGAATTATTAAGTGAACCCTGAGGCAGACATGAATGTCTCACAGTGGTATCGTCGAAAAAGAACAACCGAGCTGGTGCATTGTCGAAGTAGTTTATAGCATGTTCTGGATCAGCAGCAGACGTGTAACCAAAATAAAGAAGAAAAGCGAGCGTTGACCATATGAAAGCGGCTGTCCTGTGCCAGGGAGCCATGCAGGACGTTGTGGATGAAGAAATTTGTAGTGCACGTACGTTGTATGCTGCGTACAGCTTCAGTTCCCTTGCCGCAGCCGCGATGACGACTGCCTTTCACAGCCACACAACCAGTTCTACTACCATTTCGGGCGAGTACAGAACTCGTATAGACCTAGAAGACAATACTTCGTTCTTCCTACAAAATTATTCATTCCTATAAGACATGATGTTCTCTTATTGCGTACATGACCTAGATGAATTCAAACAGGTATCAAAAGGGATTTAACCACGATCTTTTTCCAAATCTTCAGGTCCGAAACTAAATGGAAGTAACTCCCCAAGAGTAGATTCTCGTATTCCATCTTCCTTCTCCATGTAAGAAGATGCAGCCAATAGGATGGGCATGTCGAGGGAACAAAATTCACGAATTACTTGACGACACATCCCACAAGGCGCAATTGGCGAGGCAACGTCGCTAGCAAGGTAATTGGTGTAAGGATTTGGGCAAGGATAATAACGACATACGTTGTGACAGCGAGGGCCGCAAACTTACGCTTGCCTTCACTCTGATATCGAGATTTTTAGTTCTCCACGAACGCTATCAGATAAGGTGAACGCACCACTGCCTTCACGAATGCAGTGCGCTCTGCACAAATAGTACCACCTATGTATGGTGGCAAGACTGATGAGTAGCAAGAGCCAAGTAAAATCGTGAAAGACCGTATTCACCGTACGAGGCGTTCTCGATATTAGCACCTTTGATGATTTCGCCGTCCTCAGTGAGAAGAGCAGCTCCCACACGAAATTTGGAGTAAGGCACGTATGCGAATGTCTTCGCTATCAAAATACTCATGAACTCAGTGTGCTCGTTCGGGTTCTACTTTCAGGGCGATCGACTCATACCTTCAACTGCAGCTTGGAGGAGGCGATCACGGTTTGAAGCTACGATATCTGCCATGAATAATTTGTTGGTTCAACGGGATAATTCAAATCAGAGGATGAACGATCCGACAGCGCGGTCAAGATATGCAAATCAAGTCATGATCTCAGGCTGTCTTCTGAGCAGGTCACTTGTCACGCTGAATGAGTCACAACTTCGTTCAAACCCACGGTAATGCGCTAATGCGTCCTTGTTGATGTTCCTGCTGGAATTTTGAAGTCCATTATTGATAAGGACGTTATCTTTCTCAGTGGCAATGTGCATCATCGACATCCACGGCAGAGTTGAGCAAATGTACTGAGCGTAATGATTACTTGACCGACTCAAAGGCTGACCATATTAAGGCATACCAAGCAATATTGCTCTCATCATGGTCACCATAATGAGAGCAATGTTGTTTGTTATGCCTTTACTTCCGTTTTACGCCCTTATCAGGCTACGCAGCCTTTCACAGCGAGCACAATTTCCACCACACGTACTACCTGCGTCCAACGGTTCACTTGCGTTGTCCAACCGAATACTACCTTGCTCCCTCGACACCCAGTTCATCCAACACTTGATCCCTCTCATATCAATATACGAAAGTCCACTGCGTCCTCGAATTCTAATTCCACCTTTAGCACTCCCGTTTCTGCATTGGCGCCTCTCTGTCCGTCTAAGGATCAGGCTAAGAAACGCGAGTCCGGGCGGAGTGCTTTTTCACCGCCCAAGGCTTTCTCTAGCTCGTCGGATAATGACAAGAAATTTTCACTAGCGAGTATAGAGACTGCTGCAACAACCGTCTCGCTCTCTACACCTGCCACAGGCGACTCCATTGCCTCCATCACGTATCCGAGTCCCGCTGTCGTCTCCCATTGGATCTCCTGTTGCGGTATCCCGTATCCCTTACGTCTCCCTTGACTACATCCCCGAGTACATCTGCCACCCCTGTGCTCGCTATCCAGACGCGTACTACGTAGGATCTCATTTGGGAATTTGAGGGCTGCAATTGTCCGGTCATGTCCTGGCGAGAGTGAGATGGTTGCGCTTGGGAGTGCTTGCATTTCACTTTCGATGGTCTAGTGTGAGCAGTGCTCGCAGACATCTATATTTTCCTATCTTCGATGATTCAGTTTTGATTTCCTCGTCCCCTCTGGCTTCATTTTTGTATATCTTGGACTTCGATTTACTTGTATGTCTATTTGCTTCATCTGATGAGTTCTTTTGATTTTCTCCCTTTCCCCTTTCTTTTATGTTTGACGTCCTTTCTTTTCATCTTGTTTGTTCGGCGTTCGCAGGTTACTTTTTACTTATGGTTGGTTATTTTTCTCAATCATCTCTTGCTATCGCCTTTTTGGAAACTGTCCTGGTTCTGGTATTTTGTTTCCGAGTTTTTTTCTCTTCGTTCTCTTCGTCTTCGCTTCATACTTTGACCCCGCTACTATCTCTTCCGCTTATCTCGCCCCCGCCCAACCCTTCGCTCCTGACCGATCTTCCAATCGTCAAAGGTATGTATCACATGTCACGCCATCATACGTGATAATGCACGCTTACACGCTCCTTGGTTTTCCTCTTTAAGCGGCCACTGTCACTCTCGTTCGGGCCATGAAACGCGCAGTTCACACTCCCTATTTTTACGTTTAAAGGATGGAGGAAATTCTCCTTCTTCCAACCGACTATCCGCTCCTTAAGGTTGTTGACGACCTTGATTTATCTATTCCCCATCCCTTCATTACTTATGAACCACCGAACTGGAGTCATCACACATTCATTAACTTCGCATTCAAGCGTGTACCATCACCACCTATTCGTCATCGCTTTCGTTCCTGTCCACTTTTTTTTTATACAGCTACCCCCTCTGTGTACAACCGTCCTTTCCCCCCTTCTTTGTGTAAATCCCCACTTTCTTGGTACGACTGCCCTCATCGCTACAGAAGTCGATCGTATTTTATGACAGGGAATTGGATACGAACTAATTAGCGCGTACATGGATTAGAAGACAGGTTGTGGATTCTGCTCCTGTCGTAATTGACAATGCCACGAAGTCGCCTGTGTTGGATCAATGGTGCCATCGATGGACCGAGGCCGAACCCCTCACTCGACTGTAGCAAGAACACCGAATATCAAAAGAATACTCCGAAGATCACGCTGGCAGGTTACGAACAGTCCTCCGATCTTTTGCGGCGTTCGAACATTCCGCGCAAGTCACTGCTTTGCGATTTCACCGACAACTGCTATTATGATACCATCGGTATCCCTGGATGGGCACTGTCTTTCTGATGGAATTCATATTGAAATACTTTGATCAATCGGATATCATCCCTCAAAACTCACCTCGGCGATGTAAGCGCTGGATTGTGGTATATCAAGCATGAATGTGATCGTCACACGTCCACCAAGTTCCCGCCGCTCGCTCATTCCCATCCTCTAATAGTATGACCGTAGTCTCGAACGATCCCAGTTGGTGGCCGATCATCAATGCGAATCTTATTTCCGGCTATTTTGTAGGTTCGTGAAGAGTTAGCCGCATGACGACGTCGATGACTTAATTAGCCTTGGCTGTGGTTCCGCAGTTGCCTCCTGTGTTGGGGTAATGTACGATTGGGGTGAGCAAGATTAAGTATGAAAAGACCACTGACATCATGGTATTTCTAGGACTTATGCTCGGACAAGAGGTATGTTGGCACCATTACAGGAGCAGCCATCTCGCTGATAACAGTTTTATAGGTGGAACTGGTCTGGGTGAGTGGACTCCCACATCTATCAACAGAACGATGCACAACTAATTTGGGCAGAGGCAACGCTGGTCCCTGATGACCATTCTGTATCTCTTTGTATGTAGCTTTTGTTTTTAAGCGTGGTGAGCAAGTTGTGAACATATCCTAGGTACGATATGTTGGAATAGGATATGCCGTGTACGTTTGGACGTCCAAGCTGTTGATGTTGTGCTCATTACCCATCTCTCACAATTAGGATCAGCCTACTGTGTACGTGTGCCCACACTCACCATGTTTGTTCTGACCAGCAACATGCTCCAGTCTGGGTTCCGACAATTTCGACGACAGATGCAGTGAGTATTTAGCACCAATGCCTTCCATCCCCGTCCAAATAATTAACTACCATATAGGGGTGAGTGAGATTCTCAAACAATTCATTGATTCAATATGACAACTCCCATAGTTGTGAGTTTGTTTCGAGCCTGTGATCCTCCCAAGCTGATAACTGATGTTGCTGGATATGACAGGCCGTGCCATGTACGACATATTTGATTGGACGGGTATCCTTGCAGATGTAATGCTGGGCGGTGAGCATACTACACCTCTGCGATATTGACTCGACTGAAACACCACGCAAGTCATCGTGATCGCTCGATTACATGCTATGTATCTGGGTTCCAGAAAAGTGCTGATATTTCTCGTTGTCATTTTTGTGGCCATCAGAATCGCCAATGTAGCGATGATCGCAATGACGATGACACATGTTTCAGGAGGTAAGTTTAAATTATGTATGGAATATTTAAGTGCATCAGACTTGACAAATACCAGAGGGATTCGTTCTCTTCGGCACCTTTCAGTGCATGATGGGCTATGCGGGAAATGCGTATCTTTTGATTTCCATGACTTGGATACTTGGCACTGTATGGGAGGTCCTTGTACTGTGTCTCGCAGTCTGGATTGCTATGAAGCACTTCCGTGAACTGCGACAAACCTCAACGGGGGGGATTCTTAGGGATTTTCTCAGGGTGTTAGTGAAAACTCACGCGAGTTACTTTGCGAGGTGAGCTCATGGTGTGAATGCGGTTCTCTTGTTTTTTTTTGCTGAAGTTCTACATGTGCAAGCTTCCTTGTAGTTTCTTGTTTTGAAATGAGTTATTTGTCCCCAACGATCTCAACGGTATGCCGATCTGTCATCGACCTCTGCATGCGGTCATCATTCATCATTTCTATAGGACTTGCCTTACCTGGAAACCCAGATTTATTCTGGCTTCATTCAAATCTTCCAAATCTTGCAGATGTTCGTGCTGGGACCACGCCTCATCCTTAGCTTGCGAGAATATCACGCTAAGCTCGTGGCCGACTCCGATACAGCAACCGTTATGACTTCAATTGCTTTCCAGGAGCGCGTCCGTGTGGAAACTAGCAGTAGCGTATAGTATGGGAGATACTTGATATGATTTACGATCGGCGGCTAGTCTGTAGGGAGCAGTTTTTATTTTTATTTCTTCCAAGCTATGTTGTGGTACTTATTGTTGTTATTTTTTCTGAAGAAGTCTCGTCCTTGAAAAAATCTGCACCAAATGACGCTTCAATTGTGAGAAGAGAATCTGGGGCCATTCACGACAAAGACGACGACGGTTTTCGCGGTCAATCAATTGTGCTTGAGTACAAATATGATCGCATGATTTTTTCTTCACGTTCTGTAGTGATCTGATGAGCGACGAACCTGTCCCGTCTTCGATCCGATTTCAAAACTGACCTCATTCTTGTTTACTGTGTGTTCTGAGCGTGGGTCTGGGCAATGTTGTGGTACTTGATTGGGTTATTTGGAGACATAGCTCTGGATAATATCTCCAAGTACTGGCACTACTAGTAGCTGCACTTGCACCATGTAGCAAGCTGAAATGTCTAATGAGTTTACTTGAAGACAGTCGTTCCCTTTCAGTGTCACGATGTCCATTCCTGACATACCGTAAGCATGAAGCAAGTTACACGCTAGGTAACGTTACGGTTACATACCCAATGGACCAGGTCCATAGGCTGAGGCAAGGTTATCAGGCACCACCCTGTAATGATAGACGCAATTGCGTCGTGAGGGGTCCGTTCCTCATCATACCCTCCGAGAATACTTGACGAGCTGAAAGGAAGTAGTATCCCCATTCCCACCCTCCATTTCCTTCGAGGCTCAGAGGGCAGGACTCAGACTGACAAGAAAATTATAGTCGAGTTCTTTCAAATCGCTGTTGAGAATGGCTCGAGTGGCATAATAGTGGGAATAGTGAAGGCACACGCAGGGAGGCGTCACGCATGCGAAGTTCGAGTTTTGAACGCGCACACGCGCGTTTCTGACCAATCCCATTTCTACCGAGAGGTTACATACGTTAACATTATATACAAGGTAGTCGAGTGTATTCTGGTGTGTTCAATGGAATGTTCCCAGCTTCTTTCAGGCTGTCTGAACTAAAATAAGATTTTACATAGGCTTCGTGAGTGAAATGTGTGATTGATATCACAGTTGCGTTACTTACGAAAATGGCACGGCAATTAATCTACAATTTTGTCGTTGAAAATGTATCGACATGGACGTTGAGAGGGGAAAGGAACGCACGATCAAGACAGGTTTCAGCGTCTTCGGGAATTTGTGGGAAGAGAAAGTTATTAATGATGTCGTCGAAGTCTGTGGTCCAACAATGCCGTGAAATTATATGAAGGAGAGGTCGCCATGGTGGCAGTGCCGTAAGAGGCATGAACACGCAATAATACAGCATGACGTGACGGAGAACATGCCGGCGGTCCACCGGTCATTCGCCGTTGCTTATCTGTAGATTGGAACCAAACTGTCACAGGCGCTCATGCTAGCTACTTTTTACGGTAAGTCAACGTTAACATTGACCTTACATGTACGGCTTGTGCGTGGCGGTACAAAGGCCGTGACGAGACTTTGGAATCATGGCACGCACGCACTGGCATCTGCGACTAGCTGCACATGGTGATGTGGGACTAGTACGTAGGTAACCTTCGTGGTTAAGTAACGAAGCCCCCGCCGTGCAAGACACTACAATGTTGTCAAAGGTGAGTCATGCTCGTCATCAGATGAGGCTCCACTTAATTTCTCTGGCACTTTAGCGAGAGATCCACTGTTCGTCTCCGTCGAAAATGTCCGTGTGACATGATGATGACGGTCGACAGTTGTTGTACTACTAGGTGAATTTTCTGGGTTGGTCTACCGATATGAAGATAACTGTAAAGTTAGAGTTCACACAAAGTTCACATTCATCTCATACCTTAGCCTAGCGTCACTGCTTTGACACTAGAATTTGTTTCTTATCGGCCATTCCTCAAGAGTATTCCTGGACGTTCCAAATTTAGTTCATCGCGGCCCAAAGTCTCGTCAACTCAAAGTTATTTTCGTCTCGATCTATCATTCCCCGCATTTCGGGCTATAAGTTCTTCTTGCGCCGTCGCAACTATATTTGACCCATGTATACACGCGATTCCTGCGGACTCCAGAAGCAGGTCAGTGTCTTTAGCTTGTTTTTACGGTCACTTCCCTCAATCGATATTGGACGCAACGAGGATTACATTTCAGAACATTCAAAAATATGATCATTACTGCCAGTGGCCGCGGCGTTCCCAAAATACAAGAGGAAGCCAATTCGAATTACGGGATCTCTTGACTGACCTTGCAACCATCTCGGACTTCCTGGACCTCAATTTGGTATCGTCACATAAAGCATCGTATTTTACTGATGATGACTATGATCCAGACCTTGAAACGGCATGTTCCAGACTCCCAGATACCGACCAATTGGCCATGGACGAAGACCAGTATTCGCACCATCACCACCGCGCGTTCCTCCATCATGTCTGCAAGCGTGAATAAAGGGTCCGCGTATCCTGCAGGAACAAAAGCAGCCCACACTGATGGAGAGTAAGACGGCGCTGCGCACATAGCTTGGACTAGGCGGACGCAGGATCAAGCCATGGAGTATGCGGGCTGTAGAGGAACGAGCCTGTTCCTTATGGCGGGAAAAAGCGTTTGTGCATGACCTCTTGGTTTTTTTCCCTCCGATTTTGCTGAAACAACCGTCGGTGGGACATCGACAACTAAAGACACGAATTGAACTCAACACATCTCCAAGTGAACCAAGTATCGCTTCCGAGTCGACCGAGTTCAGCGTCCCCACGGTTTTGAAGTTACCTGAAAGTCACTTCACGTCGACAGTACATAACACTATCAATGACAATGTCGACATGGCCATGGCATGACTTGTCAGTGCCAAGCGTTGTGGCGCCCAACACCACCTATATCAAGGCTCTATATCGGTTGCTAATCGATGGTTTTATGGCATTGCAAAATCTGCTGGACTTGGAGCAGTGTGCCAGTCACAAGAATCGAGAAATCATAGGTAACGCAGTCTACATGAAGCATAACATTAGAAGTCATCACTGATATATGTCGTATAGGTCGTAAAGGGATCACATTTCCGCCCACAACACCGGCCCCATCACGTTGCCGATAGTCCACAGCTATACCATACAAATTCGTCAACGTGTTCCAAATGCGCATTGGATGAACTTACGACGGTCAATGCTTTAACCAAAAGCAATGGGTATTCGTAAAATTGCGGAGCAAATTTATTTCCAGGTCTGGGGTGGGTGAACAACACCCAAATGGAGTAAAACGCTATGGCAAGAGAATTGTATGCCAGCAGTAACGGAGACGCAGTGATCCTAGGGATTCCGGAACCAGGTCAGTGTGCGATCGTGACAAATTATCGATATATTACTGACCCAGCTGCTAATGCCATGGGTCCCTCGGAATACTTGGGACCTTGCCCGATAAACTGGAATGCTCCGTCTTGCAGAATCTCAAACGCCTCGCCTACGTAAATGGACAATTATAAGCCTTCAAGTATTCAATAGCTAATATTGACGTACCTTCAGCTGAAAATAGGCCAGCCCAACTCATGCTCATGGTATTGATGGTGGATGCGAGCGGTTTTCTCATGTGGGTCCACTTCCGGAGTACGGCTGATATTTCATCCCAGTTACCAAAATTCTCGATGTGGGCCAGAAGATCAGAGAGAATGACTACGTCATTCAAGGCGACCGTCATTCCACCCGCAGTTAGCGGGTGGCGCATATTTAATGAATCTCCCAGTAAGAATGCGCCTGCCTTGCTAGATTCTCCCTGCTTTGTGGGCGGAAGATAATAATGCGGGACTCGTCGCAAACGCGACGTTTCCAGAGCATTGAGGATGGGCGCGCGTACCGATAATGGAAGCTGAGGAACAACGTTGCGCAATATATGATCCTACAATATTGATAGTAAGTGGGGGCGATCACGACCACACGACAAGGCAGAATTACAAACCTTGAGGTCTAGCGGTGCCGCCTTCAACTCGACCAGCATCCGATACTCGTTGTTGGGGAGCTCATAAAGGACGACCGGTCCAGCGCCTTTCAGTACAATCATAGTGGCATACCTTGGCGCCGGCAGCGTCAGGTCTTTCACAATTAGACCTGCCAAATAACCCTTTTGCGAGGGCTCATACGGCATGTTCCCGAGGACGGCAGTCCTGAACTTGGATAGGGAGCCGTCTGCGAGAACGACGAGGTCAGCAAAGTATGACTCTGACTGACCATCCGCTTTGGAGGTGCGAACACCTATTACGCGATGTGTGTCATCGTTCTCGATGAGACCGGTTACTGTGGTCTCGATCATGTCGACATTGGGCGCCCGCCGTGCGCGGTTGCGCAAGGCCATGATAAATTCCCCATGTTCGAAAGCTCGCCCCTCATAGCCTTCAGGGAATGAGCTGCGAATGACACGCTCCCCTCGCATAACATAAAACCCTGACAAAGGGGTAGAGCCAAAATCCCCGAGGCATGACTCCAGACCAAGCTTCTTGAGCGAGGCAACGCCACCTGGCTGGAGTAATTCGGCGACCATACGGTCTGGCTTCGACAGGGAACGCTCAAGCAGAGCTATCCGAAGAGGAGCGTTACGCTTAGCATATGTCTTTGTGGCAAGGGCATAAGCAAGGGCTGGGCCTGCTACACCGGCACCAACAATGAGTACGTCGTAAGAAGAAGACAGCATGGTGAGACGAAGAATTATGGCGGGTGACACTCACCTGGTATTTATTTATCAGAAAAATAGGATTATTCGAAATTAATCGAGTTGGATAATGCCCAAGTCTTCTATGAAGATCATTGGATACAAGTTGGATGGTCCCGATTCAGAATGCGGTACAAATCGGTTCCGGCATATTCACTCTCGGTTTAACTTGAGCAATTTCAGCCGGCAACCAGATTGACAATGGCACATGGCGCCAAATGCTTTTAAGATAGTTTGAAAATGTTCTCGTACATGGGGTCTCCCCTATTTCTCATCCGAAAATTTCGGTTCCTTGGAATTTCACCACTTCAAGGTACGAACAATCACCGCTCATGCGTGCACAGCCATGCAATTAACAGCTATTCGAATGATCCCCGTCACTGCATGACAGACGAACGACACGATTGATTGGCTGTACATGCAGAACGGTGATTGCTCGTATCTCGAAGACAAGTTCGAAAGTTCCGTCCGGCCTGTCGATCCCGTCCGTCTATTCTATTTCGTCATCGTCCGACAAACCATAATCACACTGATCCCTGACTTATTTTAAACGCTAGAAATCATGTCCACGTTCCTCTCGTATAACAGGCCTCAAGTACAGGCGGAATAACCGGAGAGGCTAGCCAAATTCGGGTCGGACTTGAGGTAACGCAATCAGATAATCTTTGGACGAGTAGCGCTGACAAGGGACTGGTGACCTGGTCACCCACGCAGTGCACGCCATACTCTTTCTGGTTTTAATGACTCTCAGAGATCAGTGATGGGCTAAGATCAAAAGATAGGGATGAAATCAATCCAAGATTGAGCTTGATAACCAGCTGTCCAAGACTACTATAGGCTACATGAAAATCAAGTTGTCTAGATTTCTGATATCGAGTGATACAGTTATTTTAATTCGCTTACAAAGCTGATGGTGACAGACGGATGAAGTTGTGTATGACTGTGTGAACTTGACACTGTACACCTGGACAATCCAGACGAGCTCGTTTCGCATGGCTGCTCACTGTTATCAGCACCTGGCAGCACTGCTACTGCAGCAGTACACAGGCATACCATACTGTACTTCAGGCAATACACTCTGGTACAAAGTACACCACCTGCACTCACTCCAACACACTCCAACACGCTTTCAGTAACAAACCTCACTTTCTCTTTATCTCGACCCCTTGCTGGCTCCTTCGGATATCCGCCGGTTCCGAGTCGGAGCACCTTTCTCCATGTCTGCCGCCCCCTTCAAAAACTTTGTTTCATTATCGTCCGAGAGAGATGGGCGAACCTTGTGGGCGGTGTTAGTGGTGCACAATCATTAATACCCGAGCAACACCGAGGGTCGGAAGGTCGATACCGTATACCCGCACCCGTCAACACTGTACCCTCCACAGGTACGGGCAGTACATACCGACCCATCAATGTTGCAGTATATGGAAAACACCACACGTGTATTACCAAGAAGGGTATATTAACAACAACAGAGCAAGTATTGCTACTTTTCCTTGTCGTCCTCAGCTTCGACTTCATTTCGCTTCCGTTTTTGACTCCTTACTACAGACGCTAGAAGCTCTTCTGTCGCCGGAGGTCACTTCTGCCCCAGGCGGCTCCGAGGCACAGAAACACGCGAATTGTTGATGGTGCGAGTCCGTTGCGATTAGAGAAGGAGCTGCTGACCTTGCGAGAAGACATGTATAACCACAGTTGGTATTGCTGAGCGAGTAAGTACCAACTGATTAAAAGAGGATTCGGTTCGAAGGGTGACTGATACCTGGGGCAGAGAAATAGCCTACTGCATCCAATGGAACGTTCAACGGATAAATGTGGTGTTGTTTTACCATCATGCAAGTGGGACCTTGGTCTTGTCAGCACCATGACGTGCTCAAACGCTCAACCTTACGACCGTGTAATTTTTCAATTGAGCCCTATCTTCTCTCTTTTTCATCAGTATCAATACTACCCCAGCTCGTGCCTTGCTTGCCTTCGCTTGACATGCCATGACGTGGTATCATCGTCCGTTACGTCTCGCGGAACTAAGAAGGTCATTTGGTGAGACTCGACTGTCCTGGCACTGGCGCATCAGACTTTTCATATCGAGCGAACAGGAGCCCCTACGTCACCCTTACTCAGGGGTGATACCGGCTCTTGTGCGCCGCTATCAGATTATCGATAAAGCTTTCCGGAACTTCAAGTTGAAGTCGGTTGGCAATCTGATAGTGACTCAGTCCCATGAGCCTCCCTATTTGCACGTGCTTCCTGCTTCCCATTCATACCACTCCAGGCTAATCGCAAGGACGTTCGCTTCGCAATCTACTTATAAACCCCCATTAATTTGTGATCACAGCAACGTTCCAAAATCGGCATAATCCATCTAAGGCTTATCTAACCCTCCAAGTCGTGGACTCTGCTGTAATGTAATGCGCCTCGTCCTGCTATTGTCATGTAACAAAGATTCTTGTGATGGTCGTTCCTAGGAGTCACTTTCGACTTCTGGTTCGGAAATTTGTACGAACACCATGATGTCATGGTCTCGTCATACTCATAGACAGCGGTGACGAGATATCTGACCTTAGATACAGGTATGATTAATGTATGATACTAAGTCAATATGAGTCATATAACTATGAATGAACGGACATACCCTCAGTCTCGGATAGAAGACGAGGGGAAACGATGATGAGCCAGGTATTAAGTGAGCATTTCGGGATACTATATACGGTGAGCGAGAATGAACGAGCAGTCTATGACCTCAATATCCAAGAAGTGGAAACTTCAGATCGTTCACATTCAGATCTGTCACCTGCGAAGTGACATTCATATAGCAATTGTCCCGGGACAGTGTAGTGGGGAGATCTGGCGCAGGTCATAGGGAGTACCACTAGCAGGAGTCTCGCTCGTAGTCGGTAGTCCTGCAGCGTGTCGTAGTCGGTCTTCGATAGATAGAGCCACAGCCTCCCGCCATAGAGATTCGACCTCGGGTTCCATTGCAGTCTGTGCCTGTTCCAACAGCAGGTCTGGCCTTCGAGAATGGCTTCATCCGCAAGAATGACAAGGTCAACAAATTGTGACTGGCTGACTGACCACCCGCTTGGAAGGCACGAATGCCTACTATCACGCGCCATGTTGATACTGGGACCTTAATCACGACGACGTCAGATGCCTTCCCCACGCAGTCACAGCCACGTAGGGCCTTGACAAACGATCCGTGGTCGGAAGTTCGTGCCATCCCAATCATGGTAATGATATACAACATTAACGAGCACTGCCTGTGAATTTGCAGGCGACAAAATGTCGAGGGTGCCTGACATTCAGCTGCATGTTGGTGTAAGTAATTTACCACGAAGTTGTAGGTACTTCAAGTTGCTTACTTGATGGACCTAGACCTCGGGAAATGCACCGAACCGGTTGTTCGACATTATTTGCAAAACGTTATGAGTCTAGAAACACACTGGGACCTGTGGCTTACCAGGGTCACTTCCCCACAGATCTAAATACAGCAGATAGAACGTTGTCGGTTAATTTACAAAACAGCGTAAATTTAAGCTTTCGTTTTTGGATACACATAGTGATGTGCTAGGCCAAGCCCATCGAGAGGGCTTCGGCCATCGTCTGTGAAGGATGACTCGCCTGCTCGACGAAGGTGTTTGGCTATGAAAACAAGATAGTGAACATACTGACACATAGGTTGATAATACCCACCCCTGTGTACTGTTTTTGTGGTGTCTTCGTGGTCTAAATCTTCATACAGATTGGAGAGACTTGAACTCCAGTCGGCGTCGTCTGCATTTCGCTTGGCGTCACTTGGCTGAACCGTCTGTTGGACCTGTTTGTGGCTAGTTGCCAATAGCTCTGGCGTTGCAGTATTATTGAGCCAAAAGGAAGGTATAAAATTATTTGTTTGGGACGTGCCGTGACGGTGACGGCAGCCAGCGCGTCATCGTCGGACATGTCTGTGAGAGTCAGAATTCAGGCTGGTTCCGACAGACGCTGAGTAGTTGTAATTATAAATTAACATGCTGTACAATACATCCCGGAAATCTCCTTAGCTAGGGCATGGTCTATGAGACACCCAGGCCAGGCCCATAGAGTAGGGCTTGGGCCTATGAAGGCCTGAGGCAGGCCCGGCGCATCACTAGTCATACACAAGTACGTACAATATTAAAATGCTTAGTTGTCGATCACGATATCATGCTTGAGTGATCGTACAGAGACTCCCCTTTTCCGGTCTTGTTGGTGCCTGTGTATATTTCGGGCACAAGATATTAATACATGGATATTTCACAGCAAGTGACATGATTTATGCGCTCTTCCCTGGTCTTCCTAACATCCCCTAAACCTTCATTGGATCATTTAATAAACCCATGCACACTGTCATGATATGACATCCATCTTCGCAGTAGTGAAACCTGTATACGGTTCGCGACATGTACTTAGAAGAATGGCATTGGGGGATGTCATTACTATCATTTGCGCGACACTAATGGTAGAGAACTGGCAATGAGCTTACCGTCTCTATCGATACTATCGAGAAACGACCTCGTTTCCGCGGACTCTTCGTTTCTATAAGTAAAAATATGCTTCGCAAGTACCCTGGTATAAACCACAACAGAGGCTTAGATTCATTGTTAGGTGCGAATAGGTGACTGGCGATAGGTGTTAATAGCTGACTGGTGACGTCCCAACCTTCTTAATTATAATACTTGAAGCTCCCAGCGTTACTAGTGTAGCATGTTTATTCTTCGATACCAATCCAGATTGGCAGAATTCTCCATAGAATTAGTACCACGTCATATCCTTCCGTATCCTTCTCCCTCAATGAATCCTGGCATTTCACAATTAAGTCTAGCCATTTTGCTACCCCCGGGTCAAAATTTTCCATCATGGGGCGCTCCTTGCGATATACGAGTATAGAAGTCACAGCGATACGGCGCGGCCCACACAGCAACCTGAAAGCGCCGCAAACAATCAGAAGCCACATGCACATGGAAGCAGACAGTGACGTACGACGGCTAGAAACAGTACGAACACTTGAAGCACACGTGTAGCTGCATCAAAAGATCATTCTGCATGTGTTGAAGAACTAATTTATCCGGGTCTGAATCAGTTGCCTCATGACTACACAGACGCGGGGATAGAATGACCTCTCACAGGAATGTCAAACCACCAAAAAATGACGGTACTGATAAGTGACACGATATTAAAGGGTCAAACATACCGGGTCAGGCGTATCAAACAACCGGTGCATGGCGGCGGGGTCCTTTGCTTCTGACAAGATTCTCAAGCGTGTAACAGCAACGCAAAGAATCGGCCTGGTAGCGAGTAACGAGTTCGTAGCATCAGTAAACCGGTGAGATTCAGATATTCCCAGATTTTGTAGTATTTTGTAAGCCACCCTGTTTTGCAGAAAAAAATGAGGGTTAGTATAGGGCTAGGAAGAACGGAGTACACTGCCTTGATATCATTCTGAACACCTGAGCCAAGCAAATATAAAACGACAGCGCATTTGAAGGGAAAACCAATTGCCGGGCGTAATCATTATTTCGTACCGAACAATTGAACAAGCCCTTCAGAGGCTTCCAGAAAAGCCGAGGTTGCCATATCATTAACGGTAATTGAAATGTCTACGTGAGCGTCGATCGGTCTCGAAATGCGGTGAGTTGCCAAAGTGAATAGTACTTTGACAGCCTCAAAGTATCGTCGAGAAGACACTTTTCCGGTCAAGAAGAAGGTTCTACATTACCTGGAGGGGAAATGTGGTGCCGAATCCTTGTGCATTGAAACCTCGAGCTTGAGGACAGAGGCACTGGTGCTATCCCTGCACCCTAGAAGAGGGTACGGGCTGTCGACTCGATCATGACGGCTCCACCCGGCATCAGCCACAACCTCATTTGGCACGATAATCTTTGTCAGCATGAGTGGAGCTCACTCACTGCCCTCCTTGTTGTCTCCCCGACATCATAATGTCAATCCAGTCTGCTTGATCATTTCGACGTGTCAGCATCGGGAGCATCATGTAACGTCCCAGCACCACGCTCGTTTTGAATCAAAATGCATGGCTGTGAGCACTGAAAGACACATACATAAACATGCACTGAATCAAGAATCGAGAGGGGATCTCGCAAAGCGTCGTGAGGGGTTGTTCAGAGCATTTATCCATATGCTGTATGATTACTTTAGATCATGCAATCGAAATACGAAGGGTACAGGTTTGCCCGAAGGGCTATCGCGAATTTACAAATATTGGCGCAAGTCCCGCCGGAAGAATCCGAAGGAGGTCTGTTGACTCTGTTCTCGCCGTCGGCTTCACTCAAGAATTTGTTTGGCACGAGCCAGCATGCCTCGTAGACTTGCGATACTTGATAACGGTGACAGATACTTGTCAGTCCATGTACGTTTTAATTGTCCCCAGCTCGGTTCGATGGATTTCGATCAGACCTCTCTAGAGTCTAGACCTACTACACCTGGCATCCATATGGCCTTCTACTTGCGCCCAGCTGCAAGTGATGACTTCTCGTAGGCAAAATAATGCGGACTATCATGTATGCCATCCTATATCAATACTTATCAAGCGCCGCAAAACGAGAGAGATAGAAGTAATCGACGAAGAAGAATCTGTATTCATTGGTGCAGCCACTGTACTGGTGGGACCCGAGCTGACACGACAAGAACACATCGACAGATGAGAGTCAACCACGACGACTATGCCTTTGCCGTGCGCAGCTCTTCCAAATCCACGGATGAGTACCCCGTGTGGTACAAGCAAAGAAGGTAGGGCTGGAGAATGAAAATTAATTTCTTGAGGGGATTTTCGCATTGGACGCCAATTATCTGTCGTACGATGATGTTGAAACATCATGATAAGGAGGCGCTGCTGTCCCTGTGATGACCCGAGGCGAGCGCTAGTGTCAGACTCAAAGATTCGGCTCATCACAAAGCGTCCAAACCAGTGTCCATAGAAACAAGGTAAGGATGCGAAAGTATGCGAGGGATCCGCGAAGTGCACTAGAGCGGTAGTATTGAACGGCGCTGGACGACGTGGGCCGATCAATCGTATCGGGAGCTGTCACTATGACCGAGGCTTCAATCCTTCTGGCAATTCTTGTTACCGCCATCTTTTACATGTTTTCGACTGCTGGAGCGTGAGTAATTTTTTCTTGGAGTTTTGTAATGAATATATCAACTTATTTGGTTCCAAGGTTCTGCTGCTAGCTGAGCCGTCCCGTTCACTTGGGTTTGTAACGACGAGTCAGTTCAATTACGGCATGATGCCGAACGTCGCAGTTGCGTCCTGCTGGTAAGTCCGGATGACGACGGGTGTATTCTGAGTTGTTGACAATGCCCCGTAGCTGGACTTGTCTTTACGACACCACTGACGCGTGCCAGGTGACTCGACCGAAAGGCCGGAGTCAAGTCCATGGCAGTCCGTCTTGGCGAAGGTATCTGTCCTGCATGATGTAGCATGCTTTTTATATGCTAGGTACTTGAACACCCAGCGTCTCCCATTCTACGTGATCAGTGTTATTGCGCCGTTCCTGCTATATCTCTGGCACATATGGTGATTTGACCGTGATGATCCCAAAGATAGCTAGAAGAAATTCACGGTACGGCTAATCGACATATCCACGTGCGCTAATTTTGATGTTCCATTGTATTCTAGGCAGGCCGTTATGGCACGGCTACGGTCTGCGCTGGATTGGTCGTGGACCACTCCTTCAAATTCGCATCCCCCAGCGTTTGAGCATGCGCTTCTATCTCACTAGATGACCTTGGGGTTTTATCTCTTCGTTCTTTTTTTCCCTATGTTTAGGATTCTCTCTGAATAGATAACAAACATCAGCCTGATAACCACCTACGCACCAGGGATCGTTCCATCGATTTCATGTCTACACGATGCAAGCACGAATGCCCGGCAGCTTGGTGGCAAACTGATGAGTAAATAACAGTTGGTGTTTGGGATTAAAACCAGAATCGACTGGGAGTTCTTGTATCAGTAACAAAGCCCGGTAAATTCAAGGTTGCATTGTGCTGGCGCTGGCATGAGCAATATGTATGTCATCTGTTTGGTGTGGACACTGAAGTAGACTACTCGTGGGTATAGCCTACGAGAACCCCATTTTCAGGGCATGTAAAAGCAAGCAGCGTGCCCTCTTCAGGTATAACTCACGTCACACGAATAATGCGTCTCTCTGTCGTCTGGCAGTTCCTCGGCGTCGCCTGCATCGCTGTCTCGTCTGTGTCTGCCAGTGCAGATGCCCCATGTTGTGCGACTCATTTATAGATTGCTGCCTTGGATACGAGTGCCTGTCGATATACATCCCCAGCAGTGTGGGTATGAGTAGGTTTCTTGGCGGAATCGACCCCCTGACCTATTTCATAGGAACAAGTTATAAATGTGTGTCAAATAGTGGAGTACAAACAACTTGCTCTGCAGAAGCTTTAACCATGCTGACCGTCCTGTCCTGGCAGGGTCGTTTTACAAAGATGAGGCAAGCCCGAACGGCACACCGTAAGTTAACCGTACTAGTATTAGTACTGTATGATGCATACTGTTCTGTGTTCCAAGGAGAATAATAAAATCATAAATCAATGCAAACACAATATTTTTAGTTAGATGCTTTCATTCAAAGGATAAAAAACGAGAAATCGATGGATTTTTATGGCGGTTATAACGATGATTTCTAGCTCATCTATCCATGTTCCGCAACCCGACCTACACGACCACCTCTCCGCTCACGCACCCCATCAACAGCGCATCTATACTACCGCCTGTCTTCTCATCCAGCCATGCATCGAACTCTTTGAACAGCTGCATCGCTTGACTTCCATCCGCTTCAGCCTTTTTTGCGGGCCACATGCGCTTCTCCTGAATTCCAATGAAGTTCACCCTCAATCCGTCCACATTAGACGATCTGGGATGCGCGTTCGAGGGCGGCGGCCACTTGATCATCATATCCACCGTCCAGACATCAGTCCCGTAGAATGACGCTTCTTTGATGTGGTGTCGTGCAAACTCCTCCGGTGGGCTGTTATCTAGCGTCCACTCCAGTACATGTGCATCGAATGCAATCACTGCAACAAGAGTTTGGTCTACGCGACACCAAGGTGACCCAGCATATATAGAAAAACTCACCAGTCCACATTATCCCCGGGTGGTCAATCTTCAGTGTCATAGTCCTCGTTCCCTTGTTCTCATCGAAGGTATCATTGACGGCTGAAACCGTGAACTGCTCTTCTGGCGGCCAAGGTGCATCATACGCCGGGTCTAGCGGGAGGTCAACCTTGTACGGTGAGAGGAACTGCACGACATTTCAAATACACAACAAAGACACCGTATTCAATCGCAAATTAATGAACCATACGTCAGCATCCCGTAAATGTCGACCGAATGTTTTGTAAGTCTCACCGCTGAAAATGGATACAATGTATCCCAATCACTATTCCAGTCGTCCATGACAACAGCTTTGGGGGGTATCCCGTTTGCACCGAAGTGTGCTGTGATATCATGAACCAGGCCATCAAAGCCAGGCGCGCCGTCTGCCGCTGCGATATGGAGGTGCTGCTCCCGTGTGTTCAACTGGACCGTATGCGTTCAGTTTCCTTTACAAATCGCACGGGAATCAGCACTTACGTCCTCTTTATGAAGCACGAACAGCCTCTTTTGATGATTTTTATCAAATACCTCCTTTCTGGCAAACACTGCCATCACTACGCCCACTACAAGGAACGAAATTAAGACTGCTTTACGCAAAGCAGGCAGACCAAATCGGTGAACGAATGGCGTAGTGAGATTAAACGTGTAAGAACCCAGGATTGCCACGATGGAAGCGATTATGTATTCTGCTGGAGCCTCAGAGCCAATACGCCCTGTCTGTGAGAGGCATGAGCAGAGGCCCATGGAAAGATAAATCACTCACCAGCGGTACGAACACAACCAAAGTCGCAGACGTCAGTTGAGTTCCCGTCAACAGTGGGATGGTCTGGCCCAGAGCATATGTCCACAGGCTCACCAAGCCATCTTTGACCTCCGCCTTATCCACCTTATTGCGCCCATCCTTCGCTCCTTTCACATCTTCATCTTGCATCTTTTCTGTTGCATTCATCATTTTTACCCCAGCATTATTTGCGGTGGAGGCGCTCAAGTAGTTAGTCACCCGATCTATAAACAAGGCCCCAAATGTCGAGACTGCACTAAGGAAGAACACCGCACTTGATCCAACACCAGCGAACTGGCCTGCTGCAGCCAGGAACGCGTAGGCAAGGAGTTGTGCATGCAGGAGGGCTTTTTCAGGGACTGGGGCCAAAGGCAGTTGAGTTAGAAGCGCTCCTGCGTGGATAAGTTCATGAGTCACGACGCCAAGAAGGCATTGAGACAAAATAGAAATAATTTTGGGTGCGAAACACGAAATGACATCCGAGTCAATTCGAGAATAGGCTGGTGCGGAAAATCATAGCACACGCTGAAGTAAAATTACGCACCACACATCGCGGCGGGGCCATACAATATCAACGGCTCAAACTCGCCCTTGAACCAGCTCATTCCCCGGCCCAACACTTGCTGCATCATGAACGCAACGGCATTCGCTCCAACAAGAGCTCCCAGCCCTCCAAAGATCACAGAAAATAATGCCTTCGCCATCGTTGCACCTCTTGCACTGGGCCCGCCAGCGCTTCTGACAAGCACACAACTGGCAATGAAAAGTAGCGAGTACAGCAACTCAGCTGTGCGGAACGAGTAGACGAAGAATACACCCAAGAATGTAAAGAAGACAGTGCGAGGGCGACCGTAGCCTGAAGCGAGCCTTGGTAGTGGTGAGGCAGGTGAAGTGAGGTGTTGAATGAGCGCGAATGTGTTCTCGGCCATGTGCTGGAGTGAGGGAGACGATAATCAATCTCAGGATCAGATCTACGAGGTCTGGATAACAGACCTGTGCAACGCCTGCCTCGATGTTTTCTACCAGATCCTGTACCACATTAGTATATCCCGATATTTTAGTCTGTCAAGCTGCATACCCCGCGCATGTGATACATGTAACTGTTACCCACAACTTGCCATCTATGCAATGCTTGTTAGCATTGAAAAATTTACCAACAAAAAAGAAACAAGAGAGAATGGTAGGAAGAAGAAAGGTCGGACGTACGTCAAGCCCGGTTACGTTCAAGTAGTACTCAAACTGCCGGAAATCAGTGCTTACAGCCGACGGCATGCATATCAGTGCAAGGAAATAAGGGCAAGACAAAGAGACATACTCAGAGAGTAATACACCGGAGCTGAAGATCTCGTTTGCGAAGATAGTTCCGTATGGTCTGTGTACATTAGCATTACCACTGAGACCGAAAGAAAGAAAGCTAAAAAACTGACCGAGGCACATGAGAATACGCCTCAATCATCTCGTGAGACGTCGCCTGGAACAGAAGTTCAGGACCTGCAGTGCCAGCAGCTACAGACCCGTGTCAGCTGCATGAACTTATGTCCTATATGTGAATAGCTGACCTTCCAAATTGACGACAGCACGGACACTGGAAAAACATTTGTAAGGCAGAATGCCAGAGGAGGAATAATTATGGGACACACGTAGACGCAATAGGATGCTGGGTCGAGAAAAGGTGAGAGCCGTCCTGGAGAGACTCCTCCGCATTATTGAACACTGCGGCTGCATTAGCATAGATTCTACCGGTATGGAAACGGAAATTGACGAAAACTCACAAAATATAACCGCGTGCTTTGGCTCCCACCCAGGGGTATTCACCAGCACCCGCACGCACTCAATCATCACGCCAACCGAGAGTGCATCATCTGCAGCGCCTGGACTAGGAAGGGTACTATCGAGATGTGAGTTGATGAGCACTGCGTCAAGTTTTCCCTGGTCCGTGCCATCGCTCAGGCGTATGATGATATTACTCAAGTTGACATAACGCTTATACAGCCTCGCAGCCATCATATCGAAGCTATCGAGCACACCCAGGAAGCTATATGAGACACGGAAGGCTATTGGAAGTGATGAACTAGATGACGTACCGATGACTACCGCTACCCTCTTGCCTCCATACCTCACATTGGAGCTTACGGCCGGGTTGCGCGGTTATGACACGTTCACACTCCTCTTTGAGCTGGTAAGCCTTCTCTGTCATCCAAGCATCTGCGAGCGCGTGTTCACGGGTGCCAGGCGTGCGGAATCCGATATCCTCTGACAGGTACTTGGCATATTGGAGGATTGTTGCTTCAGAGAGCTGAGGCAGTAAGGTCGTAGAATCATATCTGGTGGTTGGGATTCAGGTTGGGTTCAACAGACAAGCAAAAATTTGTTAGTTAGTATCTACTTGAATGGAGACACGAAGGAATGACGCACTGGTCTACAATGGGCGTAGGTAATGCTGCAGGGTGAAAAATAAGCTCAGAGTTCAATGTAGGATTGATGACAAGAACACGTACAATACTGGTGCTTTAATGCAACCCACGGCAACCCAATGAGCAGCGGTGCTAGCGCGAGCAAAGACTGCGCTGGCCCCCACTGTCGCGTCCCGAACATGGTATCCAGGCCAAGTCTACTTGGTTGACCTCACTGTTTAGGCGGTTAGGTGCAAATTAAAAGCTGCTCAACAAACAGAAAATGTATGTAGTATGCGTATCACTGCAGTAACATGCGTCGTGACTCAACAACTTGGAGACCGTTCCTAACAAACAATGAGCACAAACTGGTTACTGTGCAGTGTGGGTACCAGTTGAAGATTCTATATTTTCTATATTTAAGTAACTAGGTCACGTGAATCATTCTAATTGGCTGAGACAACTGGCGCTCCAACCATACTTGGGCATGGCAGGGGATTATCCGGGTGTACACCGTGTACTTACATGATCCCCGGAGCTAACGGAGAGAGAGAATTTCCGTATTTATATACCGCTGAAAACAAAGGAAATTGCTAAGACGCGGTGCCCTATGGGCTGTGTTAGGGGATACATATGGTAATGAATATATAAGTTGGAGGGGTCCGCGTTTGAGATGATGTGTTGGTGCGTGAGTCAGTTCAACGGTTCGGCGTCCGACCCGGAATTAATGATATTCCCCTGCAATTAATAATCACAGTGACACGGTGACAGCTCAATGACACCTACTAGCTAAGCGCAAGAATTCATCGATCATCCCCAGTGAGAACCGGACCTCACCGTATCGACGGAAAACGGCCAAAATATTGGTGAACCAGGAACACAAGATTTCCGTAGAGAATGAGACACATATGAGATTTTCTAGCGATGCTGTTCGACGGAGATCTCACGATTTCGCGCTGATTTTAGCATATCATATTTCCGTCGATGATCGTAGATTCTCAACTGTAGTTGTACCAGGCAATAAAACTACGGAAATCGCACGAAAACGACGCTGATATACATTGCAAGAACAAGCAAATGACAGCGCAAAAATGATAGCTGGTTGATACTGCCCCTGGCATATGCTGCCCACCTGGTCCTCGCCTGTTGCCTGCCTGATGTCAACCTCTGCACCTGCGCTGGATGTCGACTGCGTTGCTATTCCATTCGGATTCATATGCCTGCAAACATAAATCAATGCCGTGAAATAATAACTGCCTGCTACCCACCTGCTCCGCTGCAACTGCGCTAGATGTCAACCAATATATTAGGCGTCGGATGAGAATTTGCTGATGATATTGATCGTGTCGCAAGTTCATATAAGCCTAAAGTCAGATGTTGCTGGAAGTTCTAGTCTTCTAGATTGACGTACCTCCTATTTGTTCGAAATACTAGATCTAGGTGATGCACAGGCACGAACAACGAGGACCCAGTGTTGAAGGTGGCATGGTAGACCAGTGACAGTGAATACTGGGGGCTTCGGTTCATACTCAGTTATGCATGTTCGTTCAGAAAGCGTTGTGCTGCGTGTACTAAGTCAGCACTGTCTTGCACTTAGATAAGAGATTCAGGCGCATATATGCGCTATAATAGATGTTTCAGCGAACATTCGAAACGAGTTAGGCGTATCCGAGTCACTTACTGATTTGCGAGCCAGGCAGTGCAGAGAAACAGGCCGCATAGATAGTGTCCTAGAAAACATCTCGAATTAGTAGGTGGTCGAAAATATCAAAGTCGGAGAAGATACACACAGGGAGCTTTACCACTGTTCATCCAAAAACATCATCAATTTGAGGCCTGTCTGGTCCAACGACTACTGTAAACGAGAATATGCCAGGCCCCAGGGTGCTTCCGAAAGTAAGGAAATGGGAGAGGCTCCTGGACTAGACATCGTCATGGTGTGAGGGAGAAAGATGGTGGACTAGTGAGAATGTCGGAGTCTTGCTTAAGTTCGTGCAATCGATCATTTCGTATACGCTTACCAAGTCAAAAGCAGCGCGAACGAGTAATTCACATCATCTTGATTGATTGATATGTCTGCAAATGTGCAAGACATCGACAAAATGGTGTGTTTGCGTTGTGTTGATCAAACATAACGCACGTCATCTTTCAAAATATATGTGAAATTCATGATTTGCGTAGCTTTGAGCATATTTGTAAATATATCCGTCGTTTTCCGTCGATATGGTGAGGTCCGGTTTTCACTGGGGATCATCCGTCGCCGTGTCGCGTTTTGTAGGCGAAACAGACAATTCATCTGCGTAGGTCAAGCTTTGTTGGTGGTGATAATAACTTTCCCCGATTTCGATAGTACTGGCCATGGTGGCCGCAGTACTTTTGAAAACAAATATTCGTCGTGCAACTACTCCGCCCATGATTCCTCGGACGTATGTTGGGCATTGGTTCGTCAGGATGCAAGGTGGTTCCGGATTCTACATCATGCCATTGCGAGACTGTCCGGGACATGCTGCGGCCAGGCAAGAGCTCAGCACGCAACCCCCTACGACCCCGCTAGTGCACAGCGCTGCACTGATATACAGGAACAGACAGGAACCCATCGTAGTAGGACCACAACATAGTGAATAGAGTTCAGTGTGCGCATCGGCTTGAAGGACTCAACAGTGCGGTGCCGCAAAGGGCCGCCCATCGTTATGTTTGTGGGCATCCTACAAACTTTATGATACAAAGGGTCGACTAATGTTGGGCGTGCTATGAGAGGACGACACGAAAGTTCACAAAGGTGTGTCACTTGCTCAACATGGTTGCAGTTGGTCATTATTGATCAATATTTGAATCGTAGCAAGGGTGGTTGGTTGCCAAACTGCAGAAACGACCGACTGTGTGATCATTGATGACATCGACAGAGTCCCATATCATTATCAACATCATTATCATACAAACTGACAGCCGCCGGTGTCACCTGACCGTACTCAGCTGGTGGCTACACTCTTCTACCGTGACTGCTCGCTAGTGAGTCTTGGTCAACTACTGCCACCGCACAGCCAACGGCTTCCAGCTACATATCACATTTTGGAAACCTTTCAGTCATGCGATGATCGAGCGTCCACTTCATTTTATATGCGGTATGCAGTCTTTCGGTGTGCCAGATGGGCGGCTCCCAAACCGCCAAGGTTTCAAATTATGCAGTCTAGTTCATAATGTGCATTACACTGGCTTTATGTTGTCTTATGGCATCAGATTATGGCGTTGATTTTTCAGTCATTTCAGATTGCAACTATCGAATGATGCGTCACTTGTCGTCATGTTTCGACCCGTTTCTGTTTTAATCTAAACCAACTAACCTCTGCTAACACATACAAAAACTAGGACATATCCGACTTCACAATGTGCATCCCTTGTCTTCTCGCGCATCACATCCTGAGTGTTCTGTGGCTCCAGCAACCCGAAGGCCCCGCCTGCCCGTCGACTTCCAACCCCACCACCACAGTCTTGTCGCTCGATCTAATTGCGGATATCACAAGTCTGTACATTATTTGTCTATTCCGTTACCTTGGAGCTGATCTCCACGTCTTATATCAGGGTTCAGCATCATAGTTTATCTCATCCTGCTATGTTTCCCCACACTGTCCTCGCCGGCTGCCTTCTTGCCTTGTCACATGCAGTGTCGGTAGTATGTTCGAGATCCAACTATGATGACTTACCGTCTAGTGCCCCTCCATTCACTATCAAGCCTGTCACTGAACTCGTCGTCGTTAACAAAGTAATCGCGCCTGACGGTTTTGCACGATCGTGAGTTAATACTTACATTTTCCCCTGCGTGTCTTCATCTTCATCCTGTATAGGGCAACACTCGCAGGAGGGATTTTTCCTGGCCCTCTCATCAAGGCGCAGAAGGTTAGCGCGAGTGTTTAATTAACGTCTGCCGCTGATATTTCGAAGAATGACAACTTTAGCATCAATGTCGTGAACAGGTTACATGACAAAGATATGCCTTTGTCCACGAGCGTAGTACGTGCTTTACTCTTTTTCTCCCCTCAAGTTCCCTGATGTCCTTCAAAGCATTGGCATGGTATCCAACAAAAGAAGACGAACTGGGCAGATGGTGCATCGTTCATTACTCAGTGTCCAATCCCTCAAAATCGCTCCTTCCGCCACGAATTTAGCGCACCCAACCAGACTGGAACCTTTTGGTTCGTGCTCCCATTTTCTGTGGAGGAGGAATGCTAGAGTATGTCTTACGATAGGTATCACTCGCATTTTTCCACCCAGTATTGTGAGTGTGTATAACTACCTGTGTGTGCGACCTATGCTACACAGTTTTACGTCCAGGTGACGGTCTCAGAGGACCACTTGTCATATATGACCCTGAGGATCCCCATCAAGATTTGTATGACGTAGATGACGGTTTGTATCTTTGCTTTCATCTTTAGCCCAAGCATTGACCAGCCTTGGCATAGAGAACACAATAATAACGCTTTCCGACTGGTACGAGTTGTCTTGTCAGCCTTTTGCATTCCAAATCTTACAAGTTCCTTCAGGTACCACGATCCTACGCCCAAGTTAAACAAAATTCTCGGTCCTGTCACCTACAACTCTACCCTCATCAATGGTCTGGGGCGCTACCGTGGCGGACCCAAATCACCTCTTTCTGTCATCAATGTCGAGCAGGGCAAGCGTTACCGGTTCCGCATTATCGGTCTTTCTTGTGACCCATCATATAACTTCACTATCGATGGACATACCATGACAATCATTGAAGCAGACGGCATCGAGACTGTCCCTGAGACTGTGGATTCGCTTCCAGTGCTTGCTGGCCAACGCTACTCTGTCGTCGTCTACGCGAACCAGCCTGTGGATAATTATTGGGTTCGCGCACCATCCAACTTTCCAAACCAAACGTTTGCAGATGGCTTGAATCAAGCCATCCTCAGGTACAACGGTGCGCCCGATGAAGATCCTACGAGTACTCCTGGACCCTACATCTTGCCATTCAACGAAGGGAAGCTCGCATCTTTGCTCAGCATTCCCGTCCCCGGTTCCCCTGAGATTGGCAAAGCAGACGTCCACATCAACTTACTTGCTACCACTGTGAACAACATCTTCAGGGTCAACAATGTTTCGTACCACAGCCCTCCGACCCCGGTTCTGTTGCAAATGCTCAGTGGGGCGCAGCATCCCTCAGATTTGCTGCCGAGCGGAAGCGTATACGAACTTCCCTCAAACAAAGTAGTAGAGATTGCCTTTCCCAACACAGGATTGGCTCTCGGAGGTCCAGTAAGTGCGCCCTAGTGCTTCTCACTCCTGTCACTCAGCATCATTATAGCATCCTATCCACCTTCACGGAGTGCGTCGTTCTGTTGTTTCTATACGATTCACCGTTCTAATGCACTTGACAGCACACTTTTGCCGTTGTTAGAACTTCGGGAAACAGTACAACAAACTTCGTCAACCCAATCTGGAGAGACACCGTAAATATGGGATCGACAGGGGATAACGTTACAATACGTTTCGTCACGGACAATTCTGGACCGTGGTTTATCCATTGGTGAGCATGTATTCTCGTTACATTCCATGATACACCTCTCATGACGTGTCTGCCAGCCACATCGACTTCCATTTGAACCAGTACGTATGCAAAGGTAATATTTGAGCCATGAACTGATTCCTATGTAGTGGGTTTGCGGTGGTCATGGCCGAAGCTCGGGACCAACTTGCTGACGTCAATGCAAGCATTCCAGGTATAAGTGACGCGCTAGTTGTCCTAAACATGCTAACCGACCTTTCTAGTATCTTGGGCCTCGCTATGTCCTTCAAATCAGCCATCTAGCCAAGCACGCCTGGGTTCCTTCAATACGACCACATCACGCCTGGGTTCCTTAAATACGACAACATCACGCCTGGGCTCCTTCAATGCGACCACACTCACATAATTTACAATATCATCGAGCATTCAAACCTTTCAAATCCGATTGCTTCTGCGCGCTATACCCCTCTTTTATTTGCCACCTCTAGTTTTCAAAAAGTATCGTAGTATCCAGGCATCTGTCCTTCACATGATAGTGGTTTATTTTCGAGCGTTTATATTCCTCCATTCAATAACCTGTCTGTATAGCTTATGGGGAGGAGCATGTGGCAATACGACTGTAATAGTAATTGTGCTGTCTCGAGGGCACAATGTATTGATCTATTTTATCGTCGTTTCTGTTCATCGTTGGACTGCCCATTCAGACTATTGCCCAAGGCTGTACGCTCATGAAGAGACTACCAGTATGACCAATTGCAACGAACCCTACCCCTATGGTTGCTAAGGGGGTTGGCTAGCTATACTCTGACGACTGGTGTCAGGCCACTGCGAGTCGTTGGGTATATGTGGTTCCGACGGGTAAACAGCTACTTAGTGAAGACCATTATTACTTGGCGTTCTGGCAGGACAGTAAATCCTACAGATCAAATTGTCAGATACATAGTTGGCGTAGATCCTATCCCTTTGCGTAACGCATCTTTGATTGACACTACCAGGTTGATTTATGTAGCCTGTTTTGTTCCAGTAGTACCGTACTACCAGCCCGAAGGGCACAAGTTAGTGGTACATAATTTATACAGAAATTATTTCTCACGCTATAGCTTCGGTTAGCGTAAACGTTTATGTGCACACACCTTTATCAGACTGTCAGGCTTCAGCTACTCGAAACCAACGGTCCGGACCTACTAGGACCTACTTAGCCAACTTTTAGCCATATATGTGGCAATAATCCCATCAATATTGATGCAGATCAGAGCCTTGTGGGATGGCCTCGGAACGCAAATCGCACTGCAATCCCCGAGGCCCGGGTGCAGATAAGTAAGTAACGACTTACCGTTGGATTTCAAACAGGCTGCCAGAGGAAGGTGCTACAACTGCCAATCAGGTAGCGCCAGCCAGAGTGCCTTCAACAATCTAAATCCTGTGCGCAAGGACGTTGCCTCTAGTAGTGGTCAAGCTCAACAAATGGTCATGCGGTGGGTTACAGATAATTCTGGTCCTTGGTTTTTGCACTGGTGAGTATCCCGACTTGTTTTTCACTTGGTTTGTTCATCCTCCGACAGTCACATCTCCGAGCCGATGTGCGAGTCCTTTGGAGCTGGACTGTGTAACTACGAGACCAACTACCTTAGTGGCTTCGTGGTCGTCATGGATGAGAGTCCCTCTGAAACTCGGAAACACTGAGAGGGATTGTCGAGTAAGTATCGCATTCGATTATATAGTCGTACTCGACTCATAACGATTACTCACCAGCCTCGTGGTTAAACGTTAAACCTTCGCCCTATAAACAATTCGTTAGCGCCGTACAATTTGGGGCGGTCGACTCATATTAACAGGCAGCCAATATTATGTCTCTGCTGATTCTCAATTACACTTTTAAAAGGTATTTAGCCCGCGAGGCTAGGGGAATGAGTGTGTGTGCATATCATATAATCGTTTAGAACAATCACTGCATTTTATATGCTGCAATTTCCATGAGGTAACCATATGACCTCTGATTCACAGGTGCACAGACTACTCGAGGGAAATGGCACGATAACACCTACGTGGATAAATGCCTTCATTGCATTCGCTACTGTTCGTGATCAGACTAAGTATCCTTCTGCACCTTTTTCAAGTGTTAGCAGTTGTGATTGCGAACTTGAATGATACTTCGTCGTAACGTTTAACGTTCACTTATGTATTCGCCTGAAACACATACTACCCTCAAGCCGTAAGAGCGATTTAATATTGCGACTTAAAGAGAAGGCGAGACAACTATAAGGTCTCACGTGCGCAGGCATTATTTTAATCACGCACGTCACGTGATTTACTATGCGCGTCGACATTGACCGTGCCGATATTGATCGGATCCTCACTTGACAAGGAACCACTACTACATTTCACCTGCACCTTCAATGGAGCCTCACCAAGGACACAGAATGACTCTATTATCTAAACCACGTCATAATCAACCTGACAACAGTAACAGTCAAAAGCCTCTATTCATGATTCCACAACCTGGACGCACTGAAAAAAAATCGGTAGTCTCGACGTTTAGCAACAGCTCGCAACAAACATTTGCACCCACACGGAGCTCCAATCTTGTAGAGAATACGGCCTCCAGGGAGTTGGCTGAATCTAGCCTTCATTTTCCCAGTTTCAAGTTCAATACGACAACTTCGCACCCAGAGTCGCACAGCTCAAGTCCTCAGCACTCGTCTTCCTTCTATGACACAAATGCTGTATTTTCAACAAGGGTATGCCGCATATATTCTCAAGTTGGTTTTGAAAATATGTTATGTCATTGTAGCGTCCCAACGTGGAGGTGAAGAAAGAGGACCATGGTGATTATATGCGCCTGAAATGTTATCGTTTGATGTCATTTTTCTAGATATCGATGGGCACCAGTTTAAGATGCTCGGAAAGCAACCTTCTCAACATTTTCCTGCAGAATATCGATATCCCCCATTAAAGACGACCACAGAAGAGATCGGTTCTCGATCAGGTTTTGGTATCCTTGAGAGTGATATGACCGAAGAGGACCTCATCATCACAAAAATTGCTAGCAATAGCCGTCAAGCGAAGGCTGAGCTCGCGAAACTGGTAAGTTGACCTTCTTCAGTTTTCTATAGCACAATGTCTATCAACACCATTACAGCGGGAACATAACGCCGAACTAGAATCCCAGCTTAGTATTAAGACTGAACTCGTCGCCGATCTCTCGCGACAGAACACGGAGTTATCTCGTCAGGCCTCAGACGCCTCTCATCAGAACTCGGAACTATCTCGACGAATCGCTCAACTTAAATTGACGACCAAGGAAGCAATTGACAAGGCCAACAGGAGGTTTCTAAATATCTCGTGTATCCGTTTCCCATTCGCTGATTCCATGCAGTTGCGTCGAACTCAGAGATTCTTATGAGGCGGTCCGAATCCAATTTCAAGCGTCATCTACCTTGGTGAACGATGCCCGAAAGACAATGGAAAGCCTTGAGGAGCTTCGGGATGCCGCTCGTACCGGCCTCCAAGGTCAGTTCATTCTCCGAACTATCATCCTTGCTTCCGCCGGGTTGTGACTTCGAATAATTAAAGTGTTTCTGGATGACACTGGGCATCTGCCCAATGTGGGCCAAACAAGGACAGTTGTAAACGAGCTACAGGCTGAGCTTACTCGGAGTGAGTCGCACCTTTCTGTGGGAAGTCAGCACGGCACATTATGTGTGCAGCTCAACAGGTGGCCGATCTCCTGCGTGAAAAATTGCAAAATATGGGTTCTGAGCTAATAGATGCCCGGGCGCGCGTCGCGGAACTGGAGGAGCATTTTGGGAACGACAGGAAGTTGATTGCCTCGACAACATCGGATCTTGAGCGCACCTGTAAGTTCGGTCATTGTCATCTTGATGAATAGCGATTCTCATGGCCATCCAGCCGAGCGTGTTGTTCATATGGCTGAGTACCTGAAGCTCCAGAAGCATGAAACAATTGATGCTCTCAGCAAACTTGCGCAAGCAGAGGATCGGCTAGTTCACAGCCAGTCACGGTAACGAATACACCTAATCGTCATATGATGTTTTGCCTAACTCTGTATGCAATAGCTTACAAGAACGCGATGCGATGGTACATTCCATGCGACAAGAGGTGGAATCTATGAGACAGGAGTATGATTTTGCGTTTTTGGCAATTCATCTCCTGGTAACACAACATTCTTAGAATTTCCGAGTTTGAAGAAGCTATGAATGATCGTAAAGCGCAAACCCGGATTCTGCAGAACAATGTCACGTTCCAGGAACAACACATGAAGGACCTAGAGGGGAGGTCAGTCTTTCCAAAATTTACCGATAGCGCCTACTGAATCTTGATATTCAGGTTACAGAAGGCCGAGGCGGAGTTGGTGCATGCTCACAATAGATCGCAAGACCTGGAATCGCGCTTGGAAGTCTCAAAAGATCTTGAGAAAACTCTAGTTCAGCAGAATGCGCGCCTCACCTCCGAAAGCGAATCTATTGGGGAGCGACTCCAGATTGCTGAAGCGGGGCTGGCAGATATCCGGAACCTAGAAAGGGAGCTATCAGTACAGAATGCAAGGCTCGTGTCGGAGCGCGATACACTCCTTGACAAACTCAAAACTGCACACGCGCAGCTGGCAGATGTGAAGCGAGAGGAGGAAAGCTACCGCGAAAGGTAGTTCAAGCACTCTTCTCACAACGAAATCTTTGACCATTGCAATTAGATTCGCAGAAACGCGAACGTCGCTGAAGGTCAGCTTCGTGTCATCCAGTTTTCATATTTACCTTGCCCCAGGTTCTTCAGGAACGTTTCGACGACCAGTCCGTTACTCTCAGGCTCACCAAGGAAAGCGTTGGTGAAGCTCAGGTAATCCTGCGCTTTCTCCGCCCTGAGCTGAGCTCACCTGTTTACAGGATCGTCTGCAATCCACGAATAACACGATTCTGGTAGCGTGTACTCCGGTGTCATGTTTACCAGTATGTTCACTGCGTGATATAGGCTCTGAACGAAAACTTGGCGGAATCTGTCCACCGCGCCAGTGCTGTAGAGGAGCGCGAACGCTCATTGCAAAGTAGACTGGATGACGCCATCGTTGCCATGGCCGCCGAACGGGACTTGGTTGGCAGCCTTCGGAAGGAACTTTTAGACTGCCAGATAGACCTTTCCCGACAGCAGGGAATTCAACAAGCCACAGAACAGATTGCAGAACAACGCGCTCGCGATGCTGAGCGACAAATCAAAGAGCTGAACTCTAAAACAGACTCCCAGCGCGGCGAGCTGGGTGAGAAGCAACAAGTCATATCCGAACTGACCCAGCGCCTGGTTATTGCCGAAACTCCCTCTGATCTGCACGAACAAGAGCTCCTTGCTCTGAAAACGCGCCTTCGCGAACTTGAACAATCCGAAACGCAACTTCTCCAAAGATCGACGAACATTACCGTCCGCCATGAACAGAATGATCTGGTAAGACGGCTATAATTGTTCGGTAGCTGTTCACCTCGTTCGCGTTAGAATGACAACGAGTGGATGTTGGTCCAGAACCTGGCCCAAAAAGCCAGAGAAGTCTTTGAGCGCGACTTAGTGGAAAAGAATAATGATATTCGAAGGGTTGGTCTTCGCTTCTTCCAATTTGTCACTGATCCCGTATGGTTTTAGAGAGACAACCTCATCAAGCAACACGAAGCTCGTATCATGCAATTAGAAGCAAGTCTAGCCCGTCGCATTAGGGAAGTTGTAAGGAACAGCCCCTTGATAAACAATGTGCAGCTGACCTTGATTTTTCGCAGGCACAAGTCGGAAGCTCAAAGGGCGATAAGCAAGATGAAACTTTCTGGAATGAGCCCCCATCTGGACTCGGGGACCAACAAAATTCCGGTGCATTGCCATGCTTGGAAAATTAGACTTAGCTAAAATATTTCGCAGGTGTGCATAAGGCAACGAACCATTCAGTTGTCAAAGAACCACGACGTGCCGACCGGATTCCACTCGAAACGTTAGCGCCCGGTGATTCTGATATTAGAGATTATGACGACGAGAAGGACCTCGCAATGCGGCAAGGGAAGCGAACGATCTCTCTCGATGAAGAAGAGCCGACAAGACCAGCAAGGCGGCCGGTAAGTACTCTATCCGTGCCGTACCGGTTACCAGCACGCAATCTGACCGCGAAAGAAAAATTCAAAATATCCGGAAATGGAGAAGACTACAGACCAGGTTGGTGTTTTCTCTCATCGCCTGTCATCATGCCTCGAGTCGGTGTTAGGCCCCAGGTCCATCAAAGAAGAAGACGAACAAACGACAAATTCGGTAGCCAGCAGGGATGCCCTTGTTTACGATTCAACGAACTTGTCTGGGGTGGTCCAGTGTATGTCGAGTGTTTCAGCGTCGTTATTGTGTACCAGTAGTATTTCTCTTTTTCGGCTTCAAGGCCGTGGAATTGTTCACAACCTTCTCGCGCATCATCATGGTTCTGCACTCCCGATTAGTATAGTGTATGCGATGCATATAATACATCGCATTCAAGAAAATCAGCAAGGATACAGGACGTCGGTGGTATGAGCGGTAGATACACTTTCGATGCAATTGTCGTCGGTGAAGTTGAACAAAAAATCAGTATGACGAATGAGATATTATGGATGCAGAGTCAATAACAATAAGTGAACGGTCGGAGTGGAAGTCCAAGAAATGCAAATCGAGAAAATAGGTATACATATATGCACAAGAAATGCAGCGTCCGGAATTACCCGCTATTCTGGAAGGCGTAACATATCGCCTTCAAAGATGATGTCACCACGATCCTGCAAGGCCGCTGCTGCTTTGACGACTTCGGCTGTATCAAAGTCCTCGTGTTTGTCGGCAGGTATAGCAGAGTTTAAGTAAGTCAACAGGGAAGATATGGTCATGTCATCCGTGCTGTCATGAGTGGTCATAAATAGGTATGCGATTGACGAAAAAATGAAATCCATCCTGGCAGTAGGCTCATCAGCACCATGATTTAGAAATACCAAGTCAAGCTAGCGGGAGGAACGTACCGGCCAGGAACGGTGGTTAAGTCAGCAAAACCAAGTACAAGACGGCGGTTCAGACGGCTGGACGACCCGGAAGCTTCCGTTAGCACATGAATGTCGCTATCAGCTCTTCCCTTTGGACGAATAGAGCGGACGCTTTGCGATGATCTCTTGCTAGTGGAGGCATTATCAGGGCCAACCCAAGCGGAGCTAGTGCGGCTGTTTCCATTGTCTAATCGTTGTTTCTTCATAGTGTGAAGAGACCGAAAATCCGAAATCCTAGCTTTGCGCTTATCATCCGTGGATAGGTCCTGGGTGTCGTACGGTTCTTCCGACTCTAGTTCGTCTTCAGCAGATGCATCCTCGTCTGACAAGCTTCCGTCGTCAGGATGGGATGTGCCACCTTTGGCTCTAATCTCTGCAATTTCTGCAGCCTTCTGAGCTCGCCTCTGACTGAAAGAAGGAAGCAGTTGGTGTCAGTGAATAATGTGTGGAACGCGCGAGAAAACAGACGTGGCGACAATAGTGAAAATACTCACTGGCGGGCTAGACACTTTCCTCGATGCTGTATCCATGGATACGCGCAGTAGGAACTATCTTGTCGAAGCTGGACCCACTTCTTGCAAAGAGAACAGAAGACTCTGTTTGGCTCAACCTCTTCAACCAGAGGATCAGCCTTGAGAGTTGCGGCTCGTTGTTCGGCATTTCGTCGACGAGATTCGTGAGCTGGAAAATTGGTGGGTGTCAAATCCTTGAAGGATGAAGACGGCGAGCACGGTATTGTCGACGGGATGGGGTTTTTTCCAAGGAGTGGAGAACCCGAAGGACGTCTCGAGATTGCAGACACATCCCCAGGGTGAGGTTGACCTTCTCGAGCTGCTACATCGGATTTTGGTGGCCTTGATAAAAATATAGGAATGAGAAAGCGAAATAAAATGTCAGATTGAGTAGCTCACTGAGACGATGAAGCTTCCGCTTGAGAGGTGGAAGACTGTCCAACGCCCTTTTGACAGGACGACTTATGGTGCAGCCACTTTTGGACGGCCTGCATGTGGTTTTCAGGGCTGACTTGGATCCAACGGTCGCAAGTATTGCACAATACCCGCTCGGCATCAAACTTGCGGACGTCCGGGTCTTTAGAGAGCAATGAATTTCTCTCTTCGAGAGCACAACCATTCTTGTTGTTACTGGGGATACATGAGTGCCAGAATGATAAGAGAGGGTACGGATTCGCTCACATCTTTTTTGACAAGCAACTCTTGCGGTGAGCATCCCATGGGATGGAGCAATACGTGGAATTAGGACGGAGCCGGATCCACTTGTCGCACGATGCACATAATACACGGTATGCCTCAAACTGTGCGACGTAAGGATCCGCCCTGAGGTAGTCAATGCGTTCCTCTTCAGTACGCTTGGCACGCCGCCGCTTAGCGGGAGGGTTGGCAAGAGCCTCAGCCGTACTTTCTGGAGTATAGATAACAGGCTCAGGCACGGCCTGAGTGGTGTTGGCACTGTCGGGACACATTAGAAAACAAATAAATATTGATCAAGGCAGTGTCAATACCATTGTTGCCGATGGGCGTCCCAGTGTTTCAGGGTAAACCCGCCGGTTGCCTCGTCACGAAACGAGACGCCCTCGCCGCAGACTTCGCACATAACACGACCAGTTTCATACTCGCCTTTCGGAACGGCGACTGAGTCATCTACGCTCTCGCCCTCAGCGTCAGCAGAATCCCCTCGTTCTGGAGGGGTTTTCCGCTTTCGGGAATTTCTGTAGAATAATTGGTGAAAGTGATCATAGGATCGAATAAAATCGTACGGAGATGATTCACGAGGCAGCTCTCGAGGAGGAGAGGAATCAGACCTGGTGTTATCAATTAGCGGTGAAATAATTGGGGGCTGGGAAGGGCAGACAAATACTTATGGTCATCCACATCCATATCCTCTGCCATGAAGGAATAGTGGAAGATTAGGAATAAGAGGAGGCAGAAGTTGGGAGAGAATTAGGTATGATGTTGGGGCAGGTCGGGAAGGGTTAATATGTGTAAGCTGCTGTTCGGGTGCCAAAACGTATTTACAGAGAAAATATATGTCACAGATCCGGCACTTCCAGAAACATAACAACATTTCATTTCCCACGGCCGGCGAAAACATCGAAAAAGGTTTTGTACCTGAATAAATTAACCTCGACGAACACCTGATTCTGCTTCCACTCCGACTCGGTGTCAAACTTATTATGACATACGAGAGCAAATGTCACTTAAAATGGATTTCTCTTAGTATATGTTGTTTGTTCTAGCGTTAAAACGTGAAGTTAGTCTAGTGCTGTGTCTTTTTCTCTTGACACGTTTCCATCAAAAGGGACATTGTTCTGAATCACGATTGAAACCCCAACTCCGCTGTTCTATCGATCCATTCATCATCGATGCGATTCTCTCGGTCGTGATGCTATGATGTCGGAGCTAAACGCTGCATTGCAATGGATGTCGCTTAGTTTAACTGGGCTAGACAAATGACTAAGACGGTATCATTGTGAACTTCCATTTAGTACATCTCTGCTACTCACTCACCGGCCTTACCGCTTCGGGCCTAAGACGGAAATTCTGTGTTTGCTCGGCTCAGTCTCATGAGTCTACACCGTGGTCCATGAGGGCCTCGTGCTGTACGTCGTCCCCCCGTTATCACCACTTCTACAACAAGCTTGTCCCACATTCATCTATCATGTACCTTGGACATTGTGCTGTCACTTTGGTTTGTCGGCGATCTCAAATCTCATCGCATCCGGCGGCTTGTACGGCAATTGCGGCATTGGGGGACCTTGCTTAGTTCAGGAAATGCACCGAACCCATGTGGACATCGTCTATTCAAATTTTTGTGTTTTTCCTGTCTCCCGTGTGAAGAAATCTTATATGTTCAGGAAATTCTTGGTATAACTGCGTGTTCGGAACCCAACCGCCACGTAGTATTTACATCTATCGCCGCACAAAGAAAAAAAAACACATGTAGCCATATGGTAAGTTTTTCGGCCTCCTGAACCAATTACCGCATACTTTAAAAGGGTTGCTCGATATTCTTTGCGTCGTGACTCGTGAGTTGGCCTAACTTCCCCGCAGATCTCAAATACAGCACAACAGAAAGTTGCCGTCGGTTGATTTCCGAAACGACGGAAACTTTCCTTTTCGGATAGACGAGTACGTACATTGACTTGGTTGTCGATCGCAATACCATGCTTGATTGAGGCACGAAGGCTCCCCAATTCGGCTCTCGTTGGCGCCTGTGTATATTTTGGGTACAACATATTCTAGCCGCCGGGCCCTTTCCAACATGGATAAGTGACATGACTTATGTAGTCTCCCCTAAACCTTCATTTAATACGATATGATATCCATCTTCGCAGTAGTGAAACCTTGTATATAGTTCACGACACACACTTAGAAGAGGAATGACATTATCATTCGCACGACACTGATGTGGAGAACCGGCAATGAGCTTACCGTCTCTATCGATACTATCGAGGAACAACCTCGTTTCCGCGGACTCTTCGTTTGATTGAGTAAAAATATACTTCGCGAACACCCTGCTACAAACCACAATAGGCGCTTAGATTTGCTGTTAGGTGCTTATAACTGACCCGGCGGCGTCCTGACCTTCTTAATTATGAAACTTGAAGCTCCCAGCGCTAGTGCGGCATGTCTATTCTTCGATATCTATCCAGATTGACAGGATTCTCCATAGAACATCATATCCTTCCGTATCCTTCTCCCTCGATGAACCCCTTGAGCCGCTTCACAATTACATCAAGTCCAGACAGCCATTTTGCTAGCTCCGCGTCTAATTTTTCCAATGGCGCTCCTTGCGATATACGAGCATAGAAGTCACGGCGATACGGCGCGGCCCGAACAGCAACCTGAAAGTGCCACAAACGATCAGGAGCCACATGTACAGGGAAGCAGGCAGTGACGTACAGCGGCTAGAGACCGTACGAAAAACGTATGATGGGGTCTTAAGACTTCGTCGTATGAACGCTTGAAGCACACGTGTAACTCTATCGAAGGATCATTCTGCATATGTTGCAGTGCTAATTCGTCCGAATCAGTTGCCTTCTATGACTATACAGACGGGGATAGAATGACCTTTACACAGGAATGTCAAACCACTAGAGAAATAACGGTACTGATCAGTGACACGATATTAAAGGGTCGAACATACCGGGTCAGGCGTATCAAGCAACCGGTGCCATGTCTGTCATCCAATGATGCTTCGCTTCTGACAAGATTCTCAAGCGTGGAGCAACGCGAAGAATCGGCTTGGTAGCGAGTTCGTACACCCTATATCGCGGGAAAAGGATGAGGGTTGGTAGGGGCTAGGCAGAGCGGAGGACTTTCCCCTATATTGCCCTTTATATCACTCTGAACAAAGCCGAATACACCTGAGCCAAGCAAATCTAGAACGACAACGCATTTCAAAAACCGATTGCCGGACGTAATCATTATATCATACCGAACAATTGAACGAGCCCTTCAGAAGCTTCCAAAAAAACCGAGGTTTCCACACCATTAACGGTGATTGGAACATCTGCAAATGACTATGCGAACCTGTCAGTCTGCGAAGTGCGGTGAGGTGAGTGATTGTACTTTGACAGTCTCGAAGTATGGTTGAGAAGACATCTTGCTGGTCAAGAAGAAGGTTCAACGTTACCTGGAGGGGATAGTGCCGAATCCTTGTGCATTGAAACCTCGAGGACAGAGGCAGTGACTGCAAGTTTACAGCATAATGAAATTTGACACGATTTTGCAGGATCGAAGGAAACGTGTAAGTATATGTAATATTATTTTCTTTGTCTAATGATCTTATCATAAAAATCCTGCAGAACTCCATCAACTTGAAGAGGTTGTTTTTAGAACGAACGCCACGACGTTTTGAGAGACCATATAATGTTTCAATAAAGTTGATGGTGCTGGTTGCCAGGAAGGAACACTTTAACAGCAAAGCACTAGTATGCGGTCGTTCGGCACTAGTAAGTGCACACAACAAAGGGTTGATAAGTATGCACACCCGGAATTTTGGCATTTGATACTCACCAAATTATCAGTATCTAATGTCGCCCAATGTTTGCTCCATGATTTCCTTTGTGGTGGCGTACCGGTACTTCCACGGCCTGTCTCCCCTTTGCCAGCACTCGTTATAAAATTGCTGGTTCAGTGCTACATTCGAACTCTGGTGAACAATAGTGTTTGCTCACGTCGAGGACCGACTCACTGCTGAAAGGGATATGATCCCGATCCCCCTCTTCTGGATCTTCGTTATCCGAGAGTCCCATTGGTCGTGGGGCATTGTACTCAACAGAGTTCGCCGCTCGCAAAATGCCGTCAGTTCGGGGATTATCTAGCTCAAATGAGCTAGTGCCAGTGGCTGTCGGGCGCCGTTCTGCATTTGACGGACAAAATCCGTCTCCACTTCGGGCGAATTTCTCGTTCTGTAAAATTGAGTTAGTTACTCATTTCATTCTCGGGAGAAATTAGCTCACCTCGTTCTTTTGAACTCCTGCGCACTTCCCTCGATGTTTCATCCACAACCCTGGATAATACCTCGAACGTTTGTCGAGGCTAATCTCTCTGTCACACCCGCGGCACCTGACGGATGTGGGTCGTACATTGTAGGTGTACTCGTCGTCCTCGAGCTCCTGTTTCCGCTGAGCCTCGCTTTTCCTCTGCTTGCTAAAACCCACGACGAATGGTTCATCGTGCCTGCCTTCATCGGCACTCATGTTCTCATTAGAGTCATGCGGAGGACTCGATGCGTTCTGCGTGTCATCGGGTTCAGAAGGGAAATGAGATGGGGCAGGCCCACGAAAGTCGAACTTGATTGAACAGGCGAAATAGTGCTCGTCGACAAGGAAGTTGATCGTGGGCCAGTCGGCGTGTGTGTCATATTCAAGAACGGTACGACACCTGCCACACTTGTGGGTGTAGGTCCGTTTCGTGGCCGTTTTGGATATGGCAGCATGCTGAGTGGCGGCGCGGTCCATGTCTTTCTAGTGCACGGCGAATGAGGAATTGGTTCTTGATTTTTCGCATTTTTTGTACTCGGAGACAATGCCCTTTAGGATGTGGAAGTGGACGTTTTTTTTCACAGTGACGCAAAGTTGGAGCCTGCCTCGGGGTCAACTTGCATTGAGCGCCCATCACCCACTAAACCACTGGTTCTCGAATACACGTGGTATTCCAAGGCGCACTGTCATGGAATTCATTCACCACTGGCTAATGTCTTCTCTAAGGATCAGTCACTCTTCTAGACGTTGATGATTCCAACGTTTTCCGAACTGCAGGGTACATCTCTACAAAATATTCCGGTTGTGAATGTGAACCTTGTCTAACATGATCGTTCCAGAAAAACAAATCAGCATAGAAGTCGTGATAGTCCATGGATATCCACTCTGGCCGCCGTCAGGACGCTGATCAATTTTGTCATATGTCTGGAACTTCTTCATCAACACAGCCGCCACAATAAACGTGACTGCGCTACATTTGCGTCCCCTATGTTCTTATAGGTACAGAAAACATTGGTTCCATTTCGTACGTAACTAGGGTCATGTATCTCTGTGTTTCACGCTGACCGGAATCACCGAACATTCATAACGCATTGTTTCGAATGTTTGGCCTAGTGGCTTATTCGATGGAATGGTGATAGGCCAGGGAGCTTGCATCCTTATGACGTGAAAAACTCCACTTCGATGAAGGCTGTGGATACACTATTCGGATCTTCTCTGGTGGGTAGTGGGCTGTCATAGGCTTCTACCAAAGAACTCAACTCATTTGCAAGATCGCGCGGCGTCGAACATAAAATGTAGATGGAAAGGATGCCCGAGATTTAACAATCACGCAGAGTATGAAACTTCTTTGCCTAAGAACATTGGAGTACTGGGGTACCCCTCTAGCCGGGGTGCAGGCGGGTGTTTACCACCATTTGGATAGCTTAGTCAGCAGGGCTAGACCCTGACTCAGGGCCTTATCATCCACAGGTTGACTTCGGTCCAAGTTCTGTCCACCAGAGACAGCCAGCCACGCCAGCCACTCCAACGTCGAAGCTCGAGTCGTCAGTATCAGCAACTCATAACTTTACTATGGATTAATTGTTTAACTAGGAGGTCATGGAAGGTCCCGGTCAATCATTATCGCTCGGTACTAATGTACTTACCAGTGCCACTGGTGTGGTAATATCATAGGGACGAGCCATCCGTGCAGCACCATCAGGAAAAAATGTGGCGTTGAATTGAATTGCTTCATTCAATTCGAAAAACATGCCCGTCGGAGACGGATACGTTATTAACTAGAGGAACCTACAAAGAGGAAAACTGATACCAATCTTCGGTACACAAAGTATATGTTTGCAATCTTGCAAGCATAGGGCTTCGAGGTTTCGAGGTTCCAACTTCCCGAGCTATCGTTTGTGCACTGCATCGTGGGAGTGCTATTCAATAGAGGAGTACCTGCAGCTAAGAATCGCCACTTACACATACTGCCAAATGCTAACTGACAGGCTCGTACTAGGAATGGCACCGAAGAATGACAGATCCCTGGTAAAAGCTCCTGCGCCCAGTCACTAGTCAGGGACGACGAGGCAATACCACTTATGCGGGTGTGCCGCTGACTGTGAAATTGGAGATAGTTTGATGAATTCAACGTGTTGATGAGTGAGGGGATAGTTTGACTGGACTAATCCCGATAGAGTCGGATATAATCATTATCGACTCAGATACAGAAGTCCTCCGGTCAACGATTGCCGCGGATAATCCAATGAAAGTCTTGAGTGGTAGACGTGTCCTGAGGCCGACATGTATGCGAGAAGGTTGAAACAATTAGAATCTATATATGCGGTAGATACAGACGTCGACTTGTTATCCTGGAAGTACTGTTTTTCAGGTTGCTTGCAACGGCACAGCCCTTACTTTCTCACCAACTTGATCCACGGCGCAGAACTTGACTAGTGACTAATAGTCAGTATTTGTAAATTTCCCACCTAGAAAATACATTTGATTCCGGGGATTGAGTCTCACTTTCCTTAGCTTTTCTCCCAGCATTATCCATGCCGCCGGACACGACGAAAGGCAAGTTGAAGCGCAGGTCAAGCCGCAGAGAGGGGGAAGACTTACGTTTCGATGGCGGCCATGCCCGCGAAATCGAACAGAAAAGGAATAATGGGCAGATCTCTTGCGCCGAGTGTAGGAGGTGCGACCTTCGCACAATTTTTATAGAAGTTTTTTTTTGGATAATCTGACATGTATCTATGTCTAAAGGCTCAAGATAAAGTGTGACAAGCAGATTCCCTGCCAGTCATGTCAGGCAAGTACCCCACGTCACACAGCGTCGACGACAGCTCTCACGCACCTCCTATTTAGAGACGAGGTTGTGCTACATTGTGCCCTAATGGTAAGCTATTTTCTATCTCATCTTATTTATATTAACTCACTCGTCTCATGTACAGGCAGCTTGGCTACTGGACAGGGGACTCGGTATGCACCATACAACTCTTACTAGCTTTCATTGTCTTAATCCTTGCGACAAGGTTTGTTCTGGCTGCCACTGAGCATCTTCATCGTCAGATATCCAATATGAGTGGGCGTATCCGCCAATTAGAAGACGCCCTTGGACTTCTCCAGTCACGGCATTCGGCAGAACCCCACCCCCTCCTTCGCGACGACCTTCGTGGCGCGGATCAGAAGGATGAATTTAGTATCATTGCCCAGCCTGGAGATAATGCTGCGGGGCCGTCGAATCCTCCAGAGATTCTAGATGCATTTGGAACACTCTCCATCACCGATCACGGCATATCACGCTTTTTCGGCCCCACAGGCGGACCTGAAGTGAGTTCTAGCCCTCTCACTCACTGAAAGACGTATTCATTTCACCTGATAGTGCTTGTTAACGGTGCGCATTTTACTTTTTGTATGGCCGGATTCATGCAACTATCCCATTAGTCGGATAAAACCGTTCCAGATGAATATGCAGATGAGTCTAGTCCTGAATCTGGAAGGGATTCAATGAGCCCTGGATTACCGCAAGAATTCGGGATGTTTTCGCAGGCATTCCCTTTCACCCCTATGGGCCCATTAACAGATATTCAGGATCTAATAGAAAGTCATCTACCATCTTTGCAACGGGCCAAGTACCTCACGCAGACTTATTTCGAGCAAGCTAGCTGGCTATTCCGCAGCGTGTCTCGAGAACAAGTGATGGAAGAGTTACTCCCAATGTATTACTCAAATAGCACTGCAATGTCGCCGGATGAACCCAAAGGAGCTCACGAACTTGGTCTTCTTTTACTTGTCTTTGCTATCGGAGCTCTCGTGGACCTTACGCAGGATGCCTCCAACCCTGAGGCTGAGCACTACCATCAACTTGCCCGTGCTAGCATCTGCTTGCAACCAGTCATGGAGAAGCCCACCTTGGTTACTATTCAGGCACTTCATCTGTTGAGTGCCTACAACGCTATGAGCGGCAATGAACTTGGCGCCAAAGACACCAGCATGGAGACGACATGGTCATTGGTTATCCTTGCGGCGCATCTCTCCCAATCCGTGCGTAGTCTTTCCATTTGTATAATTCTCACCTGATGAAAGGTCGTCTAGATCGGTCTTCGTATGTTTGTTCATGTCTATCAAGGAATAATTAAATCTTACTCGGGTTCCGCGCCATAGATCGGGATAGTGCCAAGTGGGGTCTTCCTGCCAAGGTTGTGCAAAGGCGGCGCCTTCTCTTTTGGGATCTCTTTGTTGCTGATGCCTGGAGTGTAAGCACAGCCTTCTCTTCCGCATGGTTCCTTGTAATGGTTTTATCGACATTCTCAACGTAGAGCTTACACACCGGTCGCCCGCCGACTTTTTCCTTAGCTTACGCGGATTGCCGTTTCCCTGAGCCTCCAGCTTCCGCCGAAAATGACGGGGAATCTGGTCGTGAGACAGAATGTGAGTCTGCACATATGTTCTCATGTCTTTACCCACTAGATCTTTCGATATAGTCGCGTCATGGTGTGTCAGGTATGCGGCTGACTGCGTCGCAGAAGTCGCCACGCGTACGTTGACGGCTGAAGCGCCGACTTATGCTGTAATCATGGAGATTGATCGCAAAGTTCGCGAGTATCCATTCCCAGATATTTCCGCTTTGGCATCTGGTACCTCGCCGCCCCCAATTACCGAGGAACCGCTGAGTCTTGCAAAATCAATGGGCCGTCTCGTAATGTCTCACTCTAAGGAAACCTGTAAGTAAATCGCCTTCGTGCCGTGTGGCTATCGTGGCTAATCTGTTGCTCAGTACTACTCTACATTCATCGTAGTTTCTTTGCGCAGGCTATCATTGAGAATCCTGTGAACCCGTTAAAGAGTGCATACTCCCCATCATTCCTGGCTGCTTACCGGGCGTCTCAGACGATATTGCGAACCATCCAACAAGCGTTCGAAGAATGTCCTAGTCTCTGTGCTCGCTTTTGGACTATCTGGACTTTCGCCTTTTCTGCAGCCGTAAGCATCTTGGTTCTCGACGTCCATTGCAGCTGATAGCATAATTAGATCGTCTTTGGGACAATTGTCACTCGAGGCCCACAATCTCCATTGGCGTCTAATGCTATGAAGGAACTGGATGACGCATGCCTTCTTTTTTCAAAAGCAGCTACACATAGCAGACGCGCTTCTAGAGCTCTGGTTAGTATCGGTTCCTTTCACGCTTGGTACACTTTGTAATGGAGACAATGCCGCAGCCAATCATTACCAAACTGAGAGAGAAGGCGCACGTAGCCCTCGCTGCTGCTCAGAATGAACGGCCATCACAACAGCTCGGTCAGCAATGGAGCGTAAAGGTGGAGCAAGATGACGATGAACTCGATATCTTTGCTGGAAGAACTAGATTCCTTTCGGTGAAACGACCTACAAGTCTCCCTGCAGATTACCCGGAGGCTTCTTCAAACAGCAACACATATCTAGTGGCTGGTTCTACCGAGCAACAACCCGCGCAAATGTATCCCCTGGAGCCCACAGCTGACTGGGTTCAGGCCTCGGACCGTGGTGGTCGTTTTGATATACATCATTCAGACAATTCCACCGCACCTAGTGCAAGCACTAACGTTTCGACCCAGTTATGGCGACAGCCCCAGAGTTCTGGTTATCCATATACTCCCCTGCATCACGTATCTCATTCAGCTGTGCACCCTGCGCATCACGCTCCGGCACCTATTTCCGGGTCATCCAGCTACTGGGCCCCGGCGAGCGAAACATCGCAGCAATATAGTCAGCCTCCGCTTACAGCTCCTCCTTCCCAACCGCACACTTATCAGTACAACTCGTCTTCCGTGGCCCCATACCATGGCCAACAGAGCCGGCCAGTACCTACGGAGATCGCCGGACTTGGCCTGGTATCACAGGATTCAAGACTTGATGAACGTTGGACCTCTTTTATGCGGGAGTCTGGTTATTTCGATGGTGTTGGATACAGAACGCAGTGAAAATATATGCGTGCATGAATTTTTTTCTATTCATATGTGGTTCCACAGCCTTTGTATTGATTTCGTTGTCAATTCGAGCATCATCACCTTCCCATCTTTCTAGCCAAGCTCGGCCTGCTTGGCGATGACTATTTTTTGACCATCTTATACATATTTCATCTACAAGGCATCATCAACCAGTATATAGCAGTAGTCTTCGAAACACTTACCTGTACCTATAATCTCATCTTCCTGCCTTCCTGACTCGAGGTATATTTACATGACATTTTACTATTTTGCAGCCCTGATTACTAGTATTCGAAATGATATATAATTGCATGCGAGTATTCACAATTGGTGTCAGCGAGTACTGCATCGCCGGAGGTTGTGCTGGAAGGCCAAGGCACTGCGTAATACGTATACGCACCCGCTGATCACACGACCTTACATCGATCAAATTGAAATGTTATCTTTCTCCGTCCATTTTCAATACGGCTCCGGATAACCTAGATATCCGACTAGTACTTCAGGAATCAGGAATTTATGACAAGGATATCGTGGCTAACTATGGTACAATTCATTTCGTATCTGCCATCCGCTTAGGCTAAACTTTGTACGGTTTCAAGAGGGCCGTATTTCGATAATAGATATCGAGGGCTTCTCAATCCCGTGTCGTATGGGCCTACCTGACAAATATTGAAATCGCCATATGTCGAATGCAATCTGCCACGTCCCGAATCCAGGTCAACAATTCGCGCAGCAGAAGTTCTACCACATACAGCTCTTGGTCAGCTTGGAGCCATCTACGCATACCGAACCCGAACTTTAATCCTTCCGAGTCGCTTGTGAATCCATAAGCCCTGTCGGTACCACCAGCATACAACACAGATGATGCGATTAGTCATCTTATCTCCTCCAGCGATCGCTCAGTCTGATACTGGTCAACGTACTGGACAAGCGAGAGCCAGCATTGATTGGACACCCTTGTTCGTGGCGCTGTATGTAGGCAATACCTCCACTGCGCACATGCATGCGCATCTGATGCAGTTTGTCTTGCTGTCTTCCAGTAAGTATCTTCGAAGCGCCCGAGTATCGACACGTCCATCAAGGACTTGAAAGGGAATATCACACATAACCCAAGTGTGAGGTCTGCAAAGCCTGCGCATGAAGAGGCCCATGCGAAGCTGTGTACCTGGGCATCAACAGGTATGTCAGCGTGCTGACAGAATGTTGTCTGCCTTAGGAGCCTTTCAATCCCAGACACGCAGTGTCGGGACTGGGAGACGGAAATGACCACAAAGCTCGAGCCTGCGACGATGCCGTCACCCCCCTGTCGTCGAAGGTGAAGTATTTATGTTCACTTCAATTTTTTAGTGTTCAAGAAGTTAAAAAGTCACTACAGCAATCAAGGACGATCGATCACGGGCTTGTAGAGTGAAAAGGGCTCACAGTACAAACTCTGGGCAACATCAATTGACGTAAATAATCTTGTTCTGTGGCAAAGCGGACACGGAGCCAGTGGGTCCCAAATCTCAAGTCGTCACCACCCAGTGATAAATTGTACGACGTCATTGATGAGACTGGTCTAGAATGGCGTCCGCACCATCTTCCTGAAGCCAGCGGGACAGAGGAGGATATAGGGTGTAAGTAAGTCTCGTTCAGAGCGTCCAAGCGACAGCTGTGTATACCCCGCATAGTTGTTGGCAAACTAATTTGTCTCAGCGACTTGTGGAGGAGTGCCGTTGTGGAGCGTAGAAGACAAATGCTATCAACGGCGAGGTCAGGAAATAGGCAAATAGCATTAGCAACAACGAAAATCTTGAAGGCGTACCAGAAGGCATAGGAATCGTGTTGGAACATAGCCCAACTATTAAGCTGATGGGGGGAAGACGACGAGCACAGCGCAACGCATCCCCTGGCAGTGTTCTACGTATCTCAGATATTTTCGTTGACTGACCGATCGAAATTCCAGCCCGAAAGGGTCCAAGAAGACATTGTAACCTTGCCATATAGTACATTCGTGAAGGAAGTGAAGGAAGTGAACCCATCAATGAATTCGATCAAGTTGAAAGACAGGAGGTAACTAAATCAATTGTCCAAATGTTCGGCGCGCCATTTTTTCCTTGTGCAAAAGAACAGGAGGCAGAATAATAACCGGACGCGGTTGTGTGGAGACTGCGGCCGAGTGATGCGCAGAAAGGTCCATGGAAATTTGGAGGATGCAGGGCCTAGATGAAGGCAACCAACGCCCACCAGGAACCAGGAGAGTTTGGCAACCAGGTAGCAACGAAGCAGTGAAACACATAAGCAGCCAATATCCTCGGACATACTCCATGGCAGGGACATCATCAATTTGAAGTGCTGCGGGTATCATAAATTATAAAGGATAAACTAACCCATACTGGCGTAATTCTAATAAAGTATGCGGGTATTCGAAGGCTGCACAGAAAATCAATGACCTATCTGGTGCTTCACATGCTGTCGGCGATGCCGCTCCACGGCTCGTGCCGTTGGAGGCAAGGCGTCGTAGGTCGAACATAACTGCTTCCACGTGCCTGCAGAAGCCATAAATGAGGTCAGGATATAAGATATCAGTTCTAAGCCTTACTTGATGCGTTTACGTGTGATGCAATATCTTTGGTATCCTCTGCGAAGACCACAGCCATACCCCTAAAGAAGTTGAATCAAATAGGTCACCTAGTGGCAAGACAACACCTACTCTGCCAAGTGGAAGTCAATGTGGCTAGAACATGACATTTGAATTAACCAGGTACAATAACGGTATCGGAATCGTACCAGTGAAAGAACCATGGTCCTGGATTATCGGTTCTAAAGCGAATTGTCACATTGTCACTTGATGAATCACCATTGCTCGTCGTATCCCGTCGGACAGGATTATCGTAGTTGTAGGTGTCGCTTCCAGCGCTTCTTACAACAGAGAAGGTGTGCTGTGCGAAACATGAACCAGAGTGACAACAGGATATAACAAATGATACCCACTCCATGTAAGTGGAAGGGATGCTAGGATGATGGTACATGAGAGACGGAAGGTAAAGAGGTATTAGCATGGCCTACCGGGAACTCAGGCGATCCGCCGGGTACAGACAACTCGATAGTTTTGTTGGCAGGTAAGGTGTAAATCGATCCATAGGGATCCAGGTCAGAAGTGTCCAAATTTCCGTTTAGAATTTGCAGCAAGACTGGGGTGGAGGGCGGGGTATAGCTGTAGCCATTGATGAGAAATTTGAAGTTGTCATCCCATACGCTTTCTAGATTTATCGCCACGTCTGCGGGCTCCGAACCACCAGGAGCTGCGGGGTCTTCCAGCGCGTGCAAGTTCTGTTCCAACAAAGGGTTGGTCGTATTCCAATATCTGACGATGGGATCTGTGTCCGGAGCTCCAACATATCTCAGTATCGCAGAGTTGAGACCCCCTGCAAAGGTCGTATCATAATTGGGCAGTGCATGAATCCAGTAGTTGTCGACCGGCTGGTTTGCAACTAGGATGAAAGAGTACCGTTGCCCGGCCAAAATCTGGATCGAGTCGACTTCCAGAGGCATCGTGAGGTCACTGTCCGCCTCGATGACCGTAAAAACGTGGTTGTCAATCGTAAACACGAAGTTTGATCTGCATGCCATATTCATTAATCGAATGCGGTAGCGTGTTCCTGCCACGACAGTCACGACAGAAAGAGGCACCGGTGGCCCATATTCAAAACGGCCCGCACCATTGATGAGAGTCGAAGCAGGATTTTCGCCAAAGGCGACGTCGTAGGCGTTCACGTGGTACCTTTCATCAAATGGTTCAATCAGAGTAGTAAAAGTGCTGATGCTGATGATCCCTACCAATCCATGAGAGTAATGATGGTCGTTTCTATATTGTCATCAGCACATTCAACTATACACTGCAGTCAAGGTTTAGACCGACCGTTATCAACGTCATACATGCCCAGGTAGGGATCCATTGGGTCATAGATGACCAAGGCTCCTCTCAAACCTTCGCCTGCGTCAACGGTGAGATTTTTTTACTCCAGTGAAGAATGAAATTACCAACAGTACTGGAGCTGGAAATGTGAATGATACCTAATACACCAGTAAATAAATATACGCAAGGTAAAACGACAATTCTCACCAAAATGACCCAGTCTGATTTACTGGTGTGAACTCATACATGAACCAATTTTCGGACGCGATGGGGCACTGGGTCACCATGGCTGTTCCATCCATTTCGGCCGATCCATACTGCTTGATCCCGTGCCAATGCTGGAGCTAAGTCAGCACCGTCCCAGAATACAAGGAGATACTAACCACACTCGTGCTCTTGTTCATCGACTCGTCCACCAACAAATCCGTGACGTTTATTGAAAAGCTTTCGCCCTTAATGAAGTAAATCCTCCTGGTAGGGACAGCCGCATAGATAGACCACTACCTTTTGTGCAGTGAGGACTGGTCCAGGGGTTTGACCATTGACTACGATAGCACTGGAAATGTTTAGGCATATGAGGTTTCAACCAATCAAGTGTCTATAACGTACTCGATGAAATAACCGTCGGGGGCGATCTTGGCGTTTGTGATGACAAGCTCAGCATCGAGTGCCGCACAAAACGACACCAAGGCCGCTAGAAACCAGGTATACACGGAACGAACTTTTGCCATCACCAATGCTGCTGAGAGTCCGTCGTTGAGGTCTCACAGTTTGACAAAATTGTTTTATAATACCTTCTCTTACGTATTTTTGATAAAACTGCTTGGGATAAAAGTTGCGGCGCCGAAGGGGTCAATTCAACCTAGAAGAATTTGAGGTACGTGTTGAACAATGAAGGCCTAGGTTCAACGTTCTCCCGATGCAAGTACTGGCCGCATTATGATACTACCAAGTTTTGTATGATCCACACCTAAGATTCCTCCAGACCCGGCATGGTTGGTTGACGCATGGCGATCGGACTAGTCAAACCCGGAAGTAAAAGCACAGGCGAACCTGAACAGCGACCAGCTGCCCGAGCAAGGGACCGAGCAAGGGACCGAATCGGATGGACAGATGAAATGACCTGGGAGGAGTGATGTGTAACCTGTTCCCACTGAAACAGATCGGTTCTCTGTCATATGTTGTTATGTAGTAAAGAACGTTGGACCCCGTAAACGAATTTGTAGCATCATGTTATGACACCGAGAGCGCTACCTCTGCAAAAAGTCCAGAAGTCCGAACACCCTCACGGCATTCACAGGAGGACACGTTCGCTTCAAGGTATACTTGGCAGCATCGTCTGCTAGCATATATGCCTCTAACCCATGGTGAGCACTTCTTCCTTTCGCCCCCATCCCCCCTTCGCCGAATTCCTCTTGCGGTACCTGTAATATTTTCTCGCGCTGTCTGTCATCCCCGTTCCATATGCTTTTTTCATGTCGTCTATTAATGCATGTCGGTCTATTGCTTTATGTAAATTGCCAATATACCAAATATATGTATCTGCTTAATTATAAATTTAAATCTTGGTGAAGAATGAGTGAGTGTTGTTCGGGTGGTGCTTGCGAGCTAATGAGGGTGCCAACCATGGAAAGAATGAGATATTGCAAGCGGCCGTGCGAGGCGCCGAGGATGACAAGAAGGTCCGGGAGGTCGAAGTGAGCAGCGGGAGACTGCAATAAGTCGTGGCAGCAGTGCCAGGTGGGTGGGCAACACTAGACTCATAGAAGGGCGTGTCAGGGGAGTGACGTTGCCCTTGGAATATGGGGCTGTGGACGTATGGGAGGTTGACCTAGGGCGGGGGACAGCGGGAGGTCGTATCGATGGTAGCACGGTTGGGTGCGTTCCTGTGTCAGTGTAGCAGGAGGTTGCAATTAGGCATGGGCGGCAGCAGGAAGTCACTTCGATGGCGGTACTAGGGCTATGGGAGGTTGTACTACGGGAGTATCTTGAGTCGGGTGCGGTTGTGCACCAAGGGCATGGGAGGAAGAGTGGGTGAGCGAAGGGGAAGCCGTCGGCTTGCCATCCGCTTTTTTTTCCTATACTCAAGTTTCGTGCCAGCCGCCAATGTCCTTGGGGTCTTTACCAGGGCCAAAGCTGCTCGGCCTTCTTGCCAGAGGCAATTTGACTGATCATACCAGACTATTACGTAGTGCTGCGGTGATTCCGTGAACCATCACCGGCGTTTACGATTTTCTAGGGATTTTCCTGAGGACGATGCAGGCACGATCATATCATCGCAACTCGGAATGTTGAAATCATCAGCTACATAGGTATTATTCACCAACAGTCCCAAAAAAAGGCTTACTGCTTGGTCATCATAATACTAGCCTATGATCATATGCAAACATGCCACGAATCGGGGGTGCATGTGCCATGGGAACACATCGATAACAAGGTGGCATTAATCCCGGCATGTCCAGACAAGCCCATACGTCATGAAGTACGTTAACATCGCTGCACAAGAAATTCAGAGTCCAAGATAAACATAGGCATACAGAAACTGTTCGAAAATCATCTATGAGCCCTGGTCACTTGTCTTGTTTGTCTATCCCACTGCTGCCAGGGTCATGCATCTTATCCTGTCCTGAGACAGCTCGCGCGCTGGGCGATGAGCGTTTCTCATCCGCAGCACTTGATTCAGCACGCGGCCGTTTGCGTGATGAACGCGGCGACATCAACGTTCCTCCATTGGAAGACTTATCTGGATGAAGGTCACCACCGCGTTCAGCGGAGTAATGCTCTGCATCACGATCTCGTTCCCATGAGAGACCATCTCGCCCACTAGCGGGAGGCAGTGTCATATGGAGCTGTTGGGCGCCTGATTGAGATCCATTCTGCGACAGGAAATCTAGCCAACTAGGGTCTCCAGGAGGCCCTATGACAGTCTGAGAATATTTCCATTGAAAAAGAAATGTAAATCATACCTGATTCTTGCTGTGGTGGTTGCGACGGGGGTGGCAGCGGCGGCTGTGGTGGCCCATGGGAGGGCCAATCAAGCGGCGCGTATTGTGGACCTGTGTTTTGCGGCTGCCGATGTTCATCATTGTCTAGAAATGTGGATAACAAGGAGTCTGGAGACTGCTGGGAATGTAAACCGCTTGAGTGGGAATGTTGACCATGCGGGTGATTCTGCCGCATTAACTGGTGATACATTCCCTGTAATTGGGGGTCCTGAGGTTGAGAATACGATGACCGTTGGCTGCTGTAGCTATTATTACGCGGTAAATTAGAGCCTCGCGACGACGAGGACGGGAAGTCGAAATTCGACGGCAGGAAGGACTGCGGGGGACTGTTTGACACTCCCATATATCCGTTATACGGAAGTTGGTGAGACGATGGACCGTTTGATCGATATGCAGTAGAATGAGCTGACGTGGGTGAGGGGAGATAATTATTGTACATAGACTCGTCCCCCGAAAGCTTGGACCCATTGGCTCCATGAACGTTAGGTGCTAGACGGGGCTTCTTTTGAGAGCTAATTTGACCGTTTGGAGGGAGCAAACCGACCGGAAGACGAATGGCGTTCTGTGGAAATAGGAAGTGCAGATCCCCCACCAACCGATGGAAGCTGCGACGAGTGATGAAGGGGCATAGGAGGGGGAGGGATGGTCATAGGACGGTGATAATCAGCCATCTGTTTCAGAATAAGCGAATGAGAAGAAAAGATATCAATAATAATCTTACATCGACGTTTAGACCCATGTCACCTCCTGAAGGAATCAGAAGTTTCCCGTTGTTACCATATTCCGATTTCAACTTGGGCTCGTGGCGCCTCTTGCCTCCACGTGTGGGAGCAGAATCTGGGTCGTCGTCGTCGTCGCCCTCGTCATCGTCAATATCAGCGTCATGATTAAGTTTGGCATTAGCGTTGTTCGCGAAATCGTGCGGAGTTCGGGTGTCCTTCTCTCCGTCGTACTGAACAGAAAAAAAAAGTTGGTAAAGAACAGACAAAAGAAAAAAATTACTTACACGAACGTGACGCTGAATGATATCGTGGATGTCGCCAGAACAATATTGATAAAGTTTCAAGTGATGACCCGCGCGTTCCTCTGATGATGCATGATGCTCATGTTAGGAAGGACACACATATGAGACATGAAAAAGAACTCGCCAAAGATAACGACGGCGACATCTACAGAGCAGAGGACGCCTAGTTCATAGGCCTTTTGAAGAGACCATTCTTACGCTGTAAGGAGGTGAGGATAATTATAAGTTATCAGCTGCCAAGCTATTAATGGCAAAAATAGCCAAAGGCTTACCTTTAAAAAAGTCACTGAACGATTACGCTCGTGCTATGTTTAAGAATTACAGAGAGGGACGTTAATGATGGATCAAGAGGAGGTCAAGTAAAATTGGAGTAAGACGCGCTGGCACAACCGCGACCGAGAATAGCAGCAGGCAACTACATAATAAAAATGAAACTTACAGTGATCGGTTGAATCTCAATTTTTCTCCTGCCCATTGTACTATCGAAAAGGATGAAGAGACGATGAAGGGAGAGATGATGGGAGTACAGAAGAGAGATGGCAGTGGACGAGAGGATGGGAGCCTTGTCTTTGAAGTTTGGATCTTTCACTGGCGGCAAGTAATTCCGCGAACGGGTGCCGAAACCCAAGCAACTGCAAACGGCGCTCATCAGATTCAGAGATCATTCTCCGGGATTAAAGCCACAGTTCCGGATCTCACCGGATTCTATCATTCTATCTTAATTAGGAAGTAAAGTTCATAGAAAGATCAAGCTAAATTCACTAGAAATACCAAATTAGGTTAAACATCTTTTAGTTGAAATGTTCGCTAGACAAGATGACTTGTCAGTTAGATTCGTCCAATAGTAAGTTTCCTATGTATCATCATTATCTATCATTCATCCTTTTTTCTCACACTAACTCGCCCCCCGCAGCCTTAGTAACATCGATTCAACCCAGCGAGACTTGAGTCCCTCGGATGCCCACCTTTTCATGTCCGCGTAGTAAGTAGGGGGGGGGTTTCATGTCCCTCCGCAGTAAACACTTCAACTAACACTGCAACCGATCCTAAGTCTTATCTTCACACCCCTTGTTCCGTCATCGTGCCTTGTACATAGGTCTTCTGACATCAGGTTCGGATCCAAGGACGTCCGTTCACCTGGATTCTAGACGCTTTGATAACAGCTGTCTCTTCGCCAGTGAACCGAATTTCAACCGGCATTCATACCAAAAAGACGGTCAGACTCTCGTACCTGATCGAATTTGAGTGCTACTCTGCGAAGCGACGTCACTCCTTGCAAAGATCGCTGAACAACCCAAAATTATGGTATGGCCCAAAATAACAAGCTAGCTTGTTATCTTTGGAACATTCATATTCATGTGCGTATTTCTGTCCATTAATTTGGACCCTCTGAAGCTTGTCGATGTAGCATAGCACTGACACTAGCAACAACGAACTGATGCTGCTGCAAAACCCTGGCGCGTTCAAACGGCGCCCAGCTGTGTGTTCCATGCCGCAGTGTGTGATAATCACGCAATTCCTACCAGGCCGCCGTGCAATATACTTCCACGCCTACTAAGTACCACATCCTATGCGCTTGTTTGTCTGCCTCACGTCTCCATCATTCCCGGTCTTCCCGCGAGCCTCCTTCTCGCCGTCCGCAGCTTCATCTATGACCCTTCTGACTCCAATTGCTTCCGTATGTTCTAATATGGCTATTTTATTCCCTCACAAATCTTCGAAAAGCACCGTGTCGACGAATGTGACACGACCTTTCCCCCCACTCAGATATTTCAGGATCCATGTCCTCGATCACTCTCCTCAACCCCAGAGCACCTAGTATTTCCATACGGTTAGCGATAATTATTTTTGTCACGATAACTCAGCGAGCAATAGTTTGTTTGCTATAGCCGTTGATTAGGGCACATTGGATAACCCTTCAAAAGCGTCGTCGGACTGCGACAGTCTGTGGTCGCAAATCGAACACGCATACCCTTGAATTTCTCCTCATACGAGTCCCTATTTCCTATGTCCGACATGAATTATTCAGCAATCCTCAGCGGCTTCGTTCATTTACTCCGTCTTCGTTCCGACTTCCCGGCGGCATGCCATAAGGTCAATCAAAGGTGACAAAGTTCACTGCTTACCCACTCCACAACCCTAATGATACTTTCCGATTTCCTTTCTTCGACATCCTCTGTGTCGTTTCTGCGATCTCCTACTGAACATGTGTCTCATGCCAGTAACTGTCCTGTTCGCTCACACACACAAAAAAACCCGAGCTGTCTTACTCCCTCGGACTTCCGTGCAGGCGCCTGCCCGCCATACGAACGGCAGACAACGTAATCCTCTTATCTCTTACCACGGAGATATCTCGGTGATCTCCTGTCTCCCTTGAGGCTTCCTGCCTCTTGTCGTACTGTCTTTTGTCGTGTTGTCTTCTGTCGTATCTCTCTCCGGAAGGCATGCCGTGACGAACCTATGGAATCCCGGTATATGTCAGTTGCCCATCCACTCTCAAGATCGAGGCTATCCAACCGATACGATCTGGTCACATGGTACGCGCAATGTTTCACGACATTACATCCGGCGATTGCCTACTCGGACGATCATCCTATGCGGAGATCCTTAAACGTGTGCTCGAAGCTCCTGACTCCACCCTGATCTCCCACCAATCCCTTAACTCATGAAATATCTTCTTTTGTCATACGGGCTACTAGGAACTCTACGATCACACGCGAAGTCTGGCCGATCAATCACCATGTCGCAGAGTCGCTCCTATCTTGACAATGTTTCAGGTATCGCCATGGTGGACGCCACGTCAAGGACCTACGCCACGATCAAGCACACGGGAACGTTCTGATTGATACTATCGGGTTTGGGAAACTGGGAACCATTCGTTGCCCTACCATGTTCCGGACACCTCCAACATGGAGACTCCTTGGCAAAGGGCTACCCCCACTTTTGCGGCCCGTTCCCGTGAAGGAAGACGTGGAAAATCAATCCACGATGGGGGCACGTCTTTGCGATCTATGGTCTAGCCTCACCCCATGGACGCTTCTTCTGTCATGAATAGGCAACCTCGTAGTTCGCACAGGTTGCATGCAACGATGATGACCTTCGAAAGCTTGACACAATAGAGTTTGAGAATGAAGGTGTTCCTGTGGTTGCATCATGACACTTGGCTGAAACGAGATTCATTGGCTGATAGAAGGCCGCATGAGAAGAGTCTGACCGCTTCGATTCACGTGCCTCGTTAGTGCGGGCTTGTGCGGCCACCGATTAGTGGTGCTTTGCCTTTGCATTGGTCAGCGTTTCAGGGAAATGGGAGCCAACGCGCCGGCACTGTGGTCATCATGTTGCTCTTGTGCGATGAGAACCCGCGGCGGAGGCTAATTGCTGGGAGATGACTGATTGGTAACCGCCGGGTGGTATTTTACACACTGGCACCCGCGAAGCTCATCCGGACTCAGTAGGTGGGATAAATTGTGTGAACGTCTATGCCGAGTAAGGCCGTATGACTGGACTAAAGGTGTGATTAGGTTAGGATGAACAAATAGATGTCAGTATTATACACCTAGAAGACATGATACACAAGGGTTCAAACAATATGCCATTCTTAGTAGGGTGATCATTATGTCTGATATGTATGAAGCAAGAATAGATGCCGCGGAACCATTCCGCAATTCATGAAACGTTCCTGAGCAGTGAGATCTCATACAAAACGATTGTCCTCTCTCTGATCATGAACGTGATCAGCTTATAACATTTTCCATTCAGCACTATTGGCTTACCATATGTGCAGCCGTCGGGGGGCCTGGAGGCTATGGGTAACGACATGAGCATGAAGCGTTGTTTCATGAAAATGTTTCACTACTTACCGAGGAGTAATTTGTTTCCTGCGGCATTTCGACTCCTTCTCCTCCTTTCACATATGGAGGGGGAGGCTGTGATCCAGGATACTCGTTAAGTTCATATGGATTCATGCTTGCAGTATTGGACGGGTGACCAGGTGGGGGACCAGGCGGAGGTGCATACGTCTGCGCGCCTTGCCATATTGGAGGTGAGTAAGGTAGGCCTGGCTGAGCATTCGTCCCGGGTACAGTGGCAGATGTCGAACGTCGCTGACTACGATTTACAGATATACAGCACGCTGAGAGTAATAATAGCAAAAACAAGATGCCTACAGATTAAATTTATCGGATCCTATCGCTCGGTTAATGCTCCTAACAATGGTCAAGAATATCTCACCGATCACAAGTCCAGCGATGCGTGCACCGCTCCAATATGAGGTATACGGATCGAGAGCTTGCGCATACGCAGAGGATGATAGGCAGAGAAAAAAGGCAATTATTTGGGTTGGATTATGGTTCATGATGGTGTTCATGAAGTGTGTTTGAGTGTCAGAGCAGTTTCAGAGTGCGCAGTTGAACGTTGGCCACCGTCCAAGTTGAAATTACGTCATAGGGATGATGACGCCACCAAGCCAGGAAAGGAGATATGCGGGAAATGAAGGGAGCGCATCGACACTAGCTGCTGCGCACCAGCACCACGGACGAAGTAGAAAAATTCAGTTCCATGCCTTCTGGGACTGCAACAGGTTGTTTCTTTTGAGCCACGAGCTTCATGGCATGAGACTCGAGTAAAATCTGAGGCTCCCAAAGCCCTCGGAATTACCCCTTTTCCGTCAACCTCAGTGCCCCTCTTCACCCGAAAACACATGTTTAAATGCTATACTGAGTGTGTTGTGAGTACTTGCGCCCACCGTGCACAGAAACATACACACACACTTATTTGGTTCCAATTATGACGGTTGGCCAAGAAAAAACAGTGCCAGTACATCTCGAATTTAATGCACAAATAGAGGCCACCAGAGAAATCAGCATGTTTCGTGATCGATACGAGATAAACGACCAACAGAAAGTTCAATTGGTTTCGAGGGCATACAGCTCGATACGATGAGATAGGCTGTTTAGTCATGAACGCATTAGTTGCTCTCACTGCGATGCGCACACGTCACCGAAGTGGTGCTTCAAGAAACTCGAAACCAGAGAGTCAGGCCATCATTCAAGGCCTCTGGCTGTGCACTTCAAGTCTTCGAAAGGATCGCCTGCGGCAAAGTCGATGGTGATGTATCGAAAGTCTCACTCGACGTTAACGCCTCACTGGAGTAACCAGTCCAGCCCATAAGGCTTCACCATAAGCTCGGTGCTTGAAAGAGAGTATTAGAATACATAAACGATTCCGACGCATGTACACGCGCTCACCTAGTTATTCGAGTTCAATCAAAGCCTGAACTCGAGCATGTCGCAAAGCACATACTGTTTACCCGCTGGAGACTGGCTTTCGATACAACGGACGGACCGCCACGGGCACATCGCGAGGTCTTCTTTTACTCTCACGATGCTCCTCCAAGTCAAACACTGACCAAAACAGTCCATCCTCAAATTTCCAGCACACCTATCACAACGCTATTACCCTTCGCTCAGCTCCGATGGCATTTGCTACTACGATAAGCCCTCGATTAACCGAACACCTCCCTTTGAAGACTCTGTCCACGAAGCCTTCTACTCTCTACCAGCACGAGTCTGCCACATAGTGAAGAAGAATGAGCCGCCTCCCCTCTATCTTCTCCCCAAAAGGGGGAGAACAGGTCTTGGGTACGTTCAGTGTGCGAACACATCGATGGCTGGTGAGAGCGTGACGAAGAAAGGGATGGTTCTGATCGAACGTGCACACGAGCATGAGGAACAAGCGGCACGTGCTCAGGTTGCCAGTGGGATCCGGAGTTTCGGGACAAAGTTCAGGTCGAAATGATCATGTAATGAAAATCCGGCTTCAACTCATCGTATTGCCGACTACCATGGGAAGAATATCGGAAAAGGGGAAAGAATGGTTCAGTAAACAAAAGGAGACACAGTGCGCACTGCGAAGGAGCCACTTTTGGAAAGGAGCTGCTTCTAGTACTTCATTGACATGACACATGCATGCATGATGCGGCCGCTAATGCAGATGGGGCCCCAATTGACCTCTGACTCCTGAGCGATCCGAGCAGTGAGAACATGATCAGATTTTGTACCTGCTTCATCATCATCTTAGGTCAAATTCTTCAGATTTCCACGCGCTCGACTCTTGCAGCAGCTGCAGCCAATCTCTTCCACAATCGTGCTTTGTACCACAACAGCCGCGTAGTGTTGGGTTCAAATTCACAACAATCACCATACATGTCTAAGCCCGACTTCATATCTTGGACGCAATCTCACCTCGGTGCCCTCTATGAAGCGCGAGAGGACGAGGTATTTGCCAACGCCTTCGACACTGCATTCTCCCCTTCCTGCGAGGTTCGCGTGAACCATGCACCTTCGACACTTGATGCTTTGAGGGACAGCGTCTCATCGCGCAAAGCCGCTACTAGAGGAGTTGCACTCTCTTGGGAGAACGTGATCTCCACAGGTAATAGTCCGGACGAAGTGAGTTTCCATGCCCAACCTTATGGTATCACTATTCTGATTTTCACTTATTGATAGCCCTCAGTGGTTGCCGGAACTTTGATCATCACTCGTAGCATGATGTTCCGCGTTCGCGCTGCTCCTGCTCACCGTCTCACTCACATCAACTTCAGTGCAAAGTATGATATAAATTCATTGTAATGCTGCTGTTCCTCATATTTTAACTCTAGGGTAGAACGCCTAGAAGACTCTAACGTTCAGGCGGATGAAAATGATGACCCTCGTCGCATCACCAGCCTCCATCTTACCTCGGTGGACAAAGTGCCGCCGATTCACTTCGCGACACCTCGTCCAGTTGGCCAAGAAGAGCGGGAGTAAACCTACCGATAACATGAGTAGGAGTTCTTTGACATTTGTATCAGTAATGACTGCATGCACTACATTGTGGATGTTCATTCACAGACTTTGGAAACCTGTGATAGATCGGATTAATGCATAAGTGGCACAGTCGAGTGACTTTCGCACAGTCCCAGGCCAGCCGCGTGAGGGGTACAACGTTGTGCTGGGTTTGAACTTTGCACTGGTTCTGATAATTAAAGTCCACACCTCCTCAACGCCTCACAGTACGTCAAGCAGTGGCGGGAAGGAGCGGTAAGTAGTGCAGTTTTCTTGTGAGCTAGGTATGCTTGTTGTCCATCCTGCAAGTTGCTGTGATGTCTGCCTTGATCCCTATTCCATCTCCTCAGGACCTGCTCATTCTCCACATGCAATCGCCTGTGGTCATATATTCTGTCTCGCGTGCGTTCCTGCTCCCTGTCAGGTTCCGCCCAGTACTCATGTCTCTCCCCTCATATGTGAATCTTCAATCCCAGATGCCTTCGTTCCTTGTCCCTAAGTGCATGTCCCCTCTGCCGCGAACCTTTCCGGTCAGATAGTGTCAAGAAACTCTACATCGCAAATCCATCCAAACGAGACGTTGCTGAACAGGATACTATCGACGATCAGCATGCTAATCTCCTTCACCGCATGTCTCTAGTCTCGGGCGAAGACACACCCAATGCAGAAGTTGTCAAAGTAGTCGCCGAGGTGCAGGAATGGCTGAAATCTCATTCGGATATTCCCAATTCTGTGAGTCTTTTGCATCGTGCGCGCACCGTCAACGCGACGTATACTGGTGCTTGCTACTAATACATCAATTTCTCACATGTGGTACTTTCAGCATAAACTACTTCGAGCTGCCGTGGCTTCTCTCCAGCGAATCAAAGTTCTTCAAGATCAGAGCGAGCGCGAAAAAGCAGAATGTCGTCGCCTTCGTGACAAGCTTCGCACTTGCAAACTTTATGCAGACCTCGACTCGAAAACATCTCGCGTAGTTGAAGAAGGTCTGCTTTCTAGGATTCAGAAATTAGAGAATGAACATGCTCTGTGAGTCTCCGCTTACAAGCGAACGAACATATTCTAAAATTAGTTCTCCACAGAAAGGTGGTCATTTGCTTCGGCGGCATTTATATTTGACTTACGTTGCGTCCTCGTAGCTGTCGCAATTGCAATCCCAGCTGGAAATCCTTGTAAATACCCAACCTCGACACCCTAGTACCAACAATCCCACCATCCCTCAGCCAGTCCAGTTACACCGCACAGTGGATTTGGATACTCACATACGAAGGGGACACAATAGTGAGTCTCCGTCCTCTGTACCGTCGTGCTTTACTCAGTCGGCTGTATTCTGTATTTCAGTTGTCTTCTTGCTGATTACTTTCTTCGGTATCATCGAGGTATATGCACGTTTTATTTTAATGGCGAAATAATGACCCCTTGTGACAGTTTGCTATCTCAGCCTGGCTCACGTCACAATTTGACGTGCACGATAACTACTTCAGTCTAGCTGGACGAGACTGCACTCATTTTCTATTGTTCACTTCAACATGGACGATCATATTCTCTAGTTACCGCATGTTTTTCTTCTTTCCTCCTCCAGACAGTGTCTTGGGTAGTATGGCTTCTCATATCTTCTTGTACGTAGACCTCATTTGGAGCGAGTTAAACTTGCTGACTCGAACCAACTCGTTATATATATAGCCTGTGTCTAACATGGGTCTTCTGGACCGCGGGCGCTGCAAGTATAACTGCAGCTCTCGGTGGTCAACTGAATCGCAAGTTGGTACATTCTCTCTATTACTCATCGTTCTCCTTGTATCTTTTTAGTGCCCAAAGCCTTTCCGTGTATTGCGGTCAACTGATCGCGCTAGATGTCTTTGCCTGGGTTATTTTGTATGTATCGTTGATACATGTCTATTAATAATGCTTCCTTGTTCATATTCTTGTTAGGGTTCTTGTAACTTTCGCAATCTTTGTCGTACACACCCGCGACATTCTCGCATCAGGTCGAGGTGACGGAGTACACGGGCCACAGATTGCTTGAACGGGCAGGTTGTCCCCCACTGCTGTGGTTAGATCACCACGAGCGCGAAACCTCATCATTAGTTTCATCCCTGTTCTATGTACTGCATACTCTATTGACGATCCCCTTGCTGACAATTGTATTACCTGTAGTTCTTCATCTACGCCATGCATTGCCGTTTATATGGCTATGATCTTTCGATTACTGAAATTCATAGCTGATATCCAGTGCCCCTATTCCTCCTTCGTGGGCGCCCCACCTAATTACCAATCTATTTCTCCCGGTTCTCTCGATCCAGGTCACCCGTACCTAATTTGCTTGTTCAGGCCTATTTTCTAATCTTCGCAAGACTCCTCGTCATTGAAATTAGAAGTATGTCACAATCTGCATGTTTTTGCATCAAGAATTTTAGCCAAGTACGTATCAAGATCGCGGCCTACTTCAAAACGTATCTTACACAACTTCACGCCTAGCACTGCTCTCTCATGTACACCCATCCACCTAGTAGTAGGACTAACACGAATATTGTGAATACACAAATCCCAGCCCAGTGAATCAACACAAGCTTACCTCCAATCGAGCCTTCGCATCAGCGAGGCTGCGAGCTGACGACCAGATTTCTACATTTTCCTTCCTATCATCAGACATGGCATAAATATTCTCCATAATCAACTGGTCGGCTGTCCGGCCTCTGACGCGCATTAGGGCATGGAGGTATTTCACCACCAACGAGGGATCTCGTGAAGAAACCAACTCCTTGAGGGTTTCCCTGTATTCGTTTATGAGATCCTGAATCGCAAGGCTTTCGAGAGCAGAGCCGATGATGCAGGTTGACATAACCCTGGCGTCAAGCAGTGGGACTACAATACCCCTTGAGTAAATCAATGTCAGTCAAACTGATCATCTGCCTCTGTAAGAGACTTACGCCGTTATGCGGGTCAGACCACGGTAAAAATCAAGCGCATTCTAGGTAAGATTGAATGATCACATCTATTTTGGACCTTAATATGTTCTTACATGAAAGCGACTCAAGCTTGGTTCGCAAGCGACGAAGTGCTAAAAGATGCATGTCGACAAATAGAATGTGTTGGAGTGAGAAATACGCACTAAAGTGATCTTCTTCTGGAGCATCTCTCTCGCCAGATCAAGAGGGTCCGGAACTGCATTCGTTCAGAACTCAGGGAGCTCATCACAACGGACGGCAACGAGTTCTCACCACCTGGTACACCGTAGGGCCAGTAATCGCCCTGAGATCCAATACCGTGGGGCGGAGCATCCGATATTAACACAGCGACCCTGTTGCAATCATTCCTCCACCTCATCGTTAAAGCTCGAGCTAGAGCTGCCGTTACAGCTTCTGGTCCATCTCCACCACCATCAGCACCAGGAAGACTCCTCAAGTTTGCGTGGATTCGGGTGATATCCGACACAAAGTCCCATTCCCGGGTGACGAAAGAATCTTCCTGGGGTGGATGATCGCGGAACCCAATAAATGCGACGCGAAGATCGCCTGGCTGAGCTGAATTCACATGATCTGATCCCAGTATCTCCGCGCAGATATAATTAATAGATGATTTGACTGAGTCTATGTATGGTTGTTGACTGCCAGTGAGATCCAGGATGAACAGCAAGTCGCTGTACAAAAGTTATAAACAGTCTCGATCTATGGGAAAACAGACGAAGCATCACTCACAGCTTCAAGCCATGTGTACGCGAAGTATGTGCATTCTGCTTTGTTGCAGGATCCATCAGGTACGTGTATACCACGCGCTTGACCTATGTACGACATCGAACGACACTCAATGACACCGTATTCTTTTCAGCATACCAAAGAGGACTTACCAGGTCCTCAGATACGGGTGCTTTCCTTGTCTCTATATATGGGTGAGACGATCTCCGGGCCATGGGCATTATCACCCTGTCACGTGTGTCTGAAACTAGGAGAGCTTGTACAGCCTCTGCTTCTGCTTGAGATACAGTTCGGAGATTTGCAGAATCATCATGAACAACGGCAGTGGACGGGCTCTCTTCGACGTAAAGCATTGCTAGGAGATTTCCGACTTGTTCAGCCTCGGGTTGGGTGGCCTCGGTGGCAACGTCGCTGATCTGGGGGCGGTGGATGATGTCGTCCAAGACATCGAGAAGGATTGATAATACTTACAGAGGCGGATTCAAGCTCCCTGTCATCACTGAGGCACTCCCCTTCATGTTCGACAATCCCCGGATCTAACGCTGGAGCTATAGTCAGAAGCTCCTCTCTAGGTTCTGCTCTGGAAATTAGTTCCCCCGATGGATGGTACCCATGAGACATTGTGACATCTGCCACCGAGGGAGCGCTTTCGATCGCTAGTTCAAACGTCGGAACTGCCATCTCATGTCCTTGTATAAACTCCATCGCGGTAGACCGCTCTTGCGGGGGACAGCATAGGTCAGAGATCTCCGTCTCAACGTGATGTGCATCCTCGTGAACATTAATTGCTTGCACATCTTGCCGACTCGGGACTGGGTACCCCTCCAGAATGTTTACCCCAGCGGGATTGTGCTGGCAGTGTGCCGTAAGAATCGGGGATGGACCTGATGCCTTCGGCAACCTCCAGGTCTAATGCTGGAGCTATGACGAGAGGTTCTTCTCTAGGTATCACTCCGCCGATCAGCTCCTGTGATGAACGGTGTGCATGAGGAATTGCGACATTATTATGTTCTACTTCCAAGGGAGCACTTTCGATCGCTCGTCCTAGAGTTGGAACCGTGTTCCCATGTCCCTGCACAAACCCCACTGCGGTAGGCCGTTCTCGCACAGGAGTACGCAGTTCAGATATCGCCATTCCAGTGTGATCTGCTCCCGCGTGAACGCCAATCGCTTGAGCATTTTGACCTGTGATTGGGCGCCCATCCAAAACGTGTACCCCAGCGGTCTGTCCTTGTGGCGCTTTGTGCGAACCAGGGACAGAGGCACTACAAAGACCATCTGCTGGAGTATCGTCGATTGCTGATTCAGGAGCCGATGTTGCGACCGGACGCGCGTCTGCAATTCCCGCCCACGTGAGCTTCCCGCCAGAATCAACAGCCAATGCTGGTGAAGAAAACGAATCGTGTGGACTCGGAGGAGACAGATACACGTCTTTCGCTGACTTATCGTCGAAGTGTGGGCTGTTCGACAGAGTAATTTCAGGGGAGGCTTTTGCCCTTCTGCGCCTGCGATGTGTGACGAACAGGACATAACCACAGACCAGCAGTAGCAGAAGGGCACCCCCAACGACTCCGCCAACAATCGCACCCACTGGAGTTTTATGAGAGCTTGATGATGAAGTGCAAGAACTAGCGGCTCCAGTCAAATCGGAGTGTGCTTATCGAAGTCAGTATGTGTTCGCGGGTTCACCAAAGTGAACATACATATGGCGGCAATATCAGATGCAGCCACTGCGCTAAATGTCCCATTCGGCCAGCTTCGAGCTGCGGGAGAGTTCCCATGAAAGGGTGGCTTAGTGATCAGTGGTTTCCGGACGTACGATTGTAGCCCGCGTAACAAGGTATCGAGGTATTGGAAGGTAGCGTTACTCCCGCATACGAAGGGAAGTATCTTTGACAGATCCGTCAGATCAGTTTATCAGGGGACATACTGGTAGAAACTCACGTTGATGTCGACGTTAGGTTTGTAGAGCAATTGGCTGTCCACTCGTCCCAACTGTACTATGTTGGCTCATATATATATATCTGATGACCTTGGAAAACTTACCTCACTAGTGAAGGTGACGAAGAAGCACAGAACATACAGGCGCTAAACAAGTTGTAACTCGCCCAGGAGCTGTTTATCAGACATCGTTATTTACTAAGTCGCGTATGGGCAGTGAGAGCCTACCATGTACATGCAGTCACATTTGAGCCGCCCGGAATAAACGCTTGCTCAGAAGGGGGAGGGGAGATAGTAGCGTCTAGAGTAATTTGAGCGCCGATAAATGAAACCATTGAAAAGGGCTTACATGTAGATGAGCACCCCTTGTCCACTTCCTGGACCACATCGCACGGGGTTTGATTTTTCATGTTCATGGTCCATGATGGACACGAGATACAAGCGAACATTCGATCTAAGACAGAAGGTAGGTAAGATAAGCTGTATTGTGGTACAGAGAGCGAGAGAGGCTTGCGCAAGGATAGAAAGAAGGAGTGCTATATGAGGGATTTCGCATGTGAAAATAACGACCAAACGTGCCATTTATCCAGATCTTGTTTGTTGCATTGAAGCCTCATGAACCAAGTTCGTTATGCAATGCCCTTGGAATCGGACCGAAGCATGATTCTGTGTGCGCAAATCAACGCTTCTAGAATTTGACCGAAGATGTCGATGATCTTTGGGGTCAATGCAGGCTATAACCGCGAGAATAGATAGCACGGTAGGCAGTCTTGGTATAAAGTCCCTCGAAGAAGCCTACGACCTAGTAATCAATCCAAATTCCGTGAAAAAGCGTAACTGTTTAATCGATTAGTGATCGCGGAGATAGACACGAAGCTCTAGATAAAAAAAGAAGAGGCCTCGAGGAAGATAAGAGGGAACGCGCGACTATTGCCATGTGTCTATGATTTGTATAGGGGAGACTAAGAGGGAAATAAAAGATGCGGCTGTCAGTACCTCGCAGGAACGTGGTAGCTAGATATTATGTGGCCGACGGGGTACGAGCAGAAGACGCCGCACGTCTGTCAGTTACTAAGGCACGACTTTAACTGGTAATGTTCCAAGTCCTGCAGCGAGTCGTAACTGGTGTGAAGGTGGAGCTTCACACTGGTACAGTACCAGCTATAATAGTATTGGGTTGAACTTACTTCAATAGACTCGTCCAAATGACGAGGCGCACTTTAGTGGTTGTTACTAGACTTGTTAACAACTACGCAAACCATGTGTCATTTTGCTCGCGGTACTTCATCGACATCTTCAAGTTACTGGGCATAGCCTGAGTTTGACAGGAGCGCAAGAGAGTATGAAGGGCTTCCCACTGGTTACGAAATCAGACGGGCGTTATGGGGAAAAGTGAGAGAACGGGTGGGGGACTCTTAATGGCAGACGTGCTCGTCACGGTCGTCCTCAGACTCTCCTGGACCTGGCGTCGGCGGACATCACTAGTGCGAGTCACTACCGTAGGAAAACAACAACAAAAACCCGCAGCTCGGCAAGTCTGTACTGCGATATTCAATCATCACATGGACGAAAGATCCTTCAATGGTTGGCCAGTCTAGTAAATCTATAAGTTTTCTGCGTTGAACGACTGGTCAACTTTCTGGGCTCCTTACGTCTCTACCGCCTCTTGCAACCTTAACTTTATCCTTCTCTGCTGTATAGTTCTTGGATAACGCCGTTTGCCCCATTTGCCAATCTCTAGTTCTAATCGCGTGATCCGTCTCAACCCCCGCTCGCTTAACTTCTTGCCCACTCCTTCCATCGCACAAATCTGTTTCAACACTTCCACCCACCTTCTCTCGTTATGCTCTGCGGCAACCTTTCCTCGCTCCCTGCTGGTCCCCCCGCCTCGTCAATGTTGCCTCAGTAATACTTCCAATCGAATGTTTGTTTTATCCCCAGCAGCCAAGACCCTGGCTATAACAACGTCTGCCCTGATTCTGTGACTGTGTACCATATCGTATTGTCACCTTTGTCGCCACTCATTGAAGGGATGCTCAATTCCAAAACGTCAATGTCGTTTGGGAGCCAAACACGCTAACCGACGCTGAGCCTATCCTAAACGGGACTCGTACCTGACCCTTTCGGCGTGCAGCGGCAATACTTGCAGTCTTAAAACATTGCAATATGACTCTCAGTAGCACGAGAACTCCGCACGTGGTGTCAGTCCAACTCCGGGACGGCACATGGAGACAGCGACCGACATCTCGCAACTCCAAGTGACCCACTGGGTCAATCACATCTCTTCGTCTCACCTACAGGGCGGTTTAGTAAAACGTACAATTTCATTACGGACATGCCCGTGGGTGCCCCATCACTTGGGGTACACATTCTTTCGGGAACATCCATTGGTACACTCGCCACCAAATGCTTTGTAGGAATCACGTCGAACGCAGACGATGTCGCTGGAAATGTGGTACGAATGAATAAACAAGAGGTTATGGAGTGGAGAAGAGAATATGCCGTGGGTCAAACGGGATCATCAAACAGTAAGCCCAAGATGCCTGCCATAATGTACCTACTGACAAAGAGCAGATCAGTGTATTAGTCCGGGTTCTGGATGAGTTGAAATTCAGTATTTCTTAGATTGCGAGAATATTCTCAGTTCCATCAAGTGACACCCAGTAGACTGACAATATAGTCTGAATCTAAAGTGAGGTACCTCGCCCTATTAGAAAGAAAAGTGCAAGCGAGCCGGAGTCAGGGACTTGCCGCATGAGATCGAGCGGCGTTATTCTGTGGGAGAGTCTAGAGCAGTCCTATCATTTTCCTCCCACGCGTCACAATGTTCACGCCTAGCGTGAGTGAAAATTATGCTTCAGCTGTTATCAAACTTAAGCTTAAAGCTTCATTGCAGCTTGTTTTGGGTCGTGACGGCATATAACTTACGCTCCTAGGGATTGCCTGGCAATGTACCAGTGCATCGAGACGATATAATATTGCACCAACTTCGTACCAGTGCTACTATGGGATCACTGGCACGTCTAACTGCAGCAGCTTCCAGCAGCCGTTGCAGTAGTGTACACAATTGGTGACCCACCGTATCTGCGATGCTGTCAAATGTTATATGATGCAGCCGCATCGGTGCCCTGGCAGCCCTGTGAAGGTCCGTTATATTTGCACAGCTATGATAGCAACACACGGTACATAACTTAGTCCTTTCTAGGACTCATCTAGGAAGGGTGTGTCGTATCAGATCTGAGGGGCGGAGTGATACCTTTCACTCACATTCAAGGGTCTCTAAGTCAGTCCTACTGACCGCTGTTGCAAATATTGAAGTGGTGCCAGCCTGATAATGTGCACTTACGCTGAGAGATACTATGACTGCTGGCTACCGCACACTGTACAGTACATTCGGGCATCTCGGTCAACTGCTGTCAAATGCCACAAACACTGGGCCAGGGTCATATTCCCAACCTATATATGTACGTCAGGTTTCTGTCTCTTTGGTTATGTTCACTTATCAGTCCAGTTAATCGCGGGGCCACCACGTCGTAATATATGATGTTATATTGCTTCTAGCGACGAAAATAAAGAATATGCTCTGCATGTATATATTGGTATTTAGGACTATAACTTTCTCGCCAGTCCACCCACCTGTCTGTGTATCTCCTAACCTCCCCTCACCTCTTAGTGACCAAATTTCGGTTCATGTCGTCCTACACTCCAGACACAAATCTGTGGATCGAACGATCTCGTCTCGCTGGAATGTTGTTAGGGTGTGTATCCTACGGTGTGTTTTCTGTCGACTGGCACAATTCGAAATTAGACTCATATATCATAATAGGCGTATTCTTTCTCCTTACAGTACAATCCTGCATTGCTCTCATGAGGCGGCCTCGACATGAGGGAAAGATTCGAGGTCATCGTCTTGCACTTCTTCTATACGTTGTTGTCACGTTCGCATTGATAACGATAAGCGTTGCTGCGAACGCGAAATATACGGAGATGATTTGGATAGACCTTCGTGATGCGCCTGGTGGTCCGCTCGCGCTAATCGAGAACGAAATGGCTTATCGTATCAACGTTCTGGCACTTTCATCGTAAGCACGTCTCCACCCAGGCCTCTAGCACTAACGCCTCGTCTAGTGGCCACATCGGAGAGTGGTTAATGCAAGCTCTGCTTGTGAGCCGAATAGTTTGCCATATGGGCTGATGCGAGTCTGATGCCTTATACACATAGCTTCACCGGTGTTTTGCGTTATGGAATTGGGCAAAACGTGTGACAATCCCGATGATCACACTCTTTCTTGCCATGATCGGTGAATTCCTTTATTTACCAGCTACAATAGTCACTAACATCTTGAGCAGGACTGTCTATTCGTATCCAGATGGAGGCGAGTGCCGGAACAGCATTCTATGATATCGACGTCGAACCCGCCTACCTCTGCATCCAAGTGGGACTCAATGTGATTTATACCATTCTTGTGGTGTATATCTTACTCGACATGCGAAACAAGATGAGGCGGATCGCGGCACAATATGATTCCAGTCTCTATGATACCGTCGTTGTCATGATCGTCGAGTCCGCCATGGGATACTCCATCTTCGCAATTATCTTCATAGTTGCATTTGCTCTGCATTTAAACGGCATCACTACTCTATGCTTCCTGTCTATTACCCAAGTACAGGTAAGCAGATAAACCCCGTGTTACCTGTGTCCCTGATCCTAGTTTTGTATTTTTGAACCAGGGCATCTCGCAACTGTTTATCATTCTTCGTGTTGCAACGGGGCGGGCATATACAGAAAATTGGTTGAGCCGAACTGCTGCACCACCTACAACTATAGCATTCTCACGCACGGTAGACACAACAGAGGAACAAACCGATGAACAAGAAACTACGCCAGAGCAGAACATTGTTCAGACGTATTCTGCTTCTGCGAAGGCGGCAGAAGTAGACGTGTGTATAGCATAACATCTTGTAACGTTGGTTTAACTTTATATTTGATTTATACCTGAATAGAATCTTGTTTATTTGCCCTCTAGCCTGCTGAAGGTTGTCTTTGTGTGAAACAGGACGAGTTTTGGACATATTATCAACATTGCGCGATCACGAGGAAACAGTCTTGGACCAAGGGGCAAATCTTAATTCTTGGATGGTAAGTATTATTTTCTCTACAATATAGTCCGAGTATTGTGATTTACAACATATGACCTAACAGGTGGTGAGACGTGCCATTCGCATCCGGGAACGATGACTTGCCCGGGGTTGTCTATATTTAACCATGGGTTCCTCGCTCCTCGCTGGCATATTCTTCAGCTAACCTAATCGCACTCCTGGTAACGGTCGGCTCCGTGAAGTCATTGCGAGTGTCATCTTCAAGCCCATACAATATTGAACCAACTGGCAGCTTCAGCTGCGATCATTGAAGAGGAATCGCCCTATTCCTGCCTGTATCTTATTTAATTAGTCAGTAGGTATCACAACGCGGCGACTTACCTTCTCAAAGTGCATCCTGGCGATACTATGCACTTTTCCCTCGTCCAAAGAAGTGCACAGCCACCGGTTGGTCCAATATCACTTCTCGTTCTCCATCTCTCCGTTTTGCCGAAGCGCTTGACTCAGCCTTTTCGCGCGCCACGACGCTGATCCAGAAAGGTGAAATGTTGATGTATTGGAAATTCAAATTGAGCGAAACAGAGCTCGGTAATACAGAAAGTGAATTCTTGGGGACGAGGATAGATGGTGGAAGTGATTAGGAGACCTGCTAGACGGTCAACTGTGCACGCTGCGTCGCAGGTGCCCTTTTCGATTGCATTTCGATAAAATTTTATACATCATGCCAAATTCGTCAGCGGGCAGCATGATACGCTTGTCAGTGAATTGTAAGATCTCTAATATTCTAAACAAGGCTGTATGAATTAGTGATAGATGACGCCAATACGTAAGTGGCTCGCCTTAAATTTAATTGCAGGTCAAATACCCCCAGATTGCAGTCTAGAAAATGAGAAACATTAGCGATGGTGGAGGTGATCCCAGGGGCAATGAGCAGAAGAGGCCGATTTTGACGTTGATATCCACCCTGGACCGTGAAACATTGACAAGCTAAGAGTTGACGTGGAGTTGACCTTGTGACTCGATGAAAATCGAACCATGTCACTCTGGTCTGCCGTGATTTTCGTTATCGGAGAATATGCTAGACTCATTTCGAGCAGGATCATTAGACAGTTGACGACATTGATAGTGTCGGAAGACACGTACCCTAAGTGATCATCTTCTGCCCTTGAGGGTCGATATCGCCGAGGCGAGGCACATCGTGGACTCATTGACATGTAACGCTAAGCTGTCGTGACGGCACGATGTGAATCCACTGCATTATTGTAGACACGACAAGGTCTATCTTAGGTTTGATGCTAGCGTGGGGCAGAAGATGACGTGGTTGTCACTCAATATACACACTGAGTCCAAACGACGTGACCTGTAGCCTGCTTTACTATATGATGTTGGCAATCCTCGAAACGCTCGTAATGAGGAGAAGATGGTGGATTCGTTTTGATTAGGATCCGTGGATAATATCAAAGTGAAAGGACCGTACCCCATGGTAATCACCTAAAGGCCTCTGAGGCAAGGTACAGACTCAATCTGTATCACTCCTCGAGTCCGGAATCTCGTTGTAATGGGAGAAGTGATGCTGTCCTCTAAGCGATTGCCATCTGCTGGAGGTCGAAAGAACCCTACTAGTCCGGTGATGGGACTCAAATTCATCGATAATGCACGTAAAAGCTGATACTAATAGAGAAGCGTAAGCAGGGAGGGAGCAGATGAGGACGTACTTGATTCAAACCCATAGGATGGAAGCTCACGAGCGCTAAGCGCAAGCTGACTGTGGTTTGATCGGGTTTCAGGTAACCAACTTACGTCCAGTATTGTCTGTGCTCAAGGCCACTGGCTGTCGACACGACCTTAGGGTGGTTGGGCTGGACCGAGCGAAGCTCGGGGTGGGACGCGAGCAGCTGGAGCCGCTGGGTGGGCGGAACAACTGATCGCGAATTCGGTCGTGTCAGGCTTGGAAAAGGACGTAAATTGAACTATATTCAACTAAGATTAGATACGACTTTGCTACGAAGTGTAGATGAGTGAGAACGAAAAAAACAAATTAGACGTGCGAGATGTAGAGGAGTAATATATGGAAGGGAGAGGCGGGTGAGTACAAAAGAAAGTAAATCCGGAGCGAGAATATTAGTGAACGAGTTCGAGCTCGTCGTCGAGGAGATATCAAGTGGATTGAGGAAGAACAAGATGGCATGGCCCATGGTGCCGGAAACATCCGTAGGCCGCTCCGATTTCCGGCACCGTGCTAAATTACTAATATCCTACATAGTCAAAGTCTCATGTCCGAGTCAGGTCTCCTTTTCTCGACATTCGCATTAGCAATTCGACATGCAGACACTCAATTCAAAAGTCAATCTCTTGCCGGCCTCGAATATTATTGGTGCAATGCAAACTGTCATAGTAATTGCTGAAGTTTGAAACACTTCACTCTGAACAATAATCATTCACTGCAGCTGGCGCACTCACGAGTGATTGTACGTCTGTGCTGCAAGGCTATCCGTGCTGATTGCATAGCTGACAGTGTTTTCTGACCACTAGCAGATGCCAGACCTCGAAACCCAGTATTTCAATTCTCCAGTACCAACCATTATGTCAAGGACATCAACGACCAGAGCCTCATCACCGCCATTATTACTGAACACCAGCAGCGTTTGGATGCAGTTTCACATGAGATCTCAGACCTGGAAACAGTCACGGATAATATGCAAAATATTCACCAGCAACTCATAAAAAAGAAGGACAAGATCACGCAGTCCATTAATTTTCACAAGAGACTTGTATCAACTGTCTGGAGCCTTCCAACGGCAATTTTATCTCAAAATCTTCACCACTGCCTTCTGGAATTCGAATTCGATGGCTTGTCGTATATACCAAAGCTGGAGGCCCCCCTGCTGTTGATCACAATATGCTGATAATGGAGGGATGTTGTCATAGGCATGCCCTCTTTATGGTGCAGTCTGTTTGTGGAACTTGACCGTGAAGACTGGGAGCGGCGAGTCCCCTTCTATGGCTTATGGCTCAAGCGTTCCGGCGGATGTCCATTCTCGTTGGTACTGTGGTGGCCTGGCTTCACAAGTGAGTGGGCTACATTAGGAAGCCTTCTTCAACCATACATCAATCAAATCTTGTCTCTCTCTGTCAAATTGTTCGATGGCTTCGACATGCCTAAACTTAGGTTATTGGACTTTCAGGCACTTGAGGAGCTATCCATATCCGTGCGTGATTTTGGGGACGTGGAACCTATCAGAGTCATTGCACACAATATCTCGCAACTGTCGGTCACTCTGTCCAGTCTTCGTGTAAACGGGTTTTGGTTCACCCCTGAGCATCTATCTTTTTTCAATCCTGTATGGGCTCACCTGACAAATGTTGTGATCGAAATGCAAGCCGGTGGGACGTTATTCTCCACTTGCTCCAGCTAGCTCCCAACCTCTCCTTGTTAAAGACTTGGATACGTTTCGACCTCGACCAGGCCCTGGAGCCATTCACGCACAGCGAACTTCAATCCTTAGACATAACTTACACACATATGGCGCACGCGCTTAAATTGTCTGACCTGCTTAATGCTCTTTCACTCCCTAATCTGCACACGCTTGCTATTTGGGGTGTGTCGGGATGGCCTCATGAGGCATTCAAGATGTTCCTCGCACGATCAAAGTGTCCACTAGAGAGCCTTACTGTCTGTAGTAAAATGACAGGTGGGCAGTTAGCAGAAATAGATAAGTGGCGAGTGGAATATGTTACCGTTATTCCATCCGTCCACTTTGTAATTTAGTGTGAAAATACTTTCTTGATACTTCACCCTCTACGAATTTTTCAATAGGTGATCAACTGGGCTACGGTGGATACTTTGTGCTACTGCTATCAGCTTCACAATGTACTCATATCTCTTTGCACCTTAAAGTTACTCTTCGTCTATGACGCGAGTCCCTAGAGTGAACCACAATTATCCTGACAGTCCCCACCAGCACTAGCAGTAAAAAATTTCGAGGGCGTGCAGGGCACTGGAGTAAGTCCACTTATTCTCAACGATAATGTACAAGCTGAACCACCGTACTTCGATAGAGGGACCGAGAATATGTCAGTAAGTACTTACAAGATGTTTCAAGGCCTGCCATGCTCGAGGATGGCGGCCAGATACAGGCACACGAGGAGCACTCTCGAGCGCCGGTATCGCCGACGTTCAGTTCTTAGAGTATGACAGTAGTGGAGCGGGGTCAAGATACAAATTACTTGCAGCTGGCAAAAAAAAAATGAGACGCTCTAAATAAGCGGTCTCCAATGCGAGCGCCAGAAGCAGGCACCCGTATTGGAGCACGCAGATGAGCACAGGGAAGATCGGAAATGTCTACAAATGAAATTGAGTTATTGAATAGAATTATGCCTTGGCAAAAGGTATGTATGCAACACTTACATGGGGTGAATGAACAGATTTGAATCCTACCACGTCTTCGCCTCTCTTCACGTGATCGTAACCCGCTGGGATTGCTGGCCTGGTCTAGCCTTCGGGAAACATACAGTGAGCAATCCATTCTTCATCTTTGCGTCGACATCCTGGACCTGGACGATACGATGACCGTAAGTACCAAATCGCTACACAAAATTTAGATTGTTAGTGTACTCACCTTGATTCCCTGAGGAATCTGAAGAGTCCTGGAGAACTTGCCATACGAGCGCTCCTGCACCGTATAGCTGCCCTTGTCATGATTCTCCGAGCGTTTCGACTCCCCGGATATGGTCAGGGAGTTTCCGTGGACCTCGATGTTGACATCCTGTTGTTTGATACCAGGAAGTTCGAATGTCGCGGTCACTGTCTTGGTCTCGGCGTTCTCATGCAGGTCCATTCTGTGTTGGTGCGATTAAGTGTTTAATACGTTGGAGGCAATACGATTGTACTTACCTGGGAAATGCCTGACCACGGCGACCAGCCAACATGGTATTGCCCTCCGAGTTGGTGATAAAAGAGGGACGCGGTCTGAAGAGCCTTGACGCGGTCACTGACTTAACAAATCTTGAAAAATAATGGGGGGTAAAACGAAACATCTGGCAGGGTTCAAACTGTTAGAAGTAGAAGCTAAGAGACAAGTCTCAGCGTGTATAAAAAAACCGCTATGTCATTGACGATACCTAAGAGAGGAGTCTAGAGATGAGATACAGTAAGAAAGAGCCGGTGTGCAGAGTAAAGGGCGGCCCATCAGTAAACGTTTAAACCACGAGTTTGTAGCACCCTGTTATGACTCCGAGCTAGCTCGGTTCCCTCAACTACCTCGGAAAAAAGTCCGAACATCCTCACGGCATTCCGAACTGGCAGGATCGAAGACTATACTTGATGACATTGCCTGGGGCTAGGGCCTCACACCCTTGGTACCACTTGGGAAACGTATCAAAGGTCTTTTTTCAGGGCAGGTCTCATTGTAGGTAGTAACCTACCTGAAAGCCCACCTCCACAGGGGGTTGCCGTGACTTGGGCGCTCACCACCGCATGGGAGACCATTGTGCTGTGTTTCTCAGGCTGAATTATCAGGGATCATTTCGCTGTTTTGATAAAACTCGCGTGCTTTACTTTGCAAGGTAAGCTTATAATGTGAATTTGACAGACTTTTTTTGCGCTGAAGTTTCGCGAATCCGAGTTGCGCACGCTGGGTTTGTTACCACTTCTTCTTTCCACCTCGGTTGTTTTTCTCCAACAATCTCAACGGTATGTCGATCTGTTGCTGACCTCTGCATTCGAGCATAATTTATCATTTATACGGTCTATAGGAACTCAGATTTATCCTTGTCAAATATTCTTCCTCGTCCAGATGTTTGTGCTGGGCCACGCTTAGCTTGATCCTTGGTGTTCGTGAGTATCACGCTAAGCTCGTGGCAGACTCCAACGCGGGATCCACTATGACTTGACTTACTTTACAGGAGCGTGTGCATGTGTCAACTAGCAAGATATGCCTGATATACTTGACACTTGGGTCTGAACAAAGCTCACAAGTACTGGCTAATTGCCCACCCACACTTGTGCCAAGTAGTAGGCTAAAACTGTGTAGAACGCCTAAGCTCATCTGTTTTCTATGGCGTACATCCACGGGCCTAATTGCCAATTTGCAGCTTATAATTCAAAGAAAGCTTTGATTCAAAAAAATATCAGGCGGGTCCGGTACTAGTATTCACCATCGTACAAATACATTATTGTTTCAGAGCCTCAGATTCCTTTTCCACCTTGACAGGAAACGAAGACCAGGCAGATACTACCGCGTCTTCACGCGATTGCAACCTGCTGGGGTTGCTGATCCGGTCCAGCCTTCGGGAAACGCACAGTGAGCAATCCATCCTCCATCTTTGCATGGACATCCTCAGCCTGGACGATATGATGACCGTAAGCACCAAATCGCTGCACAGAATTTAGATTGTTAGTGTCCTTGGCTTGATTCCCTGAGGAATCTGAAGGGTCCTGGAGAACTTGCCATACGAGCGCTCCTGCACCGCATAGCCGCCCTTGTCTGAGCGTTTCGACTCCCCGGATATGGTCAGACGGTTTCCATAAACTTTGACGTTGACATCCTGTTGGTTGATACCAAGAGGTCCGAACGTCGCGGTCACTGTCTTGGTCTCGGCGTTCTCGTGCAGGTCCATTCTGTGTTGGTGCGGTTCAGCGCTACTTTTGAGTGTTTAATACATTGGAGGCAATATTATGCTAACCTGGGAAACGCCTGATCACGTCGACGAGTCAAGGCAGGATTGCCCTCGGCGGTAGAAAGGGGACGGAAACGAGCATTGAAAGCATCGTCGAATCAAACTCGGTGAAGGGATCGTAGAGCACTAGAGACATGATTAGGTGAAGAAATGGTACTAGATGTTGAGAGAAGTGCTTTTATGGTCGAACGTTGAACGTCGAGGCCTGAGGTTGAATGTGTTTGCTGAGCACTGAAGTCTGAGCAACTCTGACGAGCAGTTATATACACATCCGTGATGCATACAACGGGCCCATCTGCAGACCCACCACATTAATGGATATACATAACCCATAGCTAGGGTGTATCCCATGAAAAAGGCAATTTGGACTTGTTGCTGCGCTTAGCTAGTCTCGTTCGCCGTCGAAGTTCTGCTGCTCGTCTCTAACATCATAAACCAAAGGTCGCGTTTCTCAGATATGACGAACCTGTTCAAGTTGTAAGAAATGGAAATAGGCAAGTGACGAGACTTTAGTCTGATACACATGCATATATGATACGTATACTGTACGAGTACCATTCTTAAAGTATGAATGCAAACCGTTCAGAAATCCATAGACTTTGAAAAAAAAAACATACGACTACAATATTTCTATGGTCCTGATGTCCATCGAGTCTCCAACAGAAACTACGTCGTCGACCCGTCCAATGATATCATGGTCCGATGCAATCCTCTTGTATTCTCCACTGCGCTGCTGCGCAAGCAAAAATGCGCCGAAAGGCTGTCCAAGGTGAACAAGCAACCGCAATGCTCGGGATTCTAGGTCAACCATCTCCTGATTTACAGGATAATCACTGGACCAGACATTTGACAGAGAAGAGGACAGCCTCCAACAATCTTCCTCGCTCTCCGTATCGTTCCCAAAGTCATACGGTTCCACAAATTCAGGCGGTTCTGCAAAGTCAGGTAGCTCGAGGAGAGACCGATCCCAGGGACGGACAAGCACAAATTTTCGCTCAGTGGGTCTTGCCGGCCAGAACTGAATCAGGGTCTCTTCGGTGGTGACAGTCAAGTCGCGAAGCCCGTCTGCCTTCACTGCATACGTGAAATAAGATTGCGGGGCTGGACTAGCACGCATCCGTCTGATTTCCCTGACATTGAATGCAATGCAAGGCAGATGCAGTCTCTGTGCTGCGAAGCGAGGGGCGCTCACGTCGCAAAGTCGGGTATAAAGGTTCGAAGCGAAATCACAGTCACCGCCTTTCGCAGCAATGAAACCGATGACTGAATTTCATTTTCGAGTAGGGGTGGTAGCTTGCATGGTGGAGCTTCGTATGAAGTGATGGAGGCTGGTAGACAGCTATTGAACTCTGATGGTTTTCCGACCCAATCGAGGCCAGTGATGTCACCCGACCGAGCCACGATTTCCTGCAGGAGCCGCCCGAGAGCCTTGTCCTGCTTCTCGCCATAATCTACAGTCAGGCGGACACCAAAGATACCAAACAACGAGTATGCAATGTCTTCCTGACGCGTGGTAACGCGGGTTGATGCCCAATGGAGTTTCTCTCTGGCGCCACTCATGCTGGGACAGAAGGCTGCAACGGCTGGTGGGTCTATGCCTGTCGCATCCTTCAACTCCTGCATGATTGCGACGGACTCTTTGTGGTTGGGAGTGCGATCATTAAGATAAAGGGTCCAATTGTTCTGATAAAACAGAATGACTTTGGGAGCGATGAATTCTTGAACCGTCCATCCGCGCGTGTTCCAAGCGCTCTTTGCCAGTGCGCCAAGCTTTGACGAAGGCGGAACGTCCGACAGGTAGATGATCGTGAGCGCGGAGTGGAGATACCAGACGAACATGGAGTTAACCGATTCTTGGAGTTCGACGTTGTTGCTCTTATCGATGCAGCATGTATCGCTCCATGCCCAATTATATCCCGCATCACGGGCAGTGTTGCAGAAGGACCGCAACTTTGTCATGCCACCAACCGGATCCAACTCCGAGTCATACACGCTCTTGCCCTGAATATCCTGCAACAACGGCTCCTTCCCTTCCCACCTGTGTGATAGCGTGGCATACTGGAAGTACGTCATCACCACCTCTTCGATGTGCTTCATGGGGAAGTCTAGACGCGTGATTGTTGACGACACAAGCTCCTTATATTCTATGCTCATTGTGAAGGCGCTTATCTGCGCCTCTCGATCGCATAAGAGACCGGTGGTGGTGTCGAGTACGCGGAGCGGAGCATTGTCGACTTGGGTAACAACGACCCGTCGAATAGCATGTTCTACTTCAGAAGGTCTGAGATACTGCTGGCGTAGCTCTGGAGAAAGAATTAAACATGTTGACAAATATGTTATTCAAAGGCTTACTTCGTGTCTGAACGTCGGGGTGCATCATCCAATTTGGACAGCATCGTCTCGAAGGTCAGGATCGCTTCATCATAACGTTGTGCACCATGAAGCGCTGCGTGCTTCAGATTGTATCCAAGATAAGATAAAGAGTCCAGTTCAATGACCTATGTATCGCCGCAATGAGCATGTATTATGAAATGATAGATGCCAACGCACCTTCTGCGCATCGAGAAGTGCTTCCATCCATAGCATCTTATCCAACTTTGCCTTACTACGATTTGCAAAGAGAGTATCAGACGCAGGATTCAGGTTGATCGCGGCCGAGTACAGGTCAATGGCCTTGTCATAATCCCTCGCAGTGAGGGCGGCATCTCCACCGGCAGTATAGGGCGCGCTGCATTCTTGCTTGAAAGCTGAGTGAAATATGGGTGAGGATTGCAGTCTAGATGTTATCATGGACTCCGGACTTGCCGTTGGACCAATCCAGGCAGCTGGCCTTTGCAGATTCGTCGATAGCGCCCATCATGATTTGTGTGCTTCGAGGGCTTCATCAGGTTTACCTGCCGAAAGGAATGTCTGGCACCATCTCTGATGGGTAATGAGACACCAAGACTCGAGATCCCAGCCGAACAGCTGAACAAAAGCCCTCAGTTATAAAAAGTATTATGTATGCATCATCTTGACGCACCGTGGTCAAGTCCTCGTATATCAAATGAATGGTTTTCGATGAGAGAGCGACTGAGTTGACAGCGGCAGTGAAGTGGCCAACGGCTTCGTCATGACGCGCGCCATCCGAGGCAATCGATTCCGAGCTGAACGCGTAGATATGTCTAATGAGCGAGTTGCAAAGATCAGCGTCAATGACCAAGCATAGTCGCATGACACTTACTTCCACGACTCGACGCACGTGAGGATCAGTATTCGGACAAGCAGCAGCCAGCTCTTTGATGAGCAACATTGCTTCCTCGTGTTGATCTGCGTTGAACAGGGTGATGGCCTGAAACACGCAATGAAGCAAAGAATGTGCGAGACAAATTGGAGTTACCTTGATCAAGATAAGAAAATGGTTGTTTTCTGAATCTTTGTTCGTGAACATGGATGCGACGTCGAATGCTATCCTGGCGTCCCGGATGTGGCCTTTTCCGCAAAGGGCGATGCCCTTGGAGATGTAGCCTGTCAATGAGGGTTGAATGCTTATGGACTATGTCACGGATGAAAGCAAGCCTTTAGTAAGAGAGTCATGATGGGTCAGTATAACTCACCTTGATCGCATCATCAAGGGCGAGATCCCAGGCGTGTTTTCGAGCCTGAATGAATGAGCGATGGGCATAAGAAGTATAGTCATTGGGGTCAGTGTATATCTCTTGGGCGAGTAACTCTTCTGCAGTGTCCAGGTCCCCAGCAATGCATGTATCGCGGGCTGTCGTGATATCCAGGATCTGCACGAAGGATGCTCGAATTGTGTTATGAGGTGCAAAGATGGAAACTCGCCTTTGAATTAGCATTGCTGGGTACTACCCACTCTGAGATCTTATTATCTGCGCCTCCGCTGAAGATGTGCTTGCCGTCCGAGGAGAACGTGACATATAACAGCGTGAATGAATGCTTGAAGATGGCGATGGTTCGTCGATCTGAGAGCCGCCAGAGACGGACATGGTTGTCAGAAGATGCAGAAGCGGCGAGGGTGCCAGAAGGATTAATGGCAATGGCGTAGATATGGCCAGTGTGGCCTTTCCACGGATGACCGACCTGCTCCCAGGTCAATGGATCCCGCTCTCCTATGGTAGGATCGTCTTTATTGCCTCCCGAAAGAAGGCGTGTGCCATCTGGTGTCCACGCGAGTGACAAGCTAAAGCCTCCAAAAGATGCGACACGTTCCCTTGTGCTTGGATTATAAATTTGAATATCCTTGGTTGCGATGGCAAGAAATTCACCAGAAGGCGAATATCGAACGCAGTTGACATAACCACCACACTCAATTGGTTCTCCTTGCATCTGCCACGTTTTGGTACACCAAAACTTCATCGTTCTGTCCCATCCACCAGTAACCAGCACCGCACCATCCGGACAAAAATCCACCGAGTAGATGTCCTTGGAGTGGGCTTTGATGGGTTGGGCGAGAGATTCACCAGTTTCATCGTGCCAGGTAATGATTTCTCCATTTCTACCACCGCTTGCTATTATTTGACCATCTCGTGATATCGCCAATGCCAACACCCAATTGCTATGCCCCTCCATCTTCTTCAACACAACACCTGTCTCCAAGTCCCAAAGACGAAGTGTCTGGTCGTGCGAGGCCGTAACCATTCGTCGCTTATCGGGGAAAACTGCGACTGCCCTTACGGTACTATCATGATCTTCAAAAATTCGAATGGGCGTGGTGCTTGTAATGAGCTGTGGCATTTTACTGGGAGGTTGATGGTGTTGAGCGCGATCAAGGGATTAATGTGAGTGTTTTATCTAACAGAGGTGTGTGTATTCTATAGACGCCCAAGACACGAGGCAAACCGTTCCGACAGGAATGTTTGCTATGAGTCATAACCGCCTTCCTCGACTGCACTGTGTACATGCGTCCGACTCGTCTTCACAGCTTACATAATATATCCCTCCTATCCAATGGCGATAGTGCAGTTGATGTCACTTGCCTGCACGTCCATGGTGTATCATACTTACATATGACATCATGGTGAAGCGTTACAAGGCCGGATGCAGCTACTCGCCAAATTTAACGTTAACTTTTGAGTTTCAACCTGTATATAGCGCTACATGAAATTAATCGCATTCTTATGAGCACGAGGAGATCCGCTTTCCTGTCCACTAACCTAACCGCCTTCATCAGGGGACAGATAGGCATGGCCTTCACGGTATCCGGCGGAGGCTTTTCAACCCACTGCATTCTTACCTCCATCTCCCTCTCGATCCTTCTGTTTCTCCTTCCTCGGCCTCTCGCTATCTCGATCTCGGTATTTTGGATGCGCAGCAGTGAGAGACAATGACTCTCCCCCATCCTTGTATACGTCAAAAGAAATAAGCGTGCCACCTTTGGAACTCTTGTTTTTCTTTTCTTTCTTTTCCGCGTCGTTCGGGTTGGATCCCCTGGGTATGAAGGTAGGCTTGAACGTAGCCAGGTCAATATCTTCCATGGCACCACGCCAGGTGTAGACGGCAGGGGCTCGTTCACCTCAGCGACATGGTCTATGGAATCCTTTTCCTCGTCGCTCTCCTCATCATCACTCGCAAAAATCGCTGAAAAAATATCCATCCCAGGACGCTCATATGTGAGCACGTCATCTCCTTGTCCGTCATCTTCCCCCATGCCAATATTCACAACATCAAGCTTGCTACTCCCGGAGGACCCACTCTCCACTTCTTGTACCCACAAATTCGTCCGCTCACGCTGTGCTTGTGAATTTAAGCCCCAAACCTACGCTGACGGCCCAGATGTATCTACAGGGACCTCCAGAACTGGGACCTTGACCCCAAAGCGCTTGCACAGCAGCCGTGCAGGCTGCCACGTACACACCTTGCGCGTCACAGCACCATACATGCCCAGTCGAGCAGCATGCACCTTTGGAGCTTCTTCCTTGACTTCCTCCCTCGGCTTCTCCGTCACATCATTACTGTCCGACGTGGAAAGGGGGGGGGGGGGGGCAAAGCGGCTTGCAGCGATGTTCTTAATGTGTTCTTGGTCTTTCCTGGAGATGCACTCGACGATGGACCTGAGTGCAGAAGGTAGGCTGTCTCGCCGAGCGCTGCTCCCCACTGTCCATGGCATGTAAGCAAATAAGATCTGTCGAAGATAAATTTTGTCAAACCTGGCTCGCAAATTATTATGCCTGTTCTCCACTGTGCGTGCGACTGAGTTTATGACGGAGGAGGAATAGCTGCATTCTCTTTATCTTTTGGGTTAGCTTTCTCCCTCTCCCAAACACGTTTGGGATTTGGCGTCCAATCTTTTGGCACATTTGGTATTGGGAAGTTGCAAGTATGCATTAAGATATGTATTAAGATATGTTGAAGGGTTGATATGACGCTGCATATACCGAGCGGAACTCAAGGTGAGGAGGCCTGACTTCCTCCTTCCACCTCAGTTATTCAATCTCAACGGTATGTCGATCTGTTGCTGACCTCTGCATTCGAGCATAATTCATCATTTATGTAGTCCATGAGAAGTCAGATTTATACTTTTCAAATATTCTTGTTCGTCCAGATGTTTAAGTGCCGGGCCACGCTTGATCCTTGGTGTTCGTGAGTATCACGCTAACTTGGCTCGTGGCAGACTGCAACACGGGATCCACTATGACTTGACTTACTTTCCAGGAGCGTGTGCATGTATCAACTAGCAAGATATGCCTGACGTACTCAGTGATACTTGGGTCTGAACAACGCTCACAAGTACTGGCTAATTGCCCACCCACACTTGCGCCAAGTGGTAAGCTAAAACCGTGTGGAACGCCTAAGCTCATCTGTTTTCTATGGCGTACATCCACGGGCCTAATTGCAGCTTATAATTCAAATAAAGCTTTGATTCGAAAAAATATCAGGCGGGCCCGGTGCTAGTATTCACTATCGTACAGATACATTATTGTTTCAGAGACTCGGATTCCTTTTCCACCTTGACAGTACGCTAATGATGCATATTTGGAACGAGGACCAGGCAGATACTACAACGACTTCACGCAATTGCAACCTGCTGGGGTTGCTGGTCCGGTCCAGCCTTCGGGAAACGCACAGTGAGCAATCCATTCTCCATCTTTGCATGGACATCCTCAGCCTGGAGGATACGATAATCGTAAGCACCAAGAAATTAGACTGTGAGTGTACTCACCTTGATTCCCTGAGGAATCTGAAGGGTTCTGCAGAACTTGCCATACGAGCGCTCCTGCACCGCATAGCCGCCCTTGTCAAAATTCTCTGAGCATTTCGACTCCCCGGATATGGTCAAGCGGTTCCCGTGGACCTCGACTTTAACATCCTGTTGTTTGATACCAGGAAGTTCGAACGTCGCGGTCACTGTCTTGGTCTCGGCGTTCTCGTGCAGGTCCATTCTGTTTTAATGCGGTTCAGTGCTATCTGAGTGTTTAATACATCGGAGGTAATATCATACTAACCTGGGAAACGCCTGATCACGGCGACGAGTCAAGGCAGGATTGCCCTCGGTGGTAGGGAGGGGACGGAAACGAGCATTGAAAGCATCGTCAAACAGGTTCTCAAACTCAGCGAAGGGATCGTAGAATGTGCGCACTAGAGACATGATCGAGTGAAGAGATGGTAGATGTTGAGAGACTAGTGCTTTGGTTGTTGCCGAAGCTTAGCTTGAAGTCCGAGTGACTCTGACGAGCTGTTATATACACGTTTGTGGTACACATATGACGCACATGACGCATACAACTAGTCATGTCCATGACGTCCACAATGATACAGCTCCCCATTGCAGGTGTTTTGTTACGTAGTGCAAGTGAGTGACGAAAGTACTAGTCTTTAGTCGGACAGGCGTAGCTACTTTGACGCGCATGTGACACGCCATTACATAATAGTGCTGCTTTGACGCGGCCGTGCTGACTCAACATTTCGAAATTCAAAATTTCAAGGTTCAGCGTCATTTTGGAAGGACTCCCCGTCGAGCTTACAATCTTATTCCAGGCTAATTCAGAAGAAACCATTATTGACTGTTTTCACATAGCGGGTCTATGGGCTTCTATAGGAGACTAACCTTGTTCTTCGCATTAATCAACATGCAGGCAAGATGATGATCGAGGAGAGCACAAAAGCAAATTTCTCTCCACTCTTCGGGTTGGACATTATCAATGCATTGCAAACCATCGTAAGTGCCCACTTCTTGAGGCACTCGCGTCTGCATATAATAATATTTTTTCGTGTTCAGCTCGCACGTTCCGAACAAGCGATCGTATGTCTATGACGACATTGATGCTAAATATCGTTTCATTGATGATTACTAGATTCCGGACCAGCTGGAAACACTATATTCCAAGTTCCCAAATACCGACCAGTCTGCCACCCACAATGATCAGAGTATCCACACCATCATCGCCGAACGTCAACAACAGCTGGATGCAGTTTTGCACGACATTTCAGGCCTGGAATCCGTGATGTATGGTATTGAAAATCTTCATCAGCAACTGCTCGAAAAAAAGGACAGGATCACAAATTCGACACAAAGGACTCGTATCGCGTCTCTGGCGCCTGCCAACTGAAGTCCTGTCCCAAATTTTCCACCATTGTCTTCTCCCGGAATCTAACCGCCCATCAGAGCTAGAAGCTCCCGTGTCGTTAACTGCAGTATGTCGACGATGGAGGGAGGTTGCTCTCGACACACCCAGTTTATGGTGCAGGGTATCTGTGGGGTTCGACAAATTGCCGTACCGCTACCTCGAGAACTCGCAAGCCTTCCGCTATGACGTATGGCTCAAGCGGTACTGGGGACGTCCACTCTCGTTAGCGCTCGTCTGCGGGGCAGATGACTCAACCATGCTACGAAGCCTTCTTCAGCCCTACACCTATCAAATCTTGTCTCTGTCCATCACATTCTACGAAGATGCGATCGAACCCGAACTGTTGTTAGACGACCTCCCAGCACTTCAGGAACTAACCATACAAGCACTGAAGCAACACAAGGATAGATACACTCCAGCCATCGGACAATATCTCCCGCGACTGCCGGCCACTTTGCGCAGTCTCAAGGTCATTGAGCAGTTTTTCCACATCGAGCAAACTTATCGCGGTCTCGCAGGGCTGCACCTGACAAATCTCGATATCGCCATACTACTACACCAGAGTACAGTCATCCAATTGCTCCAGCTATATCCCAATCTCCTCGTTAAAAATATACGGGAAATTCTACCAAAGTGAAACACTACAGTCATTCACGCACAACAAAATACAAACCTTCCGCGTCTACACTTGCTGTGACGCTTCACGCCCTTTATCTGGCCTGTTCAATGCTCTATCACTCCCCAGTTTGCGGGTACTTGAACATTACAGCTCTAATGGTGTCCGATACCCCAATGAGGAGTTCAAGGCATTTTTGGCGCGATCAAATTGTCCCCTGGAGAGTTTGATTTTAGGTGGTGACGAGAAGCCGACGATGACAGATGTGGTGCGAGCGGAATACACTGACATTATTCCTTTGGTTGAGATACTACTAGTAGAGCATCGCAGAAGTCCGTTCTTGTATTTGTGATCAGTAGTTATACATCAAAAATCAGACTGTCTCCTAGGCTCGATACCAGCCTGGCTTATATAACTACGGACAAGTCGAGTGGTGACTACGTCAAGATTTCCCACTCTCAAAGGACGTACGTCAGACTGGTCACGAGCTGTCTAACTGTCTCCGGCTTGTCGCCACGAGCCACGTACTACACTCCCATAAGCAGCTATACCATCGATAGCAGGCAAATGTGCGCTATTAGTGCTAAAGGCTTTAGAATTCAATAGTAGAACCAAACAACATCAGACAACATCACATTATCGCTGGGTATCCAATGTCCATCAACGTCTCTCGCGAACGACATGCAGACAGTCAACTGGAACGCAAATCTATCTGCGGTGTCGGACATCATTTCTACGATGCAGAACATGGTGAGTGCCCAAGTTTTAATTGTATCACTCTGCGACTAATAATCAACCGCTTCAGCTACATTCACAAGCAACTGTATGCCAATGTCTATATGTATGTATTCGATGCGTTATTGAAAAATAGCAGATGCTGGATCTCGAGACTCCATACTCCCGGGCCGCATTTTTCAATCCTAATCATTGTGCAATCGAGCTCGAAGACCAGAGCATCAACACCATCATCACCGAACGCCAGAAGCAGTTAGATACAGTTTTGCACGAGATCTCAGACCTGGAAACGATTATGGGTGGTATCCAAAACCTTCGCCAACAACTTGTTGAAAATAAAAACAAGATAATCGAGTCCGTTAATTTGCACGAGAGACTCAGATTGGTTCTGTGGCGCGTGCCAACTGAAATCCTATCCCACATTTTCGTTTTATGTCTCCCGGAAGACAAGTACTTGTCGCCTGCATCAAGGCTTGCCCCCATCCTGTTGACCAGAATATGCCGACGATGGAGGGAGGTTGCCGCGGGCACGCCGAGTCTATGGTGCAGGCTGCGTTTGGCAGTCGAGCACAATGGCTGGCAGAAAAGAGCCTTCTGCTATGACGCATGGCTTAAGCGGACCCTAGGACATCCGCTCTCGCTGTCACTACGCTGCTACGATAACTGGACCCCATTAGCACGAAGTCTTCTCCAGCCTTACATCCATCAAGTCTCTTCTCTTGATATCGATTTTCAACGAGTGGAGCGACCTGAAAGTGTATTCAAAGATTTCTCAGCACTTCAGGAGCTCATCATTCCAAATCATAACACGTTCAAGCTGCTATCTTCTTTCGCTCCCTTCTGGGTCCACCTAACAAAAGTCGAGATCTCCATAGATACACAATATGCATTCCTCCATCTGCTCCGTCTATGTCCCAACCTCTCGTCATTAACGAATCATATGGGATTCTTCAAACAAAAGTCCTTGAAGCCATTCACACACGCCAAACTTCAATCCTTGCATCTCTACGGCAATCCTTGGATATCCAGAGACCCCTTATTGGGTATGTTTAGAGCTCTCTCGCTCCCCAATTTACGCGTACTTGATGTTTGGAATACATCAATGTGGCCTCATGAGGAGTTCAAGACGTTTTTGGCAAGGTCATCGTGTCCCCTGGAGAGCCTGGTTTTCGGCGGTATAGTGACTACGACTGTGGAGGAACGAGCGGAATACGTTGACCTCGTTCCTTTCCTCAAAGTAGTAGTTCGGAATCCCAGTCGTACTAATATGTGTTATTAAGACTTGGCTGCTCTACTAGCACTGGTACGCTTCGCAGCTTCATCTAAGTACCTCGATGTATTCTTCATCTGCGATTAGATCCACTATGTTCTGCGACACTCGCAGGGCTACTACAGGTTCACGCCAACACAACTCGGATTCGTACTCGATATGTTTCCGCCATCCTTGATGCTGTCTGGGTTTCCATGCGGTTTGAAACTCTCTATCCTGCTGGATTACGCTCTCAACTTCGTAATTATATTAGATCTTCTAGCGTTACTGATGCTAGGCTCCATGTACACACATTTTACCGCATAAACGTGCCTCTGTTGGCTCTCGTGAGATATCATGTTTGATGCAGTCATCCGTACATAGACTGAGCACTGTACGACGAAGGTATTGGAGTATGATAAGGGTTTTGTATGAAGAAGTGTATGAAAGGGAGACTGTACCCGTCGTATTTCTCTCACAAGATTTGTTCCGATCGTCTCGTGTTGTGGGCGCGAATTGCACCTTGCGCCACTGGACGAACCACAGCTGAATCGGCAATGACATGAAAAAAAATAAAATACGAAAGCCACGTACATCTAGCTCTGTGACGCGTGAGGAAGATTCTGACTGTTAGGATAGGGATGTGATATACATTGAAATGGAGGGTAGAGGGAGTGCGCACCACGTTTTCATCTCTCCGACGGAGAGAGCATCTAGCTCGTGAAAGAAGATCATGATGCAGGAAGATGGCTTTGGAAAAGGCAGGGAAGTTGAATTTGCGACAGGCACACTCACCTCAGCTATTGCATTCGCTAGAAGTGTCTTGCCACACTTCCCCGGAGGGTCACGCAGAAAAACATCATGTGGATACTATACACAATACCATGCAGAGAGGAATACGGTCGACGAGCTCGAAGAACTTTCCGACGCATGATTCTATATACACCATCTGGATGGACAATCGAGTAGCAGGTGGAGTGTGATCCTTGACTTTAATGGAATTGGTAGATAGATTCATTCGTTGACCACTGTTGAACAAGCTGAGTGCAATTTTCGCTTTGAGGAAGGGTGCTGGATAAGGTTACTCCATTCAGTGTCTGTCATAATCCGGAGAGTTAACTTGTATCCAGTATCCTCTAGAGGAGGGCGAGCGGAAGCGGGCAGGAACTGAATTTCACCGTGACAAGATTCTTGGCATGGTCCATGTCATTGTCAAAGAGGTGGGGAGGGGTTACATTACCGCGTAAAGACTAGTATTTAGGGGCATGCCTTTCATCTGTTCGATGCATGTTCGATGAGCTGGCGAGGTACTTGCATATCATATGTAGTAGTGCCTGAGTTGTAGTAGCGTAGTCAGCCAATTAGGGCATCGCGAAAATGCTGCGGCAACTGCCGCGACCACTGCTGCGCTGCTCCCAAATCATAGTGAGTGCGAGCCAATTACATAAAGCGCTCACCGTTCATACAAAAGGTCCTTTCGGCCTGGTTGTGCGATGTGGACCCTTTTCTAGAATTTGATTCAAGTAGCCATGGTACAGTCTGATGTGGCATCCGGCGACCGCACGAGTCGAACTGCTTGGCGTTCTTGGGTGGGACTCTGTTCGAACTTGTCGTATGCGATATACGTAGACATCTGATGGTGGTGGCCGGCGTATCTTATGACAGGACTTTATATACACTGCATTCTAACTTGATGTTGCACATCTGCTTTCCCTCAATTGAAGCCTCTCCGTCGAGCACTTTGCTCCCTCATCAGCCCACCAGTTTGCGTTTCGTATTGGGAGTGAATTTCGAAGGTAGTGTGAGAGCGGAAGATGGGCTCGTATTTCGCGTCTCTCTGGCACAAGCTGATGTGATCGACAGACACTGTTTTACTGCTTTCAATCACTAACCTGCTGGCTCTGGGGAACGGTGGACTGTGCACTACACGTTTCTTTATTCACAACGTCCTGCATGGCTCTTTGGCACGGGACGGTCGCTTTCGTATGCTCAACCTTTGCATTTCTTTGTTTTGGTGTTGCGTTTGCTGCTCACCCAGAGCATGCCATAACCTACTTCGACGGTGGACCAACCCGATTGTTCTTCTTTGATGATATACCTGTGAGGCATTCATATCTGTCTCAGGGTTTACTTTATCATCAACTTTGTCTTCTAGAGTTTGATATATCACGATACCATCTCCATGAACATATATGTTTCTCATGACGAAGGCAAGACCTGGGATCGTGCAGATGGCATACTACCTGGCGACGCCGCAATATTTGTCGAACACCCATTCAACAATCGTGTGGTGCGTTGCTTTCTATACTCATCTTCCCTGTATAATTTCATCCTCGAACACACGGCTTGGCTTTCGATCTGACCTAATCCTCTCTAGGCATTCGTATTAACCGATTCCTTCACGCATTACCGCACCGATGATTGCGGAAAGACATGGGTTACATTCTCTGTCCCTGACCTAGTATCCGGCGTTTCAAAACCACTCTCCTTCCACTCAGATCCCCGCAGGTGGGAGTATGTCCTCTTCCAGGGCACTAAGTGCACACAAACTCCTTGGGGCAGACATTGTCAAGACGTGGTACGTACCTCCCTTTCTGCTCATATCAATTACATCCAAATCTATATGTAGACATACTACACCCAAGATGGATTTGCCACAACACCGAAAGTACTCCTAGATGACATCTCTAGCTGCCAATTCGCTCACAGCAGCAAAGACTTTCAACCCGACGCTCATGACGACCTCATCTACTGCGTTGCCCGCGACTCTTCTATAATGTCCGACCCATGCAGGATCGAAAGCAGCCACCTTTACTCCAGCACAGAACTTCTTTGTCACCAAGAAGAACGAGGATATTGGCAATGGCAATAACACTGAAGGTGTCGTGACATTTGCGATCGTGGGCAAGTTTGCTGTTGTCGAGGTCAAGGACTTGACGCCCGGCAGCGATAGTTACATGGTGTTATATGTTTCTATGGACACCAAACAGTGGGTCAAGGCACAGTTCCCCTCCAAGGTGCGCTTATGGGAGGGCGCATACTCCATCGCCGAGTCTACGATCCACTCCCTTGCAGTAAACGTCGCCCTGCACGATCCAGACCCCGTTGTTACCCTGTTCTCCAGCAGAACCCTGTTCGTCAGCAACTCCAATGGCACCTACTTTGTTGAGAGCTTGAAAGACACAAACAGGAACATGGCGGGGTATGTTGATTATGAGAAAATATACGGCGTTGAGGGTGTTGGTATCGCCAATGTCGTTGCTAATGCACAAGACCTCGAGAGGCGGATGGCAGCCGAGCAATTACGGTCGGTCATCACATTCAATGACGGTGAGGAACGGTGTTTCTTGAATGTTTTCCTTTGTATTGACATCACATCTTCGCAGGTCGCTCGTGGGCTCCTCTTCTTGTTCCTGGCGGTACCTGCTCCTGCTCACTGCATCTGCACTCAGTAACAGACATGCATGACTACGGCCCAGTTTTCTCGTCCCCCGCCCCTGGATTTGTTATGGGTGTGGGTTCCATCGGAACGACACTTGCGTCATATGAAGAGAGCAACACCTACATCAGCACTGATGCCGGCCTGACATGGAAGATGGTCCGCGAAGGCCCATATCAATTTGAATTTGGCAATTCTGGAAGTATCATCGTCATTGTTGATGACCAGCAACCTACCGACTCCATCCTGTACTCCACGGACATGGGCCAAACCTGGTATGTCTTTGTGCCCTATGTGTATATACTCTACCTTGCTGAAATGCCCCGCTCTATAGGAAGACATACAACATTGGCATCCAGTTTCATGTCATGGGATTAACCACGGTATCGGATTCAACATCTCAGAAGTTCCTCGTCCTCGGCTATGTGATGTCACAGTCCCGACAACCCGACGACGGCCGCATCGCTGCCATCTACCTCGACTTCGCTACCCTCGGGCGTCCGAAGTGTGGTCCGAACGACAAGGAATCATGGTATGCAAGAGCCAATTCAAAATCAGAGTGCATCATGGGTGCCAAGGTCTGTTACTGATGTAAACCTTGCCATGAGAATGGTATTGCTGATACGCTTCGAAGCAATCGTTCACGAGGCGCAAGGCTGATGCAGATTGTTACATGGGTGAGGAGTTCCATCATCCGGAAGTTCATGATGATAAGTGTCCATGCGAGGAACATGATTATGAGTGGTATGTCGTTCCTCGTTACTCTGCCCATTACGACCGCTCATGCGTTGTTCTAGTGACTACAACTACGTGCGGAGCAATGGTAAATGTGTACCCTTGGGTCCAGAGCGCATACCCAGCACCCAGTGTACCCTTGGGACGCCCAACGAAAAGTACATGGGTTCATCGGGATATCGCAAGATCCCTGGGAACAAGTGTGAAGGTGGCTCTCGCATGGACGAGCCCATCTCCAAAGATTGTTCTGGAGGTGAGTGCTTCAGAAGCGATGGAGGGTCTGTGTCTCATACGTCATTTGCAGCTGAACCTGTCGAAGGACCGATCGTTCACCAGATTGTATGTTGCTGTTCTCGCTTTTCTTTCCAGTATGGAAACTTACGATATTGTAGCATTCGTTCCCTGGTGATATTGTGCAGAGCGAGTATTTCAAGGACTCAAAGGTGAGCGTCCTGTATATCATACCATATCAATACCTCAGCTCACGTCTGGGTCCATAGACCGTCCTCGTCCGTCTTACTGACCGCACAATATGGCAATCTAGCAACGAGGGTTACACATGGGAACAAAAGTTCCCAGAGGAGCGTTTCCTAGCGTTCTATATGCACACACACAGCAATGAGCGCGCATACCTTCTCACCGACTCCAAGAAGTTCTACTACACAACAGACACAGGCCGCTACTGGCTCTCCTCCGAAGCGCCTTCGTCTCCCAATACCTTCGGGGCCCAAGTGCTCCGCTTCCAGCCAAGGACAGAGTATATCATCTGGATTGGTAATGTGGACTGCCAATCGGGGTACGAAAACTGTCGCGCACAGGCCCAGTACACGTGGAATAATGGGGCGGAATTGGCAGTTGGTGGAGGACTACGTTGTCAATTGCGATTGGGCACGCAATGGGGAGCTGCGGATCGATTCGTCTCAGATCCTATGCGAGTCATATGAGAACAAACAGGGCTCGCAAGTGTTTTTCGGGAGAGATAATGCGTTACAGCTTGTGTCTTGGACGGACCCTTATGTGACGAAGACGAAACTGTTTGACCATGTCGTGGGGTTCACCCAGTTGTCAGAGTTTTTGATCGTGGATGAGGTAAGTTTTTTGGTTGCATTATGCATGCGCTGTTGATTGACTGGCTGTGCACTTGCAGTACCTTCCGATGAGGGACATGCTTAACCTCCAGGTCTCATTTGATGGACGGACGTTTGCTCCTGGGAGCTTCCCTACTGGGATGCATCCAACTTTCCACGTAGGCAGCATCGCCATAACTCTACAAACGCTGGAATTGCTCATGATATTTTCTAGGCATACACTATCCTCGAGTCAAGCACTAAATCCATCTTCCTACACATGACCATGAACGAAGAGCCAACGCCATGGGGCAACATCCTCAAATCCAACTTTAACGGAACTTACTTTGTGCTGTCTCTCGAGAATGTGAACAGGAATATAGGCGGCTTTGTCGACTTTGAGAGATTCGCGGGGTTGGAAGGCATTGCGATGGCTAACATAGTAGCCAATCCTACAGAGGCTGCGCTGACGGGACGTAAGGCTCTGCAGACGAGGATCACGCATGATGATGGTATGCTTTGTTTCATGTGTATCACTTGCCTCTCATTGACGGTTGCTTGTTACGTCAGGTGGCACTTGGAAGGCGCTTCTACCCCCTTCGGTCGATTCGCTGGGTCTGAAGTACCCTTGTACATCAGTGGTATTTCGTGCTTTTTGCACATCGCTGTTCTCTTGACTTATTTTATCGTGTTTAGGGCTGTGCACTCCACGTTCATGGGTATACAGAGCGCTTCAAGGCCCGGGCGACATATAGCAGCCCATCCATCGCCGGCGTGGTGATGGCAGTAGGAAATGTGGGTGATTCGCTCGCCACCTACAGCGAGAGCGATACCTTCTTATCCCGGGATGGCGGGTTCACGTGGGAAGAAGTGCACAAGGACGCCCATATCTGGGAGTTCGGCGACTCAGGATCTGTCATTGTGATCGTAAACGACAAAGAGCCGACGGATCACGTCCTGTTTACCACAGATGAGGGTCTCACTTGGCGAGAATTCAAGTTTACGACTGAGAAGATCAGAGTGAGAGATATTATGACGGTGCCGGGGGATACAAGCCGGAAGTTTATGCTCCTGGGTCGTTATCCCGCGATGGCTGGCTCAGTCATCGTGCACTTGGATTTCTCATCTCTCACGCATAGAAAATGTGAGTAGGGTGCTCTTGTACTCGATGATTGACGTTGAACTCATTCTTCTAGGCCTCGTGGATGCGCAAAATCCTGGACACGATGACTTTGAGCTGTGGAGCCCCAGCGAGGAAAGAGACTCACTTTGCTTGTTCGGTCGACAGGTGAGTTGCCCGAATTCGAGTTTTTTCCTTTGTCACCTATATCATGTACAGACGCTCTACCATCGCCGCAAACGGGATGTGAACTGTGTTGTTGGGGACACGTCCAAGGCACCAGACAAGGTCGTGCGGAACTGCAGATGTACGCTGCAGGACTTCGAGTGGTGAGTCATGGGTGTGATACCACCTGCTCAGAGCTAATTTAAAAATCTGGACACGAAAAAGCGCATTCAATCATATGCGTAATGGAGAAGGTGAATGTGTTCTTCTGCTGGGGGGCGAGTCCACTCCCGCCCGATGATTCATGTCGCGACAGAGAAGACTATTGGTACGAGCGCACGACGTACCGCAAGGTGCCTTACTCTACTTGTGAGGGCGGCGACCGCATAGACCGAGGCACGCGACACCTGTGCCCTGACATTCAAGTTCCCGACCAACATTTCTGGTCACGGCGCGATGGTTTGGACTATGGTGATTGTATTCCCCATTGCGATCACAGCGCTTGTTGTTGCATGGTGGTGGTACAACAAGAGTACAATGGCGAGAGGGCGAGTGACATTCACTTAATATATGCGCGTTCTATGCTCACTGCTCACTGTTAATACACAGGGCGATTGGGTTTACCTGAAGACGATGATGATTCGCCAAGGTCAGGTCCTGGTATGCTTGCTACGCTGGCATCTGTGCCATGGTTCCTGCTCGGGCTTTTGGGTAACGCCTTTAAATATATGTCAAAGGGCTACCGCGCTAGGCGTAATAATGGAGCTGTGTCTTTGGACGAAGATAAGCAGGTTTTATTACATATTGAGGATGGGAAATAAGTGGGGCAGCCATCAAACAGTCGTGTTATTCTGTAAACTCTGTGCTACGACTAGCATATGGTGTCGATGAAGATTTATCTCTCGTCGCAGCAAGTCGTATGTGTAATGTCTGTTGCTTACACGCGCTACCGGTGTAAGGATGTGACGAAATTTGGAACTGAAGCTTGAAGTACAAGTGGGGAATATGGAGAGTGCTTGAGCTTCATTTTCGATTGTGCTACGACCTCAATCCCGACGAAGTTGGAAGTTCTGGAAATATCGGAACCGTTGAGAGGGAGGGAAGAATCGAGTGTGATTCTGCTATCGATTATGAGGGTACAAGTCCAGACTATATACATTCGTGAGTGACTCGACAGCCAAACAAAGATACATCTGAAGCAAACGGAGACAAAGGCAGTGAAAGGTGCGTTTGTACTATAAGGAGAAGCTTTCCGCACCGCGAACGGACGCCGGGTCAATATACGAGGCAGGAGGGGAGCAGGAATGAGGCTCCTTACAGCGGGAGAAGGTATTTGTACAGGATCTCGGAGACGGGTAAATCGTGTATAAACATCTTCTCCCGTTTGGTCCATTGCTGACGAAACAGCCATTGGCAGCAGGATAGCAAAACTAAAGACATAAATTGGACTCATAAATTCGGGATGGTCATCACTGTAATGTAGGAGCGTTTTGTACGCTTCTTTCATACTGCGCGATCAATCACCACCTTGTGCTTCGCGTAATACACTGAAGGGGTTCGACGCAGGCACAAAGTACAGGTGGCTGGCGCTTGCTACATGAGTCCCCTGCTTAAAATATTGGTTATAACTTCCCTGCAAGATTGCATCATAGAAGGTACAGAAGGGTGATGCTGGAAGACAAGGTCTTGAAGTCCCTCAAGAAGACGAGAAGCCAGCCAATTTTGCAGGTCTTTGGAGAGAGCGGGCGGCAGTGCTGGCATAGTGTGAGAGGCACTGACAGATGCAGCAGCCTCCACCTGCACAGTGCAAGCCGCTGCTGTGTAAGTCAGTGGTACACGCATAACCCGGGGACCTGGGGCATACACACCATAAGGCTACGTAGTACGGAGAATGGATAGATGGCCATCGGACCATCTCAGGATGCAGAGGGCCGTGCTAAGGGCAACGTTCGGATTGAGCGTGTCAACACCAACTTGAAAGACCAGGTGAACAGGGCGGTCTCGTTGTGGGTTGACGTAGGAGGGTATGAGTTTTATTTGAATAAAGCGAGACGATGGAAATTTTGCAAGCGAGTTTGGACTGATACGTCGGGTGAAGCTTTTAAGGATAGTACAAAGGGAAACGAGATTGAAAATGGGGTGGAATATTTACATCCGAGTCCATGAAGTCCGCAGATGGCTTGAGCTTCCATCTGAAGTTGTGGTTGATGCGTAGGAATCTTGGTCGTCTGGCTGCGCACAAACTCGGACGTGTTTCATCAAAACATGTGATTTGAGCCTCGTACGGTAACGTCCCCCTTTCCTTCTAAACCTTGAGCTTGATCGTTTGAACATTTGAACATCTCAAAGTTAAATTTCAACCATTATCTAGTGAATAAATTGCAGACAGTCAAATCACAAGTCATTTTCGCTGCAGCCTCGGATATCATTGGTGCGCTCCAAAACATTGTAAGTGACGGGTCAGTGTATTGCAGTGTCTGCCAATAATTAACAATCAATCGCTTCAGCTTGCGCATTCTCAACTAATCGTAGGTTTAGCGGCTAATCATATGTCTGATGCCATATTAATGTCGACTAGATGCCAGATCTTGAAACCCTGTACTCCCAAGCAAGTTTCCCCAATACGAATTACTCTGATGTCCAGCTCCAAGATCGGCCCATAGGTGCGATTATCACTGAACGCGAGCAGCAGCTGCATGCAGCGCTGCACGATATTTCAGACCTGGAAACAGTTATGGATAGCATCCAAAACCTTCGCCAGCAGCTGGTCAGAAAGAAAGAAAATATCATCAAGTCCATTTATTTGCACAAAGGCTTTGTATCGGCTCTCTGGTGCTTGCCAACCGAAGTCCTATCTCAAAATTTTCACCACTGTTTACCGAAAATTCAAGAATTCAGTCAATTGAATACGCCGTCAGTATCAGAAGCGCCCCTGTTGTTGACTGCAGTATGTCGGCGATGGAGGGAAGTTGCTGTGGCCATGCCCAGTTTATGGTGTAGACTCGCTTTGTCAGTTGATCGCCAAGGCCAGTGGGAGTGGCAGATATTCCACTACAAGTCATGGCTCAAGCGATCACGAGGATGCCCGCTTTCATTAGAACTCGTCTCCGACAGCTGCGCATATGACTGGGCCGAGATACTCCACTTTCTTCATCCTCACGTCAACGAAATAGCATCTCTCTGTATCCATATTCCTTCCCATGTCAAATATATTCTAGACATCCTCTGCCCGACACTCCAGGAGCTGACCATTTTCACAATGGCAACGGACTGGTATATCTGTACAAAGCATATTGCGACTGTCTACTTTGCGCAGTCTCCATATCCTAGGACCATTCTTCGAAACCGACCTCTTACTATCTCGTTTCAATTCTGTATGGGCCCGCCTGACAAACGTCACAATAAACATAAGCGAATCGGACTCAGCTCTCCACTTGCTCCGGTTGGCTCCCAACCTCTCCTCAGTATACATACTTGTCTTCATATGCTTTGAAACCACGGACTTGGAGCCATTTACACATACCAAACTTCAATCCTTACGCATCAGTTGTGAAACATTTGCAGGTTGTGGATCCACGGGGCGATTATCCAAACTGTTCGATGCTCTTTCGCTTCCCAATTTACGCGAATTTGAAGTTAGCGGTGAACCACCATGGCCTCATGAGAACTTCAAGGCATTACTATCACGGTCAAAGTGTCCCCTGGAGACCCTGATTTTGGGCACCGATGTGGAGACGAGACATAAGCAGCAAGCGGAGTATGTTGCCCTCATTCCTTCTCTCAAAGTTACAACAAGAGATTTGATATTTTGCAAAAGTCTTAGTAGTAGTTTCAATTGACGCTATCATAGTACTACAATCAACACACTCTTCGTGGCTGTGACTAATTTTTGAAGATCTGCGACATAACCTTCTAGATATCTGTGCAGCCAACAACTGATCCAGTGTTACACTTGCGCTAGCACGCATACAACACTGCATTCGGCGGCCCTCATTCATACCCTTGAAGTGGTAAAGGATTGCAGTCGTAGATCCGCATCACTGGCAGATTGAGTCACGGTTACATATTTCGCAAAAGGCTGGGAAGGGTGTATTTCTGCGGCGCTTCCGAGTCACGAAGGACTTGACCTGGTGAAAAAGGCTGCATAGTAAAACCAGACTGATAGGAAATAAGCCGAAAGGACGAACCATTATAAAGGCTGCATATGATGTCATCAGTTCACTGTGCTTGTCATTGACCGTCTTCTCACGAGCCCCGTCTGATCTATTTGGCTATTTGGCGCACGAAGCTACTAGTGACGTATGGACAAAAGGCACAGTGGATACCGGACCATATCCGATCTCCACTAGTACTGTTGTTGGTCACGGTGAGCTAGATTTTGCTTGGTGAGCTAATAAAAAAAATAACGAACAGAGTGCAATGGTCCCCACGTGTAACCTTTTGGTCTGAAGGATTTTGTAAACGAGTTGTGCTCAATGCATGACGTCGTTTATCGATCGCGATGCGGACTCGTCGCGATTGTCGATAAGGTTCGATAACTTGACTCTTCAGTTGCACCAAATGGATATTGCAAACAACCTTGGGCGGTCGTGCGCGACGCGCGTGAGGGTTTGGTTACAAGGCATGCCATGCGAAGAATCATATCATTCACGACAATGCCATCACGCACACTTGCTAATGCCCATGTCTCTGTCTTTTCATTGTGAATGCCATGAGTCGTTCGAAGGAACCGAGAAAGGTCCGAATGATAACAGGGTATCATGATCTTACCTAAACCTGTTTAACTAAGAATAGCTACAAGGGTCCAGGGATCCCTTCGGCGTAGTTGACGCTGGCCTACATTCGGCCTCCAGATAAATCCATCGTGGCAAAGGAGAGTCTTCCCTAACTCCAATCAGGATCCAGCATGGCTAGTTCCCTTGACGCTGCAACAGGTATCACCATCGATTTCAGCAAGTCAAAAAAGAATGTGGAGTCTGCTGAAATACGGATCAGCCTCAAGTTGCCTATCCCAATCAAATGCGGGGCAGGAAAGGCTTTGCGACAGACGTTTTCTCCACCCATGTAGGGACTCGACCCAAACGAATATACTCGCCTGATGTGCTATTGTGTTTTATTGTAGAAAGCTTTCACTTGGGGATACATTTTCCTTGCATGTACGGTACAAGACGTGGCATGGAACTGGGCATGAAGACATTATTTTCGAACCGGAAGACATGTTTCACGAATGCAGTGCAAGAGGAAGACAAGGTGAACCAAAACAATCGCGCTCTTGCTTTGATTGCTCATGGATTCAACCTCACATGCACAGAATACCACAAGGTTCATAAAAAGATCACGATCATCGTCGAACTTTCGGGGAATCCAACAACCGAAGTAAAGTTCCGTGTCTCGTATCGGAACACATCTAAGTCGTATGTTAGCAGATCGAGCAGTTCGTCTCTTCTGATGAATCCCTGGAGCTCTGGCCTACCACCGATGAAATCTTTCGGAAGTGTCCTCAGTGAGTCCAGATCACCGTGAAAGTGACATCCTTTAGGCTGACGCCAAGGGCTTTCCAAGATTCCGAATTCTGGTGATAGGAAAGGTATTAGGCTTTCGCTGATTTCAGGCCAGTGTTGATATGGTACTTCCAATAGACTGGCGTTGGCAAGTCTTCGCTGATCAACCACGCATTTGGAGTGCAAAACGCGGTGGGTTGGACCCAACACTTCAACGAGCACAGCTACTCATAATATCAGTAGACCACTTCGCACAATATGCCAGGCGAGGTCAGCATCGACCATGAATTCATCTCACCACAGAACAACAAGTTTGTTCTCCACGACAGCAAAGGTTTTGAACCAGGAGAAAAAGACAACCTCAAAATAGTCCGAGATTTCATTAACCGTCGGAGAGCAAAGCCTGATTTGAAAGATCAGCTGCACGCTGTTTGGTGGGACCTCCGTCTTGATGCGTTTGTATGGCAGACTGATGACGTACAAGGCTTTGCTTTGAGATACCCCGTGCAGGCGGGCGTTTGCTAGAGACTGGCGTGGAGCAATTTCTCACATCGAAGCGAGAAGGAGAGCTAGGAGACAGTACGTTAATGGACTGCTACTGCTATGCACAGGTCATAGCTAACGGAAGTCAAAGTTCCCATTGTTACCGTCTTCACTAAATACGACACCCTCCTCGACCGCGTGGAGCGAACCCTGGACAAGTCCTCTATCAAGAGTTTGAGCCAGGCGGCCATCCAGGACATCATCAAGAAAAACGCAGAAGACAAGCTACAGGAAGTCTGTGTCACACCCCTAGAGAAGTTCGCAAAATCGGCTATCCCGCATGTTACAGTCTCTAGTGAGTGTCACTGCTGTGATTGTCATTTGCGTTCTCAATAAAACTTTGAGCGCAGCAAATGGAAACCACGAGGAGACGCTAGCCCGTTTGATCCAAAAGACTGAAGAACTCGTCCGTAACCATGTTGGGACTGACGCCTCGGTGATGACGTCCGTCGCTCAACGAGTGGATCCTGGACTCAAAATAAAGGCATCAATAGAGTGAGCCTCGCTTGTTTCATTCTTCTTATCTTGTGATTTACGCAGCGTCAGGGTTGGCAAGAGAAGTCTGTCTCGATTTTGTATTCAAAATTACTGAACGTAATCCGAGCCATCACTTCTGTCTTTCAGAATACTGGAAGGCGCTCGCATCAAGCGTACCATTCAAGAACCGTTCGATGTGGGACTGTCTGCACGTGCTTCACACTGACATCGTCAATGTTTGGAACTTCCAAGATCCTCATGGTGTAATAATAGCTCTCTTCTTTGTTGTTGTCACATGTTCTGACGTGGCTTACACGCAGTACTTGTGCAGCCCAGAGTTCAGGACATTGATGACGAACATGGTCAATGAACTGGACGTTGGACCCCCTGCTGATCCCAACAAGACCCTGTAAGGCAGTCTTTCGTGTGACGGATGAATTTTATCTCATCCAATGTTCGCAGTTCGTTTCGGCTCACTATTGTGGGTACTATCGCGACCATTGTATCTGCCCTGTCTGGACCTGCAGCCCCTATCATAGTGCCGATAGCGGCAAGCGTTGTGATCGCGAGCTGGGTTTACGAGGTGTATGAGCAGACGTACGTCCTGCTACTTATCCTTCATAGAGAGAATGATGACAGGTCTCTTCTCAGCCGCCCGGCGCTCCAGCGCTTCATGAAATACATCATCGACTTGACTCTCGTGTTGCAGACACTGGTTCTTGTGGCGGGAAATCAAGAACTGTCTCGTAAGGCCATCAAGCTTGCGGCCAAGTCCTACCACGAGTCACCAATGAATGGAGAAGTCCATAATCGGATTCAGGAGTATGACAGGCAAATGACCCCGCGGCAACGCGCGAGCCATGATTCATTGGATCAAATCATCGAGCTACTACAATCATATAACATTAGTGCAGAAGAAATGTCGGATCTTCAGCGAAATTTGCCCGCTGTAGATTTATCATCGGATGAACCATGGGGTAGTTAGCACTTGATTCTTTCTTTTGTGTATAATGTTTGTGTCTGACTTCTGGATTACCTACGGGATTGTACATGTACTATGTAATTGGAGTTATGACCGGTCCGTGCTAATGTAGTTTGCCTAGCGTTCTCAGATACTGTAACCCTGAAAATCTTTTGCTTGAAACGACCTGAGAAATCAGTTTATCCTCCCTGGAGACAGCAATGTCATCGATTACTGGTACTACCCCCCACGAGCCTGACTCGGAGAAAACGGTAATCTGTAATGAAGGTGTCATCAAACAGACGCAATTCAGACAACCCTATGAAGGAATAATTATTTCCCACCAGGTCACCATACATATGAGAACATTGAATGTGCCAGCTTGTCCTACCACGCGTACTGTTAGCCATACATCTGAATCCCCCTGATTTCCATAAATTGGATAGAATTGTCCGACGTATGTAGTATACCAATGAGGATGACAGCCCAGCCAACGCGGGGGTAAGTAAAGGGAAATAGTGTCTGTGATTATCGGATGACTCTCGTACCACATCGGACTTGACACATAACATCGCCTCCCTTAAGCAGACCCGATAGACAAAGGAATCTTCACGTGAACTAGATATCACGCGCCTTGAATTTCATTGGCCTTGCCTTGTTTACTGCAAAATGTCCGAAGCAATGGCAAAAGAAGCGTGATTAAGTAGTGAACGCTAACGCTGAACTTGAACGATATGAAGGAATCGTGCAAGGTGGATTTTCGCGCATCACTTTTTTATGGTTAATAAATATGCTTGTCGGGAAGAGGGATAATGGAGACGGACAAACCTTGCATGCTCGATGAAAATGGAACGACCATCTTGCTCATGCGTGATCTTTATTATATGGATCAAGTAGAACATCAAGAGCAAGAGAAGCGTACCATTCAGATGCTGTGGATTGATGGCGTTCTAGCTGATCGCGAGAATCATAAGATACCCTGGACAAACGGTTATGGACATCCGATTCGTACCTTTGCTTCTCTTCTTCAGGAGTCATGACGCGTTAGATGCTTGGTGAGCTAATAATAAAGTTGTGCTCAATGCATGATGCGGACTCGTCGCGATCGTCGATAAGAATAAGTTGCACCAAACGGATGCAAATAACCTTGGGCAAGGAAACTTCAAATCTTTGAGCCCGCACTGGCAGGACGATTGTGCCTTAGCCGAGGGTTTGGTTACAGGACAGGCGTCACCCTAATCGAACTCCAGCCAAGCGATCCTATCCATGTACTCATATCACCTCCCCAGCCCCCTCTTGAACGCAAAGTTCGTAACAGCCCTATCCAAACTTCAGCGCAAGCGACCACGTCACCAGTACCAACCATCCAATTCCACTCACTCTCCCAGGCGCAGCTCTCTCGCATTACCTCTCCAGCCCCCTCGATACACAAACCAATTGTACACCAGCTCCTCTAACAAACAATTCTTTCCGCCCGCATACTCCTCCGCATCTACAACCTCCAATAACGACAACATCCGCCCTCCCCGTCATATACCCGAAGGGTCTCACCACGATTGGCCCGCTTCCGCTTGGAACAAATCCAACTCCATCGCAGCAGCTAGAAAACATGTGACTTATCCAGCTCGTACCGCTCAGCCAGCACCCGTCGCCATCAGCGCGACAACAGGCATCTCCGTGCTTGTCCTCCTCATCAGATGCGTGATCACCCGGGGCCGGGAATATGGATGCTGTGCTTACCTGTTGCTTCAGCTGTAGTAGCATGGTATGCCGAAGGGACAGGAGAGGGAAAAGTTGTGGTGAGGATTGGGAACGTTGTTTTGGATGCGCCAACAGCTACTAGTGTGTCTCCCAGCCATGCACCGTTTTCATCCTTCATGTACTTCCGTTCTCATCGTATAAGGCAGACTTGACTGTCCCTCCATTATGTGTCCGGCTTATGAGGACGGTCGTGATCAACGCCTTCCCTTTCGAGAATTCCAGTGTGGTGCGAGTGCGAATCAATACGCTCACTACCAACAGCTCTTCAATTCCCTGTCTCAGCATGACTGAGGGATCGACGATTTCGTTGATGCCCTGAACTGCCCAGAATCTTGAAACTAAGCTATGGGCGCCACTGTCGTCGGTCGCAGCAAGCTCATAGACACGGGATTCAGTCGTTATACTTCGACACGCCCCCATGCTTATGAGACACGCATGAAACAGTAAGGTCTGACTGGAGACCATAGCATAGGCGACATCCAGCGCTGCAAAATTCTCCATCGACTCGATGCCGACATCCTGTAAGTCAATTTTTCCTTTGTTCCACGATGACGTCGTCAGTCACTCGAGAAGATGCATCTAGACTCAGGTTACAATCCGCGCGATCGTTGAGAACTTGAATGGATTTTGGATTTTGACGGTGGCATGTAGAGCAGTAACCAACGCTGAATGTATAACAGATAATGCATCCATCTTATAAAACTTCATAACCCGGAGCTATGACCACATGCATATTGCACGCTGTCCCTTAAAGAACGCAAGCTAGAGATTTTCAAGGTGTCCGCTGTTCGAGGTCCGACCCATTGAGTTTGAAGGCTATCGTCCGCTTACAGCCAGGTCTTTTCAGAGATTTTATATATCAACCACCAGCTGGAGTCACTGACGTTGTCAGCAACGTTCAATTCCATGTGTCTACATAGTGTAAGGTTAGAATGCCAATAAACGTTCGGTATTTCGGTTTAGAAAAAGTTATGCAAGTTGAGACAAGCTATGGAGCAGAACATACCCAGCCTTGATGCGCTTGAAATAGGATCACGGATACTTGAGAGGTACATCAAGCGCCGTAACTCTCGCCACTAGGGTGACCGACATTCTCCAAATATGTATACGCCATACCAGACTAAGCACCATATTGCACGATCATACAACCATTTCGTACAGTTCCACAACCTGAATCTATCACGACAGACGTTTCAAGCAACTTGCATTCGCAGCCGAGACACCTCAGCTTCCCTCCGGACCAGAACATCATTGATGTTGGGTTGCATTGCCCAACATTAAGGTCTCCCTGAAGGCAAGCGGGTCAGTGGGATTGCTGTCACAACATGGCAGTGAAATATACCCAGGCGATGATTTAAGGTGATTTCAAGAATAGTCTTGATTAACTCCGCCTTCGCCTGTGAGCACAAAGCTTTTTTCTCCTTCCCCTGAGAGCGTTCAAAAGTTTCTTGCTTCTTCTTAGTGCGTTCAAAAGCTTCTTTCTCCTTCTCCTTAGAATGTTCGAAAGCTTCTTTTGCCTTCTCCTTACATCAGGAAAAACCTCCCGGCCAAAATTTTGATAATCTTTGATAAAATCCAAGAATTAGCTCTAATTAGCAGCCTTAGGAGAATTAGGAAGATTATATAGTTTAGAAGGACTTTTTTACCCCCTCCTCAGTGTTGGATAATTATCAAGATTTAGCTGATACTAGACATAATTGTGGTGAATTGCAGAAGCCGTTATTACAAATGTTGGTTCACAGATCACGCGTCCCAGGCAATGTTACAAGAACAAAAGACTAATATTGGATTAAAAGATGTGTTTAAGTAATCGCGAAACAGCTGATGACGAGGGTACGAGGAATTTAGGTACAATCACTAATGAATGCGGAATATACAGTAATGGATCAGAACCTAATCGTCGGCCATGCCATCCAGGTCGAGTAGCGACAGAGCATTTCGATGCTCACTGGCGAGATGATCATTGCCCTTCAGTTTCAAAGCCCTTCGAGTAGCGTCAGTATCCGGCATGTCAAAACGGCACCATCCACACCGGCAAAACTTACTGCCATTCCCACACCAGATTCCACTGGTATCCTCGACAACTATGATGAATTAAATGCGCTCGTCGATGCGTTCACGTACTACATGAATGAGCATGACAAAGCGGCTCGACAGAAACGAGGAGGCGCGTGGTGAAGGCACAATGCCCAGGGTGGAGAGATGCGGAGAGGAGGACAAGATGCCGAAAGGAGGAGAAGACGCAGAGAGGAGGACGAGACACTGACTAGACGCCGAAAGGAGGACGAGACACTGAGAGCAGTGAGCGAGAGAATGAAAGACGAGAAAAAAATAAATAGAAGACTTACTGAGGATAATTTTGGGGCAAGGCTATAAGGTTAACTGTGAGGGTAGGCTGCACCAGGGCAAACACATTAGTACAATACAATGAACAAAATAAAGGACACACCTGGAGGCATGCGAGATGATGTGTGGCATCATGATGGTGGAAGGTTGAGAACGAAGTCGTTGAACTTGTAAGAAAAATTGATGTTTAAACGTGACACGTGAGACCGTGTGAAAAATGACGTGGTCAATTGTTGTTCAAGCAAAAGTCGTTTGCCACTGTTCAAACGTGCATGCTCGCCGTTGCCCGCCATTCGCAGCTTGTGAGTGTGTCAATCCTCGTTCGAGCTCGGGCCATGTTGATCCAAGTCGTTGCCCGCCATTTACAGGAAGTGAGTGTGTGATCCCACTTCGAGCAAGAGCCATGCCGATCGAAGTCGTTGCCTGCCAGTTGCTGTTTGTGAGTCTGCTGATCTCATTATTGTGTTGCTATTACTGACATACATTGTACCTATATCGAATGGTTCTCGTCGTTTCTGTTGGCTCCCGATCGACACCACGGCCTTTACAAGGTCTCGCATTCCTTGCTTGGTGGCGCAAAAGTGGCAAGCATTGTGCCATTGTCGAAGATCGTGCGGAGTGCCCATCTTCTACCGAATTTCGGTGCCGTCGTCCTGCGAGAGTGGTCGAGTGATACAGTTCTAGATGACTGTAACACTTTTGGTTGAACTCGTATCTAGATAGATACACTTACTGTATTTTTCAAATAAGTCTCGATAATTCCATTGTACATTATCGTCTTTTAGCCGTTTTATTCCTAAAACTTGAAATTAGATAGAATTATCAGAATAACATCGTTTAGCGCAAATTATTACAATTTTTGCCCAGGAGGCTTTTCCTGATGTAGAGCGTTCAGAAGCTTCTTTGCCTTCTTCTTGAAGCATTGAAACAGTAACTTCGCCCTCCAAGCAGGCAAGGTCCTCACATCTTCTTATATGCGTGGGCAGCAGTAGTCATAGTGTCTTCATATGCGCGGGAAGCAGTAGTCATACCATCTTCATATGCGTGGGTGGCAGTTGTCATAGGTGCTTCATATGCCTGGACGGCACACCTCAGGCATCAGTTCTCGGTGCCTATAAAGGGTCCAAGAGACCCGGTTTCTATGTTATGGGAAAGTGGTCTCTGAGACCCACCCTCCCCCCATCTATTAATAACACTTACTCCTAGCCCACCTCGCTTCCCTCGCGTCCCTCTAGCTCCACCCTCCCAGAACCCCTTCGCGCCTCTAAAATACCTAAAAACCCTCTCACGACACCTCTCGCAGACCTCTAGAAATATGTCCCATACCTCCAGCGCATCCCTCACGTGCTTTCCACAAACTTAGCGTTGGAGCCTTGTTGATACTTCTTCATACTGGTATGTCCTTCTCTTATCTCCACAATGTCGTCCTCCACACCTCATCCCACTCGCAAATCTCAGCTCACATCTTCAGGGCTAGGCCACCACTTTGTGAGCCCGAGGAAAGCTCGAGACAAACGGAAAACACAAACATTGATCAAGATACCGGGTGCGGAGGCGAAGCGTCGCCGACTTCTAGCTGAAATGCAGCAACTTATGAAGCCGCGAGGTGAAAAATCAGACCCACAAGTACTTTCTGCTGACCTTGCTCATGCTGGGGACTGCAATGATACCGCCCAACACATAAACGTTGATGATGCCCACCCACTTCACTCCGAGGACGTCGGAATGTTAGAACCTCCAAGTCTCGACACCCCGGCAATTGACACGCCAGTCAAACAACGGATTTTGCCAGATAAATCAACCAACTCACTGTATTATTCCTGGACGGCACTTGTGCCAACCCTCGTCAACCATTTACTTCGCTATTTCGGATGAACCCAGGGCAAAACTCTAGAGATCATCCGCCCAGTCATATCTGCATGTGAGACAACATCGTGCTCACCCAAACAGACCACATTGGTTTGTTTATTCTTCGATCGTAAGCCTATCATTATGCAACAAAGACTCGGAGGTGTGCGTTGACATTTGTGTAGGATTTGAATCTATAGATGTACTAAGTTGCGCGTGCTCCAGTCTCCCGCAGGTTCTGGTCCACCATGGTCTATTCCCAACCGCTCCATCACAGCCTCGGATGGCTGTGTCTGTGGATCTACTTTCATTCTATCGCACATTGTTTGAGCGTTCATGTGATGCAATTAATGCTCTCGCATCAGCATTAAAGACTCATTATTCTCGACGGGGATTTCAGATGACAGACGCACAAGTAAGTTTCAATTGTGTATTTAAATTACTACTAACATGCTTTGGAAGGGCGGACTTATCCAGGACCCGTTTCGCAGAGGTCTCGGCTATGCTGTCCAGTGGTTTGACATACTGCAAGTCCAAGTCGAACAACAACTCGAGACCCTTCTCCAACAAAGCCGGGACCGCATCATGACCTTGCAAGCAACATCTGACGTCCCTGAAATTCATTCTCCTACCCTACATCCAGGTCGATGCGCGCCCCTTCTGGTTCAAAGATGCCCTGCTTGTTTCGGGGGCATACTTTATGGTAGATCCCCAGACGATGGAGGCGATATTCATGTTGCAACGGATGGGAATTTCCATCACCGCCACTGACGCGCAGCTGGCGATTGTCCACCTTCTATGACCCTACATACTTTATCCCAAAAACCTTCGTTGATGGTATCGGCCGCCGGATAGACGCCCTACATAAGCATCCTCCAAGAACTTATGCTTCCCTCATCCCTGACGAGGTTGTGGACCAATGTGAAACTTCTTATGAGGCTGCTGACGGCAAGAAGCAGAAGACCGCGATGGATAACTTCGATGACACAGGTATTATGGCATTAATTTGTCGCCATGATATCCCGTTGTTTTTCGCTAACATCGATTCTCCTGGAGAACAACAGAAATACTCTGTAGCCCTCCTCCAACACTTGTTTTCATTACTCCCGCACCAGGCAACAGTGTTGCTTTATATGACGTTGGATGTGTTCTGGCGCGATCCCTCGCAAAAGTATGCTATCACTAACATTTAGATTGCTCGCTCACACCTCTCCAGTATGATATCCTTCCTGAAAGTATCACCACACGACTTCGTTTTGCGACGACTGCAATGCATGCTTACGGCCATGAGTGGGCATGTCAGCTCATTTATAACCCACGAATGTGCGTTGGGCTTGGCCTGTCCGACGGGGAAGGGACTGAGCGTCTTTGGTCGCGCTTTGTTCGCCTGATTGGTATTGAGAGGACCTCTTCCGTGCGTCCCGCCTCAATTTCGTTATAACCCTATTCACGCGAAACCTTCTTTAGCGTCAACGTCGCCTCTGGCTGATTGATCGGCAAGCCGCAGCCATAGGGTCCGAAATGCGCGCTGATCTCGGTGATTGGATCAAACGTCGCCTTAGACGTGGCATCAACGAACAAGGGTCTGCAGCACAAGATTGTACTAGACCGATGCGAAATCCCTATCGACGAGTTACGGTCTCAGTGGTCCCACCAACGGCATTCACAGTTATCCATACGTGCTCGTGAGTTCATTTTATTATAGTGCATTAGTATTGATAAATGGTCCTCCAAGACGCTCCATCTCGCCTCAAGAAAGAGCTGGACACCGTGTTGGCCCTCCAGGCAGATCTCGATGCATCGGACAGAGCACTACAGACTACCAGAGTAATGCTAGAAAAAGAATCAGCCTCTGACGATACATTCGAAGCTCTGCTGAGCCTGGAGAGGGGACATAGTCGGCTAATGGACAAAGTTGAGGCTCTTTACTCATCTCTAAATGTTCATGATCGGTTCCCTGAACTTCAAGGGGTCAATCTTGATTTTGTTCGTACCCTTTTAATGGCGTGGGACCTCAAAATTAATGTTCGCAAACGTGCCGTTGCAAGCTTCTTCGAGTGGGACAAACTTGACCGCGCTGTTGGAGGCGCCCAACAAGCTCTAGGTGAGTTCGAACCCCATTGTTAACTACAGTGGTATACTTTGTTAATTACCTACAGGCACTAAGCTCCATCAGCATACGCGCAAAGCTATAGCAAAGCGCCAACCTGCCCTCATGACCGCTATTCGAAAATTCAAACTCCTACTGTGAACGGTTAGCTTCCCTTTACGAACCGAGTTGGGGGATTCCCCTGCCTTCCCCTCTTCCAACGAAACTTACGGAACTACGCAACGACCCCAAATTAATGGAAGATGTATGGATTACACCATCGGTAGGAGAAGTTCCCCGATGGTTGGAGGACTCACGCATCAGGGACGGTATACGTGCACTCCTCAAACGGGATCGATGTGAAGAAGAACATATCCGCCTCAGCATTGAGGCTGATAATCTTTGTCGTTTCTTTGGTGATGAGCTGGCAGCGCTCGAACTCGCTCTTTGGTTGCCAGAAAGGGAGTGGATTCTATTCTTCTAGCAACTTTTTGCTGATGTGTAATCTAACTTAGATGAACCGTTTGCTGTCCCATTACAGCAACAGCATGCTAATTTTGTCCGACTTCAATCTCGATGGTCCAATTCCTTAGCTTCTCCGGCATGCTTCACTAGCCTAGTCAACAATGCACTGGAGGTAGCTACCACCCTCTCGGGAACCTCGCGCAGCACGACACTTCTTGCCATCAATGCTGGCATACCTGCAGCGCCAGATCTCGAGGGTGGGGATGAATTTTCCATTGCTGATCCTGACCATCCTCCTCCCATTGATTCTGAACAAACAGTGCTTGCTGACGTTCTGGAGGGTCAGATAGGCACGGTTAGAGTGGGATGATGATGATGATGATGACTCAACTGATCATATGCGCGAAGCTACTGCCGTCATTCATTGGGAACTTCCTGAGGTGGGTTTGACATTTACTGTCAGGAATATGGCACTGATGTATCATACTAGAATCTTCTTGCAGATGATTTTAATGTTCCATTGCGTTGAGCGCGGCATTCTCATATCAGGCAAAATTGTCTCCCGAGTACAACCTAGCTCGGATGGAATCCCGTATCAGATATTTGACCCTAGGGACATCGGTTTCCTTAGTTCTCCTACAGCACGCCTGAATGATGTATGCATCAACAGTTGTGCCATACTTCTCTGGCACTCTCAACTCAGGACATCGGGTGCACAATGCGCCATCCTCTCAACCCACGATCTTCCCCGTATTCGTTACAAATGCGCCAGACAATGTCATTTGGCGCAATACATCATGGGTTCGTTATTGGGAAAAGGATATATGGGTACTTCCTATTCATCGTCCGTCGGGCATTGGGCACTGGGTGCTATGTGTCATCCGGCTGTCCACAAAAGAACTTCATCTTTTGATAGCCTAGGTGACAGGCAGCCTGGCAAAAGGACGTCGAAGTGGGTTCAATTTAAATCATGCGTTTGCGTTTGACTGATCGGATCTTAATGAAAGGATATAATGAGATTAATTGTTCGGTTCCTTGCTATTGCGCGCCAACACGAATATCGTGTTAATATTGACCTTGAAGGCTGGGTTGCTCGACCTTTGAACGTCAGTTTCATCCTCCATTTTTCACAACTTTGCCGACCACTTCGTGTTGTTTTAGGTCCAACAGTCTCAGAACAATGATTTCGAACTGTGGTGTATGTGTTTTGGCGACGATTTTTGCTATTGTACGCGGCAAACATATTACAGGAGTACGAGAGCAGGGACATGGACGATCTACGATACTATCTGCGGACTATGGTTCTTGCATTACCAGTTTACAGGCATGATTCGAAGTAGAGTAGTACAATAACAGGTATTATGGACTAAGACCAATATGGATTTCTGCCCAGTAACTAGCAAATCAACCCTCCCTCTGGTAAGTTAAGATCCTCCGCGCGACCCCATTGGCGGTAGCACTCAGCCATAAGCTTTGTGGTCTTCCACATACCTGTAGGTTGTTAGCGATATGAGCATTCAGGTCATCCCCAGACTTCAAGCAACCTCTTCTGTGCGTCTCGAAGCTCCTCCAAAACTTCAGACACCCCCTCCTGCATCATACACAGCTTGACGATGAGCGCGAGATTCCCTGTCCACACGCAAATTATGTCCGTGCATCACAGTCAAAGAGATTCCGTGTAAAAACGCTGTTCTTCGGGTGAGTCGGGTGGAGGCAGAGAATTGTAAGGCGGGGCTTTATCCCACTGGGAGAGATCCGAAACATCGATCAAGTCAGAACCATGGAGCGATTGGTGAAAGAGAAATGATTGGGAAGAGGAGGATTGGCAAACTGTGAGATTGAAGACGGGTAGAGGGTTGTGCAGGGCCCTAGGAGTTGTATGAGGTCCGCGTCGACCATGACGTTTGGCGTAGGCACGAGCATTCTGAGCCTGTCGAATGATCTTGCCTCTGCCAAACATATCAACACGTTGCAATAACAAGTCACTGAATGATACCTACCGTTTTGACTGTAAATATGATTCCGTATGTTGACGGCAGCTGCTAGTTTTTCTTCCAATGTGAGGTACTTAGCTCGGCGGCCCATGGTGAGGTTAGTGATTGGACAAATAGTCAAAGTCAACAAAGTTGATATGAACATCTCGCTGCTGTACCACCTAGTTACCTGTTGAAATGTGATATGGCCATCCACAATGAAGTTCTTGTCAAAATCTTGGTATGAGCATGATGGGGCGTGTTGCTAGCGTCGACGAGGCTAGTCCAGACAGCGTGATAAGTGGTCAATGCCTGTACATATGTCTTTCAAGTTCAGCACTATTGGTATCTTCAATCTCATTGGCTCACAATTGTCCTCATGTTTATGAAGGATCTTAGCACGGTTCAAACGTTCAATCTTCTTTTATACCTCCATGTCTTAAACGACACCGCTCACAATGTACGTATCAAAATCCAAACAAGTGAGCAATGGCAAAAAGAAGATTCTAGCACTACATAACCCCAAGTGTGACATCTCTCAGCCCCACTTTACTTCAAAGGGACGCCAGAAGCTCATCCACCTCTGCCTCGGCTTCATCTTCCCCACAAGCAGTCCCATCAGAACTCTGCGAACCTGCCCAATGCAGGTTATCTCGGAATGAGCTCCTGGATGCTACCTACCAGTGACAGGTCTCGTCCTGGATTGAAACTCGACCTCCTGAGGGTGGGGGGAGTGGGACCTCAACGAAAATCGTGAGTTTCTGCCAGTGACGCATTGCGTGAGCCACTACAGAGGTGTGCACCAGATAGCGGCCCACGAGCAGGCCGGCACCATGCAAGAGATGATGCAGGATTTCGTCCACAAGACAATGGCCCCGGAGCTGGACATTGTGCAGAAGGTGGCTGCTCAGGAGATTAGAGCTGTGTTGACTTGAGGCGAGGAAGACCCAGCCAATCACATCGACCATTCGCATACCAGCGCCACCCATGGGTGTGGTCGGAATGAGGTGCAGGTGCTTCCTCGATGATGACACGGCTGCGGGAGGCCACAAGATTTGCGAGGGCACCTTGTTTGGTGATGGTCTTGATGGTGAGCAGGTTGTTCTTGAGGGCATCCGCAAAGACTCGATGCTCACGAAGCGAGAGGTCGTGGTACGCAACTATCGCAGATAAGATCATGCATGGCCTTCGATGATTAATCACAGATGCAGCATGCATGAGGCTGTTTGCGGGAGTAATTAAGTGAGGGCGCTGGGCGCTCGCCGCTGGCCAAATTTTTCACGCGGTCTGACCAAAAAGGAAAATTTGCTCGTCTGATTGCGTTGGTGGGATGACGGCTATTTGTAAGTAAGTTTCGTTCAACCACCGCACTCTCACCTACATCTTACCATTGTTTCCGCATCAGTTGGCAGTACGTTGGGTGGCTGTGAGTCTGTGACTCCATTAGTACGTTTCAAACTCAGTACTAGTTTTATTTTCAATCTGATTGAGTCTCGTTAACACCATTAGTGATTTGTACGGAACCCTCCTTGGAGCCTCGCCGCAAGAGGCACGATATTGTGAGTGTAGCTCTCTGACCCTCCACAGAGCCTTTGTAAAATCAATTCGTATCTCATATGTAGCCTCTCTATCAATGCTCATCTATCTCTTTTAGTCTTAATGAACCGATGGTCCTTCCACCAAGCAACGCTGTGGTTATGCGTCTTAAGTATGAGCCCTTGGGGTACGTTTTCTTTCGCCTCCAGTATTCCCCTCAATTTTATTTAGCATCTTGTACAATTCGCCCAAAAAACAGATCTCCTCAACGTTACCCTCGTTGAACGTCCCTCTGTTCTGGTAAGCAACATTCTTTCGTGTTACTACTTGGAATGATGCCTATGCGCATGCTGCCCTCAATTTTAGTATTTTACGCGATCCGCTCAACAGACAGACCACCTCGACGTTACCCCTCGTTGAACATACCCCCGATCTGGTAAGCGACACCCTCTTGTGTCAGTATGATGTCTATACTTACGATGCGCTGGAGATCAGGTTTCACAAACTTCTCACTCCGATATATTCTCGCCATCGCCTGTTGTATATAGGTACGCATGCCCACGTACCAAATATTGCTCTGTCATTGACATCTTAACTGCAGACATGACGCAACAAAGCCAGAAATGCCTTCTGGTGTCGACCAACAGCCATCTCCTGGTCCAAGCTACATGGGCTCATCCCCTGCATCCTTCGACTATGTTGAGGAACAGTTTGGCGGAGGTCGTCGATATGAAGCACCGCCTGCCGAGTTGACTCCCTCACGCTGAGGACCAGACTCAAGGCCACAGTGCGGGACGTCGGTATTGTCAAGGACGCCTCTGCCCGACGCCAGGCCTATCAAAATACCTCTAACGACGTTCAGCTTTCCATTGGTCCATTCCACCACGTGGTGCAGGACGGTGCTTCAACTTCAACAAGCGATACGTCATCGCTTACGCTGAACGTGGCTTACAGTCGGCACAACTCACCCTTTCCTCCACTACAAGGTCCTGCACAACTGCAGGATTTGTTTTACGGCCCTATGGACCAGCAGTCTCCTTGGATGCAGCAAAACCCATCTGGTGATTTCGGAATGATGCAGCCTGATACTTTCACGGCTGGATTACTCGGAGATCAAGCTCTAGGCATGGCTGGAGCGGGCGACAAGTCGCTGTGGCCTGCACCGTCTGTGACCAACGTGCAAGACTGTAAAACTACCAATGCGCAGAACACAACCCAACCTTGCACCTCTGCCTTCACACACGCTTTTCATTTTCCCGCCAGTTCATCTGGTCAGCCTCTCATGTCTCGCGGATGTTCGCTGGATCCAGCAGGCCAACCCGTCTTCGGGATTGATGCAGAACTCACCATTCACCCTGCATCCTGCACCATATGTACCGCCTCAAGATCATGCCCATCCTATTCCAGCCACAAACATCATCCCGCCAACACCACTCAAGGATGGTGGCGGTAAGACTCCTGGTGCCTCTGCTTCCACTGATAATGCACTCCTTGCCTCGACAAGAGATCCTAGTCCAAAGTTGGACCTAGGTCACTATTCCTCCGGCCACCACCTACCGCGTTCGGTTCCCTGAAGAGAGTGAGCCGAGAATGCACCAGGAGGATCAAGCGGTAACTGGCCGCAGGTCAGCAGATATGAACGCAGCACTCGACACTGGGTTTGTGGGCATTGAGCGTCACTTTCTTGAGCTTGCAGCGTCCACCGCCCTCCCCATGACTCAACTAATCAATTTATACCTGAAGTCTCGAGGACGCAGTGTGAACGGCACTAATTACTGGAATCTGTACGCCAATTACTTCAAGGACCACTTGCAGGAGGAGCTCGGCCGCTGTGAAAAAGAGAAATCAGAAGGCAGTGGGACACCTAGTAAGTTCATAGAAACTACGGCATGATGCTGCATGCTTATATTCTTCATAGGTGCAACATTGCGAAGAAAATGCTACGAGAAATTCAAGGACACCTTTCCCGACACCTATCAAGACATCCTATCGAAGCATGAGGAAGTAGCTCTCCTGAGCTCGTCTCCCCAAACTATTGCCCGCGCGGACAAGCATTCCAAAACACTATCGGAGTGTGACGAGCATCGTGCGTAATCTCTGCCGAAGTGACAACATTGTCTAACATATGTTATAGCTCGAGTCCGGCTCCGCTAGATTTGGATTTGAAGCAGCCGTTGTATTATGTGGTAAAGTGGTTAATGAAGACGGTTCGCTTGGTTCATTCTTACAAACACACCTGGTGCTGGTGGGGTAAGCTCATTTTCACCTTCAACGTCAACATGTACTCAGTAACTCGTAGTTCTGGGAAATGCGATGCCGTGCCAGCGATGACATGATCATCGGTCATTTAAGGCCCACGTGTAGTAAGTACATTTATGTTCATGCTACATGATGCTTACATAGCCCTAACCAGTAACACCACATCGCTATCTGCAGTTGATGATGCCTTTCCAGAAACCGGGGACGATAGCCATCAAAAACAGACACCGACCGTTACCCACGACATAGACCAGGCTTCTGATGTTGTGGAGGGAGGACGGGAGGATAACTTGAAATTCGTGAAGCAGGAAAATCACCAGGCAAGCTGGTATGTGCGACCATTGCCACTCATCTTCATTTAGACTGATATATCCTGCATCGCACCAGCCAAAATTTGGCTGCAAAATACACGGCGGAAAGATTTTCCCTTGGAAGCTCATGCCAGCCGCACTCGTGGAAGCCAATCTCAGCATCCAAGGATATCCTGCACACAAGTGCCTATTTCCCGGTGAAGCTCACAGTAAACATGCATTAAACAAAGGCATTGGGGCGCTGATGTATAAGGAGATCGCTGCGCTTGTCGATTCGTTGAAGGCAGGCACTATGCGCATCATCAAATTTCCCGACGACGATCGAGGTACGTATCATATTATGGGTAACAATGTCATACTTACACGATATATAGCGGCTGCAATAGCTTCAGAGAAGCCCATAATCGAGGGCGAGGCACCTCCTTCTGAATGGCCCCATCATGGCGCGCGACGGTTGTTCCTTGACGGCCATACTGATCACAATGGTCTTCGTCGCCTCAAGCCCAGCACAGCAACTACGAAGGTCAAGAAGGGTGTTAAAGCACCCAAGCACCCTATACCACCCTCCGAAGATGAACCCTCTGATGATGAATCATTGGAGGGTGTAAGTGTCAATGATGCAGTTGGAACTTCTGCGCTCGAGCCCCTACCTCAAGTGAACGTGCGAAAGCCTAACTACAAAATGCGAGTCGAAGTTGTACCTCCACCCTCACGCCCTTTCAAGGTTGTTCGACTTCCTTTACCACTGCCGCGTCCTTCCAAAGCCGTTCCCATGCCATCTGGAACTCCGAGTGAGGTTATCGAAGTTACGTCTACCGAAGAGAATCCTGTGGGAGAGCCCGACTCTGAGTATGAAGAAGCAGGACGTGGAAAGAAGAGGAAGCTCAAGTCCGCGAATACATCGCGTGCGTCAAAGAAGATTGCCCCGTCGATTGAAAAGACTAACGCTTCAAAAGTGGGGAAGAAAGTTGGGCGAGGTAAGAATAATGTGCAATCCAAGGCACCTCCCGCCTCCCTTGCCAACCTCAACTACTTTCCCTGCGAAAGGCGGTCCACTATCCCCATTAACAGTGGGATCGTCGACCGATGGACCTCCATCACCAGAACATAGTGAGTACCATGTGCATCCGCCTTAACTGTTTGCTGAAAGCTTGATAGTTAATGCTGGTAAAGCAATGCGCCTTCGAGACGGACCTTCTGATGAGTCTAAAAAGGGTACATTTCATTCTTAACTTCATTGATTCAAGTGATTTAATTTACATGCTCTAGACATGTTAAACCACGCCCAGTCACCAAGGGCTCTCGGGTGGTGATGAATCGTGGCCTGCGTATGGTGTACGGGAACTCGGACTCTGAGTCTGACGTCGACAACAGCGTGAAGGCTAATTCTGCAACCACAACGGGCGTCATCCCCGAAGCCACTGGTTCAGCTAACATCCAGTCTGATCCTTTGGAGGAGAAGTCTGCACAGACGAAGGATGAAGTAGTAGGAGATAAGGAAGAACTACCCCCAAACCGCCCATTGAATGCAGCGGCCCCCAATATTCCCGACCAGCAGCCTCTTCGTGACTCCAACCACCCTCGTCCCCTCACTCCTCACAAGACTCAGGACGAGCGTCCACATGATAACCTCCCCATGATGCCCCTCGTGACAGCCCACTGCGCAACGCTCTCCATGACCCTCCACGCGACCTTGTCCGTGACCCTCGAGATGATCATGACCCTCCACGCGCTCCACGCGACCTTGTCCGTGACCCTCGAGATGATCACGACCCTCCACGCGACCTTGTCCGTGACCCTCGAGATGATCATGAGCCTCTCCGTGACCCTCGAGATGGTCGTGAGCCTCCCCGTCACCCTCGAGATGGTCGTGAACCTCATGAAGATGCTCGAAGTGCTGTTCGCGACCCTACACGCAACCATCATGAGGCCGTACGTGACCCTCGTGATGGCCTTCGCAATCCTTGGATGTTGATCCTCGTTATCCTTACACCCGAGGGGTACTCCCATGAACCTGCGCGTGGCCTCGACCGTGGCACTCTTCACCCCCGTGACGCATTCTACCATCGCAATCCCCGCTATGGTCCACCTCAAGATCCTTATGGATCTGGCGATATTCGTATGGAAAGTGACTTGAATACTCGAGACAGCTCACCTGTGTCCGATTTTCATGGTAACTATGGTCCTAGTGAGCGCGAACGTGCCTACCCGACCCGGTACGGTCCTGGGGGTGACTTAGGCTATACTCATGAAGGTGGATACAGGTCCCGGCACAATGACCTCGATGAGCGTGGGCAATCACTATCTCCCTATCATAGTCGTCGAGTTGGTGGAGGGAGTTACCGCGAGGAAGGATACCCTCAAGGCCCCGGTAGGAGATTTCAGGATTCGAGATGGGATGAAGGTGCTCATTTGGACTATGATGCTATACCACGAGCATTCCGTCGCGATCTGCCCAATCCCCCAAGGCCTCCTCCCGCTACTTAATGTCCTCCTTGCTCCTCAAGCGTTTTGTGAGTTTGTCGTTGATTTTCTCTTTTCACCTCATGTGCCGCTCATGCCTACATTCGCTGCTCAAGTGTTTTTGGACGTTTTTAGTTGATCTGCTCTTTTCGCATCATGTGTCGCTCGTGCCTGCATTCGTCGTCTGTTTAGTCTCATTGGCCCTGTCTCGTACCCGCGTGTTATACCCTACCCCACCTACATTGATATCTTTGTAACTCGTTTTTGTCAATATCAGTATAGCGGCTCCTCCAAGCCTGCTGTTGCCTCCGAGATCATTAATATGCTTGCCCGGATCTGATGTTTCCGTTAATCAGAACATCACAACAAGTAGATTAAAACATGAAGAAAGTACGAGATAATTGAAATAACATATGACTTGAATAAAAATAACATAGTAGGCACCAAAGGATCAAATAACATAAGGAATGTCAGAGACTGTCAGAGACCCTCGACGAAAGCTAGAGGCCTCCCGAACCTCCCGAACTTCACACATGACCCTCCATTGCAATGTAAGACAGCCCTCCAACCAGTATGGAGGTCTTCATTGCGAGGTCCTGGAGGATACTCTGAAACCTCTGGCGGAATAGAGTGGGAGACCCTCTGGAGAGGGTGGTCTCACAGACTGCTTTCCCATCACATAGAAAGCGGGTCTAACAGACCGCGGGAACACGAGCATAGTGCTGCCAAGGGTGGCTGAAATGCTGTGGGCGTTAGCGCCCTCACGTACCTTGTAAATTACTTATTTGAAATATTTCCCCAGGCCAAGCCCGGCCATCTGCTGACCCGAACACGTTTCCTTGTGTCTTTTCTTCGCAAGAACGCATTCTCGCAGGCGTGCACTGTTGGAAGGTGTACCTCTTGCACAAGTCTCAGCAGTGCCATCTCCTCAGCTCCCGTTCGCAGTGCTTCCATCGGCACTTGACGCGTGACTCAGTTGGGCCAACAAATACCGTGGACTCCCCGCAAGTGGGAAGAGAGATCGTGACCACGGATCGAGTGGGAAAGCGTAATCTATCTGGATACCCCCACTCACACATGAATGTCTGTTCGAGAGAACAGGCTCGCTGCAAGCGAGGATTAGGCATAGCAATAACAGGGTCAGAAGATTGAGAGCTTACAGGTGCGAGGTCCAGTACTGTGGAGGATTCAGATCGACTTGTTGAAGAGCAAGCTCAGTGTGAGTTCTCTTATGAAACAGGTAAGTTTATACAGACGCCAGGCGCACGTGGCTAGCACTGGCTACACAGCACTTAACCTGTGAAACGAAACCGAGATATCAGGCCTTCAGGACGCACCTTAGCTACGAAGAGGTGCGTACCATGCGACTTGTTTGATACTAGAATGAACATTTCTGTAGTTCCACTTACAGCCGGCGCCTTTCATTGTGACTGGACAGCTGCGTACATCTGCTTGAAAGTGCTTCTTGCACTCTTGCATCCATAGTCGTGAAGCCGTCCTGTGAGTCAGGCTCTTTCAA